CAGGGCTTTCCTAGGGAACCAATCAGCGGTCGAGAAAAGGTTCAATGGCTCGCCCGACGGTTGTAAACATACGTGCTAAAGTGCAGTACGTGATCAAGCATCATCGCTTTCCTAGGGAACCAATCAGCGATCGAGAAAAGGTTCAATGGCTCGCCCGACGGTTGTAAACATACGTGCTACCGTGCGGTACGTGATCAAGCATCATCGCTTTCCTAGGGAACCAATCAGCGATCGAGAAAAGGTTCAATGGCTCGCCCGACGGTTGTAAACATACGTGCTAAAGTGCGGTACGTGATCAAGCATCATCGCTTTCCTAGGGAACCAATCAGCGATCGAGAAAAGGTTCAATGGCTCGCCCGACGGTTGTAAACATACGTGCTAAAGTGCGGTACGTGATCAAGCATCATCGCTTTCCTAGGGAACCAATCAGCGATCGAGAAAAGGTTCAATGGCTCGCCCGACGGTTGTAAACATACGTGCTAAAGTGCGGTACGTGATCAAGCATCATCGCTTTCCTAGGGAACCAATCAGCGATCGAGAAAAGGTTCAATGGCTCGCCCAACAGTTGTAAACATACGTGCTACCGTGCGGTACGTGATCAAGCATCATCGCTTTCCTAGGAAACCAATCAGCGATCGAGAAAAGGTTCAATGGCTCGTCCAACGGTCGTAAACATAAGCGGTACGTGATCAAGCATCATTGCTTTCCTAGGGAACCAATCAGCGATCGAGAAAAGGTTCAATGGCTCGCCCGACGGTTGTAAACATAGGTGTCATGCGGTACGTGTTCAAGCATCAGGGCTTTCCTAGGGAACCAATCAGCGATCGAGAAAAGGTTCAATGGCTCGCCCGACGGTTGTAAACATACGTGCTAAAGTGCGGTACGTGATCAAGCATCATCGCTTTCCTAGGGAACCAATCAGCGATCGAGAAAAGGTTCAATGGCTCGTCCAACGGTCGTAAACATAAGCGGTACGTGATCAAGCATCATTGCTTTCCTAGGGAACCAATCAGCGATCGAGAAAAGGTTCAATGGCTCGCCCGACGGTTGTAAACATACGTGCTAAAGTGCGGTACGTGATCAAGCATCATCGCTTTCCTAGGGAACCAATCAGCGATCGAGAAAAGGTTCAATGGCTCGCCCGACGGTTGTAAACATACGTGCTTAAGTGCGGTACGTGATCAAGCATCATCGCTTTCCTAGGGAACCAATCAGCGATCGAGAAAAGGTTCAATGGCTCGCCCGACGGTTGTAAACATACGTGCTAAAGTGCGGTACGTGATCAAGCATCATCGCTTTCCTAGGGAACCAATCAGCGATCGAGAAAAGGTTCAATGGCTCGCCCAACAGTTGTAAACATACGTGCTACCGTGCAGTACGTGATCAAGCATCATCGCTTTCCTAGGGAACCAATCAGCGATCGAGAAAAAGTTCAATGGCTCGTCCAACGGTCGTAAACATAAGCGGTACGTGATCAAGCATCATTGCTTTCCTAGGGAACCAATCAGCGGTCGAGAAAAGGTTCAATGCATCATGCACGGTTGTCAACATACGCGCTATACCTGTGGTGATCATGCCCCGCCCCCATTGCTACGAAATGACCAAGACATTAGTACGAGAAAGTAAAACACCAATTATTCAAGGGCGCTACACAACAATGCAACTATCGCTCTTGATCACCGACGTCTTGGGCCAAGACTAGTCCAAGGCAAGACTCAATTTTCTGCAAGCAAAATTTCACGGGCAAGACTCAAGTTTCGTCTAAAAGGGGGGGGGGGGCCCCAAGGATGCAGACATGTTTCAGATTGACTAAAGGACACTTCCATAAAATCCACTTCTCTGCGTACGCCCGACCACATGACGCACAAGGTCATTCAAGGTGGTGGTGTACCTTAGTTTGGTCTGTAATTGTTCTTTTTTTACTCATCAACATTATTAGTGATGTGTCACATTCACTTCTCAAACAGCAGCTCATTCAAGTGTCTGACATGTACATGTGCGTCCCATTTTACAGAAGTGTCCTAAAGTAGGCAAGGGAATCAAAACCAGATTTCTTCTAATCTTCTTTCAAATCTGAAAAATTAATGCAGCCTGACGTTGCAAACTTAACAAGTTCTTCTTGCTTGGAAGACGAAGTTGTTAAGTTCGCAACGAAGAAGAACTTCATAAGTTCGCAACGAAGAAGAACTTGTCATGTTCGCAACGAAGAAGAACTTCGAGCATGAAAAATTAATGCAGCCTGACGTTGCGAACTTAACAAGTTCTTCTTGCTTGGAAGAAGTTGTTAAGTTTGCAATGAAGAAGAACTTCATAAGTTCGCAACGAAGAAGAACTTGTCATGTTCGCAATGAAGAAGAACTTCGAGCATGAAAAATTAATGCGGCCTGACGTTGCAAATTTAACAAGTTTTTCTTCCTTGGAAAAAGAAGTTGTTAAGTTTGCAATGAAGAAGAACTTGTCAAGTTCGCAACTAAGAAGAACTTGTTAAGTTCGCAACGAAGAAGAACTTGTTAAGTTGGCAACAAGAACTTGTTAAGTTCGCAACGAAGAAGAACTTGTTAAGTTGGCAACGAAGAAGAACTTGTTAAGTTCGCAACGAAGAAAAACTTGTTAAGTTCGACGTGTGAGTGTCACGTCCTTACCCTAAAGAAAACAAATTAAGTATAAACTAGCACATAAATATATAAAAAAAACTCATCAACATTATTAGTGATGTGTCACATTCACTTCTCAAACAGCAGCTCATTCAAGTGTCTGACATGTACATGTGCGTCCCATTTTACAGAAGTGTCCTAAAGTAGGCAAGGGAATCAAAACCAGATTTCTTCTAATCTTCTTTCAAATCTGAAAAATTAATGCAGCCTGACGTTGCAAACTTAACAAGTTCTTCTTGCTTGGAAGACGAAGTTGTTAAGTTCGCAACGAAGAAGAACTTCATAAGTTCGCAACGAAGAAGAACTTGTCATGTTCGCAACGAAGAAGAACTTCGAGCATGAAAAATTAATGCAGCCTGACGTTGCGAACTTAACAAGTTCTTCTTGCTTGGAAGAAGTTGTTAAGTTTGCAATGAAGAAGAACTTCATAAGTTCGCAACGAAGAAGAACTTGTCATGTTCGCAATGAAGAAGAACTTCGAGCATGAAAAATTAATGCGGCCTGACGTTGCAAATTTAACAAGTTTTTCTTCCTTGGAAAAAGAAGTTGTTAAGTTTGCAATGAAGAAGAACTTGTCAAGTTCGCAACTAAGAAGAACTTGTTAAGTTCGCAACGAAGAAGAACTTGTTAAGTTGGCAACAAGAACTTGTTAAGTTCGCAACGAAGAAGAACTTGTTAAGTTGGCAACGAAGAAGAACTTGTTAAGTTCGCAACGAAGAAGAACTTGTTAAGTTCGCAACGAAGAAGAACTTGTTAAGTTGGCAACAAAGAAAAACTTGTTAAGTTCGACGTGTGAGTGTCACGTCCTTACCCTAAAGAAAACAAATTAAGTATAAACTAGCACATAAATATATAAAAAAAAAAATTTTGGTCAAATGGGCGACTTTGATAAACAAGTCGGTTCTCCAACAGCCCGCGCGTTTTGCCTGCTTTTGCGATTATCTTTAAAGAGTGACCTTTGATCGTGGTGTGTGACCTTTGACATCATTATCATACGAGGGTTGCCATATTGCATCTATGACCCACGTTTGGTTCGAACTGGACTTTTCAAATGAGGCCAATTTTACATATTCAGCCTTTTTGACAACTTGACCTCAGGTGACCTTTGTATGTGACCTTCAACATCATCATCATCTGAAGGTTGCCATGTTGCATCTGTGACCCAAGTTTGGTTCCAATTGGACTTCATTTTTTTTCAAATGAGACCAACTTTTATTAACTTTAACCAAAATCCCACATGTATGCTAATGCCGGTACATACAGGGCGAGTCAAAAAAAGCGGAACCCAAACCCCCAAAAAATATATTTCATTTAAAAAAAAATATGTAGCACCAAAAAAAATAATGACTAGAAAGCCAATTTCATAAGCTACTTTTGGATGAAGAAGTTACTGAAATTGCTCAATCCGTTCAAAGAACATCACTATTTAAACGCACTGATCCTAAAACCTGTCTCGTCCAAAAAAAAAAGCAATTTATTGTGTGTTTTGACTGTTTGGAACAACACAGAAAATGACACAGAATACTTGTTTCAACAACTGTCACCAACTGTGATACACAATATCTATATTAACAACCCTGGTTAGGCAAACAATATGATTCATAAAATCTACTTAAAAAAAAAAAAAGAGGGGCCTTCAAAAGGACTTTGTTGAATATTTTTAACGTTTGAAAACTGAGATTTTATCGCCGGTGATGTTTGACGACAATTGTGACGACGATTCTTGATATCGCAGTTTTTGGACGAGACAGGTTTTAGGGTCATTGCGTTTAAATGGTGATATCCTTTGAACAGATTGACCAATTTCAGTAATTTTTTCATCTAAAAGTAGCTTATGAAGTTGTATTTCCATTCATTATTATTTTTGGTGCTACAAATTTTTTTTAAATATGAAATATATTTTGGGGGTTTGGGTTCCGCTTTTTTTGACTCACCCTGTACAGATACAGTGATTCCAATGAGTCGCTTTCTTGAGCAAAGTCCAGGCGAGACAAAAAGGAAAAGGTTCATAATCATCAGCCTCTTTTAACTACATATACACGATCTCAATTTGAGTATTGTGTTAGAGTTCAGCCCGAAATTTTAAAAACACAATACATAAATCTGCATAAATACCACACACACAAATAGGCCGGCATTTCCAGCGTTATGTAATGTCCGTGACAGAACTTGTAGGAGCTCAGTGAATGAACCTGAAAATGTGTTTTTCAAATCTTATACATCCATCATCTGGAAATGGTCAATCTGATTACAGACTAAAGCCCGGTTCATACTCGGCGCGAAAGCGAACGCGAATTTGTGACGTCATGGCAAGTATTCGCGCTGCGAATTCATAAAAGTTGAACATATTTCAACTCGGGCGAATTTCGCAGCGAATCTTTCATGACGTCAAATTCAAGTATAAACCGAGCTTTAGAGTTTTGGATCTTTTCTCTGAATCAAGGGGATAAAAATCTGCTTGACTCTGGACATTATCGGCCACCACGCCCCAAGCCTGTTTTAAACATACCATTGCACTTGTTTAATACTGGCCAAGCACATATTTATTCCCATTCGTAGATACCTTTGGGTCAAAAACTCAAAACAAGTCAAAAATTATATATTTCCAACGATTTTGCTTGACAATTTTACTTGATGTTTTGATGTAACACCCCTCTTGCTATGTTATGGTATGTGCCTCTAGCCAGTAGTACCAAAAAACTCCTTAGATGGAGATTGGCACACGCATACATGTACCGGTACTCTGTGACGTGGCGCAGAACGCAGCAGTGCCTGTGTAGTGTGACTATAGAGTACCGAAGTTTGACGTCATTTAGAACCAGAAAGTGTAGAGCAAACGAATGGAGTACGCGCGCATGTTGGTTCATGGGCTGAATCGCGTGCTAATGTCTTTATACACATGTTGTGCGCGTGTATTCACTTCTGTACTCTATAGGACTGTATGAAATGCGAAGTCATTGTGCATGCCTAAGTGAAGATTGTGATTGTTCAAACAATAAAAGCAGAAAAGGGACCAGATTTCGCAAAAGCCCAAATTTCATGTGACACTGGAAAAGTGTTTAAAACCAGTCGGCCAGTGTTTTATCAGCCGTTTAAAACCAGCCAAGAGATGGGCTTTCGACTAATTAGGAACGGGTAAACTGTCTTGGTGTTTATGAATTAGATATCCTGGTTAATTAGCTCCGGCTCGGATATTACATAAAGCTGGAATTGCCCAGAACAGATATAAGTCAGCCATCAGTGAACCAGTGGATAGAACAAACCCGAAAAGTGGAAGAAGAGCTTCCAGAAGGCCAGTTTGGAGAAGAGTCGGTTCTGCGCGGCCTGGTAACGCAGCATGAACGGCGTGAGCAAGCCCGAATGGTCCGGTCGCAGCTTGCGGGCCGGCCAGAGCGGGTAGTGGAAGCGGATGTTGTGGGCGTAGGCCCAGCGGCCAAAGACGGCCTTCTCCATGATGAAGAGGTGACCGCCGGTCAGCCGGGTCTCACTGGCGTGGTAGTAGCGGCACTCAGCCTTGAAGGCGGGGCCGTAGTAGTGGTAAGGGACTTCTTTGTCAGGATGCTCCCTTTTGAAGAAAAATAGTGAGAATCAGGTGATGGAACACAAGTAATCACAAGTCATCATAAGTACGGTACATCACAAGTAATCACAAGTAATCTTAGTAATCACAAGTCATCACAAGTAATCACAAGCAATCACAAATAACCACAAAGAACCACTAAAAGTCACAGGTATATATCACAAGTACGTAACGCAAACGTAACGCGCAATCACAAGTACATCACAAGTCATCTGGTCCCAAGTTCTTAGTAATCACAAGTCATCACAAGCAATCACAAGAAGTCACAAATAACCACAAAGAACCAATTAAAGTCACAGGCATATATCACAAGAACGTAACACGCAATCACAAGTACATCACAAATACATCACAAGTCATCTGTTCCCAAGTTCTTAGTAATCACAAGCCATGACAAGTAATCACAAGCAATCAAGAGAAATCACAAATAACCACAAAGAACCAATAAAAGTCACAGGTATATATCACAAGTACGTAACACGCAATCACAAGTACATCACAAGTCATCTGGTCCCAAGTTCTTAGTAATCACAAGTCATCACAAGTCATCACAAGCAATCACAAGAAGTCACAGACAACCACAAAGAACCAATAAAAGTCACAGGTATATATCACCAGTATGTAACACGCAATCACAAGTACATCACAAGTCATTTGGTCCCAAGTTAAACTCACAAGTTATTTACATGGCCTTCGACTCTTGGTTAGTATTCATACCTATCACTTGTGAATGAACTTATTGGTTGACTAAACGATGTACTTATCACCAGATTTGTCATACACTTGTGATCAATCACAGATTCCGTGGCTATAACAAGTATTCATAAATACCTCAGACAGTTTAGCCATTCCTATTGGTCGAGAGCCCGTCACGTGGCCGGTATTAAACGGATGATAAAGACATGGCTAGCTGGTCTTAAACACTTTTCCAGTGTCACAATAAAATGTGGACTCCTAAAAATCCAGTGCCTCTTATCGTTTCATTGGTTGAACGTTCACAATCCTCACGTAGGCATGCGCAACACTACCAGGTAGTTAGAATTTTATAGTTCTAAATTCAAAACGCAACGCGCCAGGTGCGTTCTGCGCGACATCGCGTAGAACATGATACGCGCGCGTCAATCTCCATAAAAGGGTTGTTTTCATCTTACTCGCCAGCTGAACACTCCATTATTTTGCAGGAGGGATGTTTCAAAAAGCATAAAGTGAATTTGTTGAACAAAATCGGGATGTTTTGAACGAATTATATGATTTTTTTTTACCGAAAAGGTATTTATGAATGGGAATAAATATGTACTCCGTCGGTATTTATCACTCTGTTTAATACCACTTAGAGTCTGGGTGCTGATAATTACCCTCGCCTCCGGCTCGGGTAATTATCAGCACCCAGACTCTAAGTGGTATTAAACAGAGTGATAAAAACCTCCGGAGCACACATTTATTCCCTTATTAAAAGCCATCATTTCGGTGGTATCACGCTTGCTCCCAAGTCATTCACCATTCAAATATGATATGATCAAGCTAATTGAGTCGTTTGTCGACCCTGGTCAATTTTTTTTTATTACAGATTTGAAAAGAGCACAATCTCAGCATTACTGCTGTGAAAACCCCATGCTTGTACCATCTTTTGTTCAAAAAATCACAGTCGGAACACCACGAGATGTGATGAAATGATGTGATGAAGTGGCCCTAGTTTGGCCTGTATCTCCAAATGAAATTTCCCGACAAACGACTAATGTAGCTTGATCCCTTCACAAATAATGTTACACAGAACAAGGTAAACCACTGTCATTAAGGCATTTGACCATAGTGTTTGACGATCAGTGTCATGAAATTAGGTCTGAGATTTAAAAAACGGTGGTGGCCGGAAATTGGGCACAAAATCGGCCGAGTGTTCCCTAACGGAAAATCCCAAGTTAACTTTCAAAAATTGTTTTCAAGTTGAAAATGAATTTTGTTATTTTGGAAGGGTTCATTGTACACTCATCAGATTTCTCTGCTAACTTTGTTACGGGTAGGTAAACTTGAGATTTATGACCAGAAATGTTTCAAGCTTGATGAAATTTCACTCTCTGAGAAACTTCAGGTAAACCTTTTGTTCTTGCAAGGCACTCGAGGCAAAACGTCTCATGCGCCAGATATTAAGGGCCTGTCACATTATATGCGCTCTCATAGGAGACCTTACGGCGACCAATTTTTTTTCATAAATTTAAAAATCGCAGCGAGGACGCAATAAAATGACAACTTTCTGTCTCAAAGAAGCTCAAGCTACGCTCATACTGTGCTCTTCCCGCGCTTACGATGCGTTTAACTCGCTCTCTATGCGCCCCTGTCAAGCCCAATTACTCGATCTAGTCGCTGCCACTGCGCTGTCACTGCGCCCACACTACGCTCTGCTCGCTGTTGATACGTCCTAGTAGCATGTGTCGCGCTCTCTATTCGACCAAAATACGCTCATGTGACGTCACTTGCACTGTATAAATACCACGACAAAACGGTCAATACAAAGTCCAGTTTAAAAAAATTATTCTACAAGTTCATCGCAGTCGAGCTCCTTTCTCATGAAGACTACGTCGACTGCCTTGCGCCTAAGCTGCCTCAATGCCATTTCAATGTCGCACGATTCACGCTCGCACAGCGCCCGAGTTGCGTCATTACGGCGCCCTGGCCAGAGCGCAGAGGTGTTGCGATTGTTTTGAGCATGTTCAAAGACCTTTGCGCTCATCGAAGACCATTAAGACCCTCTGGCGCCCATCTGGCGACCTATGTAGTTGTCGCTGCGATCTAGTAGTTGTTGTTGCGCCCCAGATATGATATTTCAAGGATGCAGTGAGAGCGCATATAAGATCGCAGACAGTGTGACAGGGCCTTTAGGGGCTGCACCATTCTGGACATCCACAATATTGGGGAAGGACTTACGTGCAGTAATCTCCCCAGATCATTCCGTAAACGTTGATCTGCTTGCAGGAATCCATGGCTAAGAGAAACGTGTACCACCCCGTGGACATCCACGTCTTGGCTCGAGACCTTTAGATCATCAAGAGGGTATACAAATCAAAAATTCAGTTACTTCCAAGCCTGGTCTTTTGATAAGGGAATAACAGTGTGAGGAGCCGGTCTTCACTGCGTGATAATGACCGGGTTTGGGGGTGACCGCTGTTAATGGACAAAGACGAAGTCGAGGTCCATTAACAGCGGTCACCCCCAAACCCGGTCATTATCACGCAGTGAAGACCGGCTCCTCACACTGTTATTCCCATTAATAAATACCTTTTTAACGAAATAAACAGTTAAAATGCTCCAATTTTGTGACTTTTCTTTGGGCGATATTTCCAGATGTTTTGTGTTCATGTTCATGGGCCATATTTTCGCTTATGCGTGGTACCCTGTCTCTTCAATATGCGTTGTATATACCCCCATAGCCGGGCCCAGGCTGCGTTTGACGACGTTTTCATCGTTGCATTAAAAACGACGTCCAGGCTATGAACTTCTGCTGCCGTAGCGAAACAAATTACAACAATTTATTTTTTTCATATTTTTACCTGATGGAGGAAGCTGAAATTTCGTTTACATATTCCTTGTGTCCAGAATTACAAAGATGCTTGGTTTAGGAAAGGTAAATATGTCGGTGGGTGAAGTGTTTAAAGAAAATAAATCGCAGATCTACGCTTTCGTTGTAAACATCCAAAGTATACTGCTGTACGATGTCGTTTGAAAACTTCCTTACGCGCGCACCCATAGCAACTGTGTTGCGTACGGGTACGCGCGCGTAAGTCTCACGCGAAGGTGGTTGAGCGCATGTGCAGTGCTGGTTTGTTACAAGCTGCCGTAGGACTGTTGTAAATTTGGCCAATCATTGTCTTGCATGGGGCTGGATCAATGCTGGTTCAGGGGCCATTTTTTTCCGCTTGTTCATTGAAGCCGGTCTTGATATCGCCGTTAATACACCCCCACGTGATCGAGTCTCGACCAATCAGAAGCCACCAACTCTCCAAGGTATTTATAAATAATATATCACACCCATTAAAGATTGGTGTTGCACAAACGTAACATGGTTCGAGGGTGGACAGTTGATACTTGCTCCCCGAGGTATTGGAAGTTGACAAACTAGGACAAACTTCGTCCTTTAATACAGAGGGGAGCCAATATCGACCGTCCACCCAAAATAAATCATGTTAAATGTGTTTTTACCTCACACGTATTCAGTTGCCTAATTTTCTCGTTGCAGTATGCACCTCGCGGGCAAAAATCTTCAGAGAAACTTGCGCAACTCACTAGATGAATGTTATTGCTCAACCTCCGAAAAGTTCAGTTCCTTTGCAATACAGAAACTACGGTTGTAAATACAATTGTTTGTAGACAACTTTTGTAAGTACAGGAAGCATCTTTAATGTCCACAATATTCTCCAATTCGGCATCATTAAACTCGGGAAAATGCTAATTAACATGTACGTGTGCAACATCGTTTCATGTGTAGCTAGGGCGATGTTTGCACGTGCGCGCTTCACCCGTGCGGCAGTTCCATGATTGCTTTGTGAAGTAAATGCGTAGTAAACCCGTGCGACAGTCTACTACGCATGCGCATTTACCCTGTGCGTGAATCCCCGCGCAATAAAAGCATCTGGCTCGTGATGATGAATAGACCGGTGAGAATTTGGCTTTCAGTCATGAATATGTAGGAGGTATGAGCTCCGTGCGCTACCAAAAGAGGGCGCCCTTTCACCTAGCAACGACATCCCATGGGTGGGACATTTCGCTGGTTGACGCGTACCGTTCGAACGCGTTCCTTGTGTGTGACGCACGCACACCAGGGGATTTGTACTATTTACACGCGCGCAGCGGCAATCGAATTGCAGTCAGGCAAAATGGCGTCGGTCTGGCGCCCCCAACTGTACTTCCTTTGCCGGTGAGGGGGTACTTGTGAACGGAGCGGATAGTAACACATAATAAATAAGCTAAACTAAATACAGGGCGAGTCAAAAAAATGAAAACCAAATGTCCTGGACTATTGTTTTATTGAAGTTCTGCATGTAGCACTTTCAAAATCTAGGATATGAATGTCCAATCCATAAGCTTTCTTTTAGTACAAGAATCTTTCAAATCACTCATGTACTTATCAAGTTACGGCATTTTAAACACAACCCCTGATCTAAGGTTCTTGTCCACCGATCACAAAAAAAGTGTGCGTTCTTTCAGCAAAGCGAAAACAATTCACACACATCCCTAAGTGATTTCTTTTGGTTTTGCTGAAAGAACAATGAACTTTTATGTGATCCGTGGACAGAACCTTAAGACGGTGGTTGTGTTTAAAATTCCGTATATTGAAAAGTACATGAGTGATTTGAACGATTCTTGTACTAAAAGAAAGCTTATGAATTGGGCTTTTATATCCTAGATTTTAAAAATGCTTCATGCTGAACTTTCCTAAAACAATGGTCCCGACATTTGGGTTTCGGTTTTTTTTTTACACAACCTGTATTATTACCAGACTTAGTATTAAAAGCCGTATCCTCTTTGACAGATCCCTGTTTGCTATTTCCCTGGTTTGCAGCTTTGCTAAAAGTTGCTAGCCTCTTCACTTTGTGCGTGATCCCTGACTACTTGATGGCCTCTGACAAGAACCTTGGATCAAAAATGTTGGCAAACTGGGGAACCGTCAACATAGGGCTGGATAGCTCAGCTTGGTAGAGCACTGGAACGTTTATCTGGAGGTTCGCGGGTTCAAACCCCACTTGGCAGCGCTATTCCGGAAAATTCCATGCAAACCTCACAGATACATTAGCTTGAAAACAAGTGTACATGTGTGGCTTTACGATTGAGGACAAACACACAAAAGGAGAACAAAAGATCCTCTCAGTCCTCGAGCGTTGGGTCTCTTGTTGAAAACGGTCCTTGATCGTACAGTTATGCGCTTGGTTTATGGGAGAGTGTTTTATTACAGGGACAAACGGAAACACAAAGCATTGTCCTCGGGCGTATAGAAATTCACGACTGCTATACGTATGTGAGTATTCTTGCAATTTCCAGGATAGCGCTGTCAAAGTTCCCAAGACTACTTTCAGTTAATCTTCTATGCACTTGGTCTATAGGCGAGTGTTATATTACAGGGACAAAGAGAAAAACAAAGCATTGTCCTTGGGTGTATAGAAATTCATGACTGCTATACGTATGTGCGTATTCCTGGCAAGCGCTGTTAAAGTTCCAAGACTACTTTCGGTTAATCTTCTTGATTAACCTCTCCACCGCTGCAGCTTAAGGCCTGACTGCGCTTGTCAGGGACTGCATTTGACAAAACAATTCCAAATCTAGGTTTCGGCCAAGAGTCTAAGACTAACTTTTGTGCTGCTCACCTGATTAACCCTGTTTCGTGCAAAAAGAGGTCTTCAGCGTACACCATTTTCTGCGGCGTGAACATGTTGAAGGAGACGTTGGGATGGGTCTGGGCAAGCTTGACGGCCAGCGCATACTCCTTTGGTGGTCGTGTATCAATGTCCGTCAGATACGACCAGTGAATAACAACAGAGTCCGTCTTCGTGGAAGCGTTCACGAAAATCTCCTCTACGAAGGCCGGATCGTCCCCGAAGATCCTCCCGAAGTTGATGTGTCCGACAACGCGGATGGTGGTCCGGCTCCCGACGTCCTCCTCGTGGCCCTTGGTGGGGGCATTGTTCATGCGGAGGACGCAGTCGTTGCTGTCGATTTCCCGGCCGGCGCCAGTGCCCAGGAGCTGGCCCGAGCTGGTGACTATTGCACATTGATTGCACTGAAATTTGACACTCTGAAAAAAGAGAAGGAAAACCTGGATGATGGAACGTTTACACATTTTTCATACGACTACGGCTTGCAATTACATACGAGCCTACGGAGCGGCTGTAGGTACCGAGGTCATGAAATCACTTGCATTAGGTCACTTTAGGTCTTTTCACACTGGACAAATCTCCCTGCGTAAACCCCGAGATTGGGTTCACCCTGGGTATATCTTGTATAAATGAGCTCGGCGGATGGATTTTTGACCTATTTGCACGGCTGTACCCAGAGGAACCTCTTTGGCCAGCAATTAACAGTGAGATCAAAGCAAACAAGTCTGTGGCAGGTTCCCCTGGCCCTCCTAATCCCTCCAGACTAGCACCTTCGCTGTGCAGTAGATATTAGCCGTTCAACCCACTCCCGTTAGAGCCCTAAAACTGGTGAGTCAAGCAGCATCTTCAATTCACTTCTGCTGGAGTGCACTGCCATATCAAAAATGATCTACACTAAACTACACAAAGAGATCAAGGGTCAACGAAATTACCTTGTTTCCTAGAAAGTTCTGATAACCTTTCAAGACCGCATCCGGCCCTTTCCGCCGGAACGAATCCTTCTCGTTCTGCCGGTTCACGGGTTGCCTCCTCGCTGGCGACAACATCCGATTGTCACCGGTCAGCTGCCTACTGTTCTTGTCAGAGCCTTCGCTCAGACCTTCCGCCGATGACTCAAACAGCCCGCCACTCTTGCCGGCGTCAAAGAACAGCATCATAAAGACGATGCAGGCCAAGGAGTTGAGCAACGCAAAGAGCAGAAACTGCAGGAGGGGGCAAAGGTCACAATTTACATATCAAAAGCTATGCAAGATTAACCCTAACCCCTTCAGCACTTTTACTAGAAAGTATCCTAAATCTGCCAAAATCCACCTATTGTGTCATACACACAAAAAAATGGTGTTGGTGACTGCTCAGTATGGAGGTATCCTGTATCCATCAAAATCCTGCAGTACCGCTAGGCTTACAATCCTGAATCCATCAAAATCCTGCAGTACCGCTAGGCTTACAATCCTGAATCCATCAAAATCCTGCAGTACCGCTAGGCTTACAATCCTTAATCCATCAAAATCCTGCAGTACCACTAGGCTTACAATCCTGAATCCATCAAAATCCCCCCGTTTTCAATATGGAGTATCCTAAATACATCAAAATACTCCAAAACAGGGGTATGGATTTTGATGGATGCAGGTAGGGGTTAAAGATGCGTTCATCATGCTATTTTCAAATTTCATCCTGAAAATAGATTCCTTGCTTTCTTTCTAGCAATACAAAAGTTATTTGTGGTCCATGGTTAGCTATTTAACCCTAACCGCCCTGAATCCTCCAAAATCCTTTTTGCAAATTGGAGGAATTTGCAGGATTGAGGTTACATGGCAAAAGTGCGTTGCTGATTTCGGAGTACGCACTGTGTCAAGGTCTTGGGCCGGACCTTGTGTTGTTTATGCTCAGCCGTGCATAAATGTAGTCCTTGATTATACTTGACATCCTCCGCACTGCTCCAGGATGTCACTGCCTCTGCCTCAGACAGACATAGCCGGAGGATTTTGCAGGATTCAGGCAGTGGTCATCCCTCCATGGACCGTATTCACGAAATAACGGAGGAATTTGCAGGATTGAGGCTATGCTATTTTTCCATGAGGCCAATTGGAGGATTTTGCAGGATTGAGGCTACATCCTAACAAAAAGGCCTAGGGAGTTAGGGTTAATCATTACTTTACAATTTCGATTTTGCTGGCTGCGAGACAATAATTCTGTTCTCGCGGGTAAGGCTGGTTCCCGCCAAGCAATCAGTATTGATAATGAACAGGGCAGAAGCCTGTCTGCGCTGATCTTTTTGTGCCCATAATAAAAAAAAAACTTTTTTTAGAGGGTTGCAGATGTCAAAAAGGAGGAAAGGATATTTTGGGGGGTTTGATTGGCCAAATCCTCCAAAATTTGTTGCAAAATGGAGGATTGTGCAGGATTGAGGCTATAATGGCAAAGGGTACGGCTGATTTTGGAGGATGTACTGTCATGACTGTGTCAGTCATGCATAATTTTAGGCCTAGATTATACTTGAAATCCTCTGCACTGCTCCAGATGTCACTGGCTCTGCCTCAACATATTGACAGTGACTGCTGCAGGATTTTGTAAGATTGAGGCAGTGGTCACCCCTCCACGGACCATATTCAAGACATAATGGAGGAATTTGCAGGATTAATTAATACATATCACTGTCAGGAGAGGAAAAAACCATTAAAATCAATTTTTTGACAATCTTAATTTATGTGCAAAGAACATGTAAAAGAAAAATAGGCTGTATTGAGGGGAAACAAATTATGGGGGGGTATAGTGATCAGATCTGTCTACACTTTAGAGAGCAAGAACCTTTTGCAGATATTTATATCTGATGTATCTTGCCAACTGGGAATTTGATGACTCACGACGATGAGTGCTTACAACACCATGAGATTGGTCTGCAAATCCTCTTTGAAATTAACTGGCCTCAGGGTGAAAAAGCGAAGGAGCCTCATCTTCTACCAGTGTAAGTAGATGGACAGATATTTATTAAGGCTTCATATTTATTAAAGGGAAAATACAACATTTGCAAACATCAAAAAATAAAACTACCAAATCATTTTGAAATACCTTGCTGGACTGTTAGTGAATGACAGTGTAAAGCATCCTGTAAAATCATGGCACCTGGTATACTGTCATTTTCAAGAAAAGTGGTATTTTTGTATCAATTTCCAACGCTGGTCGGCTGGTCGGCCGACCAGCGTTGGAAAAAACTGGCTTTTTTCAAATACTGGCCCCAATTGACCATCGCATTTGTTTACAATCGATTACACACCTATGAACGGGTACAAGCCAGCTAGACTGCTTCCCTGACCGTACAGTTCCCCAATGTATGTAAACTGCTCTGTTTCTTCTTATATGGAGTCAGGGAACCAGACTACAGGAAAATGATTGTTTTTCTTGGTTTTTATAGCATTTTCGAACCCAAAACCTCAAAAAAGTCAGTGTAACTATATTTGCTATATATTTCCAACCCCCCAATTCCATCCATTTCTGAAAATTACAGCAAAAGCAAATGATGTATATTCCCTTTAAGGCTTCCCATTAAACAGGTAACACCCGAACCCTAACCCCCGTAGTAGTTCCTCAGGACTACCCTGCTAAATCCAACAGAGTCCAATGGCCCTTTCCTGCTCAATCCACTGTGCCTTATTTTCAGTTGTCTGCTGGATCCAACAGAGTCCAACATGGCATTACAATGAGGTTCAGTTGCCTGCCATTCTTACAGTCACAGGAATGGGGTCCTAAAAGTAATGGTTACCAAAGAGCTGCAGCCGATTTCACAAAAGAGTGCGCAGCTTGCGCCATGCGTAAGACTTACGCAACAAATTTGCTGTGCAGCTGCATAACAAACTTTCGATTTCACGAAACTTGGCGTAGCTGCGCAACGTTTTAAGTAATTCAAACGTCTTGGACGAGGACAAAAACAGCATTCACGACGGCGGTTTGTGTGTGAATTTGTTCTTTCGCAAAACAGTCGTTGAATCACCTCAGCCCGCCATTTTGAAAATCTTTTTGTCCGACTTTCTTCGGAATCATTGGGAAACTCTAAAAAATGTTACAAGTAAAATAGAAATTCATTAACTTCAAAGTTGTGAGTGTCTTGTAACAAGCTTGTTAAGTTGTACAATAACAGGCTCTACGACAGGGCCGATTTGCTGGTAAAATATGTCATTTTCAGTCGCTACGCCACAACTTACACCACCTAAAATGATTGCGCAAGTTACGCCATAATTTATTGCGCAAGTCGCAGACTTATGCACTAACCGACTTTCGTGAAATGTGTCATAAGTGACATGTTGCGCAACTTACGCCATAAATTGTGGGGCAAGCAGAGTTGCGCCATTGCGTAACGTTTCGTGAAATCGGCTGCAGGGAACGGAATGCGAAATGTATGCCAAACTTCGTCACTTACCAAACACCTGTTTCTGGGCGGCCATCTGATCGCCATGCTGAGGTCAACATCGCTGAATGAAGGGCACAAACTCAGCTTGCTACTACATGTACCTCATTTTAGAGAACGCCAATAAAAACTGAAATGAACAAGAAATAGTCATCATCAACACTGAATAGGAGTTGTTTCTGGCAGGGCCCAATTTCACGGCCCTGCAAGCTCAAAAATTTGCTTAGCACAAAAAAAGTGTGGCTTATAAAAGCAGGTTACCAGCCAAAAATCCATGTGATTTTCATGCTATAGCAATACTAATCGATATACGTCACATGTTTTGGCTAGTAACCTGCTTTTATAAGCCAGACTTTTTTTGTGCTAAGCAAACTGTTGTGCTTAGCAGCGCCGTGAAATTGGACCCTGATCACCATGCTGAGGTCAACATCGCTGACTGAAGGACGCCAACTCACGTATATCTCATTCCGTGCAAAACGATTTGCGCGTGCGCGTATTTTTTAAAAATGGCGGACATACGCGCACAAATGCGCTCCTAATTATCGGTTCATGAATATTCATTTATTTATCAGCGCGAAAAACTCACCAATTAAACCACCCCATATCAGCGATGACATCGCCTCTGACGGTTTCTAAGCACCCCGGTTGGTAAGGAGGCTTCATCAAAATGATAAATACTTTTAAAATTATGAAAATATCATTTTGTAAACCCATTTTATCCAAGTTTGAATTTTGGGATGATTTTGCATGAAAATTTACCTTTTTTCCTGATATCTCATCAAAAAAGGGCATATTTCGAAAAGTGTTTTTTTTTACGAAATTTTAACTTCTGAAAAGTAGTGAACGAGGGTGTAATCTTCATTGTTTTCTATGTGGGAGCCGAGTCGCCGAGCTAATATTTTTTTTTCTGTGAATTTTCGTCCTTGAATATCACATTTTTGGCGACATTTCGACTTGAAAAAGCATGTGACACGCGTTGAGCATCAAGAAATGCACACTGGGAAGCTGCTATAAAACGAGTTCCAAAATGCTGAATCTTGCAGCAAAAATGAAGATTCTGTGCTGCTTATGTCTCGTCGAAGTCTAGAAACCTCTGATCTCCATTCACACCACGTTATAAAGGACATGGCAGGCATTGCAGGGACGCACTCGTCATGCTCGTGGGAAGAAATCTGACACCATTCGGTGGCATCACGCGGTCGTCGCCGGCCAGCCGTGCCGGGAGTTCGAGCTCGAAACCCCACCACACACATCGCTTGTGACAGGCACCGCTTTGGAGTCGAGTTTTGGGTGTAATATGCGGGTAAACAGGGATTTGTAGTGCAGTAAATATGGAAACTGGTTCAATTTCAAATTGATTATGACTTGGCTATATTCCTTCTTCCAATGTATTTTTGTGTCATATATTTTTTAGACATTTTCATGTTGCGTTTTGCATTTTTTTTTAAATCTTGCTTCATGTCCTTTTCCATTTTTTTTTTTGCAGCTGTAAATGGAGATGTTTTGATTGTCGTTCCTTCTGATGACGATGCAGACCTTGGAATCTACAATATGAGACATGATGAAGAACTCTGTGAAGAATAAAACTATGGCCAGACTTGAACTGAATTTTAAAAATCCTTTTATTTAATATACTTTAAAGATTTTTAATTATTTTAATAATGGAGACTAGACATGCATTAAACAGAAATGATGATGTAACCATTAACAAATGTACTCAGAAGAAATCAAAAGTAAGTTTACCGACTTACATGTAGAATAGAATTACATGGCTTCTGCTGACAACCATGTACATGTATCATCAAGCCAATGCAAAACTAGAGACTTTAATTGTTTATTTAGACAAAATATCTCCTGATTAAAGTGATATTGCAGTATACATGTAGTGAACAAAAATTGCAGTATGGTTATAAGACAAAAATGCTTGGGTCAAGTAACATCGGCTGTTATATTGGATTCGAAATCAGGATTGCAGCAAGGATTTAATTTTTCATTCTAGTGATTGTCGAATAAAAGTGTTTTTCTTTACAAATTATTTTGTTGAAAGAACAAAAAGCAAAACACTCAAACTGGTCGGTGTTTAAAACTGAAATTGAAACTTGGGCTTTCAAAAAGAAAGGGATGGAAAGAGGAAATTCAATGAAATAATTCTTATAATTTAAACGACGAATAGGTCTACTGAATACCATTGCTACTTTTCATCAATAATGGATTATCTTGTAATTTAACAGTCTACCAGCTGCAACAATAAAAACATTCACGGAACTGCTTAAACACTCGTGAATCTGCCTATGCTTTAGCACGCAGGTAAGTTCCCTATACAATAACACGCAAGCTTCTCATGAAAAGCCTGAAATACGCGAACGAGATCAACTTCTGGTTGAGTGCAAAAAATATGAGCTCAGTTCTCATAAAATGGAAAAATTACAATAATTAATGGACTACAAGGTCAGCCAAGGCAAATTTGCTGGAAAAAATTTTTTTTGGAATGATAAAGCAGAACTTTGAGGTTCGTTTTAACGGGCGGAAAGTTTGTGCGCGTTTTTGCATAGTGATGTCACAAACGCGTGCGTACAGCGTTCTTCCGCGTGATTTCGGGTGGCCATTATCATAATTTATGTGCGCACGCTCAGACCGAGTTGGCACTGGTGTCTTATTTCACTGACGTACGTTAATTCAGCTCCCTACTACCTCATGATCTTAATAAAAAACTGAAAGGAACAAGAAAACGTCATCATCAACACTAAATAGGAGTAGGAGTTAATTAACCCTAAATAGGGGCAGTTTTGCTAGGATGCAACCTCAATCCTGCAAAATCCTCCGACTGCGTCCATAAATTCAAAAATTGCATACAGCCTCAATCCTGCAAAATCCTCAGTTATTTCTTAAATGTACAAGTAGGTATGTGAAATTAAATTTTGAAGTTTGAGTAATGAAAATAAACTAGGAAGAGCTTTGTAAATGCAAAAAATGACATGTACATGTAAAGCAGCACAGTCAGATGAATATTAATGAAGTTATTAACTTTTTTAGGGATTAAATATTATACAAATATTGAGTGGCTCAGCGTGGAATGGGAGGAATATTATCACAAGGTAAAATCTGGACTTTTCCATTTCACGAGGCGAAGCTGAGTGAACTGGAAGAGCCCAGATTTTACCGAGCGATAATATTCCTCCCATTTCACAATTGAAAGCCACTCAATATTTGTTTTGTATAACTGACCTATAGATCCTTGTCATTTGATATTTGAACTATTTTCAATACAAAACTGGAGGAAAATGTATTTCTCTCTTCCAAACCACCCTTTCATGAAAATGTTTGAACCCAACGCTGTAGCGCTGGCTCTTTGGAACAATACACGCTACGCGCAACGCTGAACGCGCACACCAGCATGCATTTGCACACAAATACCGCGTCATGATCCTAACTGTTGAATAGTATTTCCCATTCCCCATGGGCGGATAGTACTTTTTGAGACGCGGCATGAATGGGAGCAATAACGAATGCCACGTGATGTGAGTTCCACCAATCAAATGACAAGGATCTGTACATGTATGTTGGTTATATAATCATGTCTATGCGTCCTATAGATTTTTAATAAAGAAAAACAAAAACAAGACTGTGACAAAAAGGAAAACATTTTGGGGGACTGATTTTTTCATAACTGGTTAAAAAGAAATTGAGGACCACACAAAAAAAACAGCATGAGAATTATTGCCACTTAATTATTGCCCCGGAAACTAAATATTAGGTACGAAAAAGAAGCCATAAAATTAACTGTCTCCCACTTATTAATTGAATATTTTTTTTGTTTACAAATACACAGTGAGCATATAAAAACACATCCAATGCTACTAAAAATGTCATGTTGGTGACGATTCCCCCAGATGGTGCTTATTTTCAAGGCATATCATGTGTCTGACATGTGTCTGACATTACCGGAATGGGACACCCAACACTACAGATGTCTCCTCCGTGAGGTTGAACTCCTCTACCAAATTCAACATGGCCAAGTAAATATAAAATAACTACTCCTCTGAACACCAGAAACATGTTTCAGCTTTGGTCATTTGTTGAGCATTTTAGCGACTTCGGTTGGCTGGAGTGACGTCACTGGTCCGACCAAAACCAAACCAAGGCCAAGGGTCGGTTAAGGAGTGCATTTCAAGATGGCAGAAAGATAAATACACGACATGTAACAAAACAGTGTTGGGGATTAATAAGGTTGTAATGCTTATTTGTAATACGAACAGCGATCCTAAGTTTGTACATTTTAAGTGGCCTGTAATAAAATGTCTAAACAACTTACAAGCCCACAAGGTATTATCTCGAATTTTGCCAGGACTGGCAAAAAAAAATTTGATATTGTCAAACTGTCCGCCATGTAAGTTTACAGCTTTTTGACACGGTTTCCGGTTCAGCATGTTTGTGCGCATGTGTTAAAGGGAAAATACAACGTTTGCAAACATCAACAAATAAAACTACCAAATCATTTTGAAATACCTTGCTGGACTGTTAGTGAATGACAGTGTAAAGCATCCTGTAAAATCATGGCACCTGGTATACTGTCATTTTCAAGAAAAGTGCTATTTTTGTATCAATTTCCAACGCTAATCGGCCGATCAGCGTTGGAAAAAACTGGCTTTTTTTCAAATACTGGCCCCAATTGACCATCGCACTTGTTTGCAATCGATTACACACCTATGAATGGGTACAAGCCAGCTAGACTGGTTCCCTGACCTTACAATTCCCCAATGTATGTAAACTGCTCTGTTTCTTCTTATATGGAGTCAGGGAACCAGACTACAGGAAAATGATTGTTTTTCTTGGTTTTTATAGCATTTTCGAACCCAAAACCTCAAAAAGTCAGTGTAACTATATTTGCTATATATTTCCAACCCCCCAATTCCATCCAATTCTGAAAATTACAGCAAAAGCAAATGATGTATATTCCCTTTAAACATGTTTTTGGTTATCAATTTGACGTCACAATCATGTTTCTGGTCGCGGTCGCGAAACACGCCCCAGGCAACCACTCGCCAGACTGCTACCTCTATAGCCCTTTCCCAAGAGCTGTTCGAATTTGGAACAGGCTACCAGTGGCTGCAGGCTACCAGTGGCTGCGGTTACTGCGCCCAATCTGAAAGGGTTCCAGACAGAAGCTCTCCTTGCTATACGAGGGATGGAGCTACCAATCTCTCTCAGGACAAATTGACCATACCACCATCCGATAAGCACCAATTTTGCCAATACCATCATGGGCCAACTTGATCGGCTCTGGAGGGAGCAAGGCCAGTCTTTCGGTAAAACTTCGGTTTTATTGCGTGCACGTGTGCTCTCTGCCCTCCTTTATGGGTCCAAAACCTGGACACTACGCAAGAAAGAACAAGACACATTCAAGCTTTCCTAATGCAGTGTCAGCTTCGCATACTTGGAATCCGATGGTTCGACTTCATTTCCAATGCAATCATCCAGCAGCTTACAAGGCTTGGTAGCATTCTGTCAGAGATCTCGGGGAGGCGACACACCCTTTTGGGTCATGTTCAGCGCCTCCAAGCTACTGCCCATGCTTGTCTTGCCCTTGATGCTGCCATCCAGTTCCACCTTGGCCAACGACCTGCCACCTAGACCAGGCCTCATGGTCGTCCCCGGCCTACCTGGCTTAAGCAGGTTGCAGTTGCTGCGCAGCTGTCACCAACCGCGTGCAGGTGCTGGTCCCTGGTCCCACAACCCACCCTCTCCAGAACAGCAGCAATGCGTTAGGAGAGTACATCAATGCAAGACGCAAGATTTCTAGATTCGTTTGCATACGTTTGCATATCACGAAAAATAATTTCACGAAAATTAGACATCTGAAAAAGGCAGCACTTTCTGATTAGCCTATAAAGAGGGTGAGTATGCTTGTAAAGCAAAAATAAACTACAAACTAAGCCTAAATGTGAAAATCAAATTTGACAAAATTCGACATGTTTTTAATCATGGTGGAAGTGTGGCCTTTATTAATTTACGGAGGTAGGCCTAGTCCAGTATATTGGCAACATTTATAGGGCTATTGTGAATGGAGCGGATAGTCAGATAGTCATGAATTTTCTTGGTTATGTTCATGATAAGTTGTTCTTAGCCCCATAAATGTGGCCAATTTACTGGACTAGGCCTACCTCCGTAAACATAGGCCACACATCCGCCATCACTGAACCTACTCGCACAAGTTTGCAAAGTTATTTCCACATTGCGACTTCAGACCCAGTTCATTTATGCTTTAAAAATACACTCACCCTCTTAATAACAAAGTTTGAACCTGCTTCCAGTGTCAGTTGCCCAGCTGCTGCGTAATTTACGATTATTTCTGAAGGCTTCTTGGCAACTTTTTGGTCCAACTGAACAATAACCTCGCGCAATACCTGACGGGATACGAAACAATATGCAGGGATCGTTCACCTGTCAATCACACATGCACGATGCACGCCGCAGGCCCGGTGGTAGTCAGACAAGTCGACCGTTGAGACAACTCGACTCGGGACAACTCGACCGTTGAGACAGCTCGACTTAACGGAAATCTATACACGTGGAGCGGAAAAAGTTGCATAAATCTGTGGCAAGACCGGTCCCGGGCGCGGCGCGGGCATACTCGATGCACAGAGGGCGCTCCAATCCGGTGGCCGTCGCGTCGGGCCTGTGCGCCCCGCCCGCGAGGACCGGGACCGGCCCGGCACGCGGGCACATCGACCGGCACGGCAAGTGGGCGCACAGACCCGGCACAAACGATGTCACCGTGCACGGTACGGCCACGTTGACCGGGGATAAGTGCGCTCAGGGCTGGCAAAAACGATGTCACCGTGCACGGTACGGACAAGTTGACCGGGGATAAGTGGGCGCACAGGCCCGGCAAAAATCAGTGCGTGAAATTAGACAAAAAAAGTGGTCAGACAAAATGTCCGAGCACAATCAAAAGTGTTCTGCCATTGTCAAGTTTTGATCTGCCATTTAGCGTTCCAAATTTAGCGTCTTCCATAATACACACTATGTAGTTGCAATGACAAGCGCCGGGCATTCACGCGCTCGTTTCTGTAGTAAGCCACGTTGTGAGAATTTAGTAACAATCACGCACTTAAAGCATACCGCGCAACACAACGTACTTTGATCTTGCTAAATTCTCATTACATGTATGCGCGTCAATTAGACTCGTCACTATACAGAGTCGATTCAAGTCTGCAGAACACATAACTTAAACTGGGTGAAATTGCAGTTCTGAATGTCCAAAGAGGCTCGATCGAATCATTATAGCAAGGAATAGAGGTTGAATCAGGTCCAATTTAACACTTTTGCCCAATAGAAATTAACTGGGAATTCCACAAACGGCCACTGCTCATTTCCATAAAATGACTTGAAAAGTACAAAAAGTTGTAGGCCTATTAACTGATTTGTAGAAGAAACACGAAGACTGCTGATCGAAACACAATTTATCGACTTGATTTCACGTCTATTTTTTGGCAAACGGCATGTACGTACGAATGCCAATCTATCGCTGTGCACGCCGCGCTGTACTAGACTGTGTAATGATTGGGGTGTAAACGCGTTGCATCTATTGCGTGAATATAAGACAACACGTACATGTAGTTAGCAGCCGCTCAGCATACGGTAAGTATTACAGACCGGATCATCGGAAATAAACAACAAAATACTTTTGAGTGCAAGCGTTTATTTCATACTTCTGAAAAAGACAACTCCACAAAGAATACATAAATCGCTCGGACATTTTGTCCGAGCACATCTGCATTTGGTCGGACAAACCATGAAAGTGGTCGGAAAATGTCCGATGTCCGACTGTAATTTCACGCACTGTATGCATGTACAGAGTTTCAAATTTTTTGCCGAGATCTTAGTGGGGGGGGGGGGGGGGGCGGAATTCCCCCCCCCCAAAAAAAATATAGCCCGACCATGTCCAAATGTTAAAAAGCGATCCGTAGTGCTAGCTAGTTACTATCAGACCATGGAGCTCGATCGAGACTTCCTCATGCTCATGCACAAAAACAGCACGTTCAAAACAGACACAGAAACTGACTTAAAATGATAGTAAAAAATCACTTTCCTGGAGATAAAATTTCAAAGAAGACAACCAACAGTGCAAGACTGGATATGAATTGAGGAAACCCATTTCATAATATCACCAATATCGCCACCCTTATCACACAAAAAATCACGACAAAATTTACTACTTACCGGGTAAAGAGGTGCATAATATCATTGACACAGACTGTATGAACATGCATATATAGCGGCATGCATCGGCAGAGAGTTCGCTTTCCTGGTCAGTGTTCACGTACAACGCTATCCCGTTGAAATACTGTGAGCTTGACGGGATACCAGTTAGTGACATGACCCGTCGCGCGGGCCGGACATTGACATGGGGCTTTGAATTTGGGCGGGGCCAGCGGAGGAGGCGCCTTTCTAAAACAAAAATATTTCAACATGTGATATGTAAATATATATTAACGCTATTTCTATGACTTTTTTTTTTAAAACTGTAGATTATAACTGTAAATTGACTTAGTCCCTGTTTTGTATCTTTATGTGAGCTAGTCTGACATAAAAACAGATTTATCTTCATGTAATCCACCCATCCTCCATCATTTTTTGTGCGGGCGGACGGAGTCAAAATTGGGGGATAACATATCGATTGCCCCCCCCCCCCCTCCGCACACACACATTTTTTTCGTCCCCGAACAAAAAAAAGTCGCCTACTGTAATGTTTCAGAATATGGCTCAGAATATCTGATTCAACTTCAAACTCGAAAATGATGTTTTGCACCCAAAAAAAATGGTCTCGAGCGGAAGCGATTGACGCCCTTGAGTGTTGGAAAGAGCTACAAATGGACCGCTCAGACCGGTCTATCTCCAACTCGATGATGGATGATATTTTCAGGGTCATGTTGGGACTACGACCTCTACGATGAGGGCCATCAGGATTCCAGAGAAGAACTCGACTATCTGGCTCATCTATACCGACCCTCAAGGAGGTTGGCCGTAGACTTCAAGCTTTCTATTTGCGCTGTCAATGCCGCATACTTGGGATGAGCTTGCCTGATTTGCACCAGCAAGGCCATCTCAGTGATCTCACAGAAAACCAGGCTGCCGGCAAGGGCGGATCGGGGGGGGGGGGGGGTGCGGCGACAGCTAACTAGGTCCGACAACTGTATTGAGCCCCGCCAGCCCCCCTGACCTTGCGGCACACCGCTGCACTGACCGGTTGGTATGGGTGGGGCAGGGCGCCGTATGGATTTTTGAAGACTGATGATGATTATGAATTTCGCAAATGTGTATTTTTTTGGCAAGGGGGGTGGAGCGCTGTCAGTCGGCTTTTGATTATGATCTTACCACCGATATATCAACTATAATATCATTGCATATCAACGTCTTTTGAAATGTCTAGTTATCATACAAAGCAGAAAAGAAATGTGTAAAAATAGGGACGCTCAGTAATAAATGTTCAAAACGAGCTGAATGTTGGGGGAAAAAATATCCTTAACCAGCAAACAGATAACAAACCAAAAGTCAGGGTGGACATAAGGTGCAACACAACAATGTGAAAATTGCTTACATTGTAAGTTAACCCTAACTGCCAGTGCAATAATCGGTTGTGAGCTTCCGGCATTAGACAAATTGTATGCGTCCCATGTACTGAAGAAATCTAGGTCAATCATTCATGACGAATTCCATCCTGCTATATAGTTATTTATTTGAGCTGATGAGAACAGGCAAACGTTACAGAACAATCCGGGCTAATTCCAATCGCACTCTCAACAGTTTTTATCCCAGTGCAGTACGACTAGTAAATGGACAAGTGTTAATATAGTTTTAACGTTTTAGTATTGATTTATTTGGTTTTGGTTTTGGTTTTGGTTTTGAGTATCAATGCATTTTTTAAATAGTAATTGTATAAGGTGTTTTATCAGTAATAAGTCGTTATTAACACGTTTTACTCATTGATTTATGTATGTATGTATTTATACTTTTTTTTTTTTTTTTAACAGCTCGCAACGCCATAATGAATTTCAATCTATGTTTTTTTTATACAAATGACAATAAAGAATTCTATTCTATTCTATTCTAAAGAGGCCGGGGCGGAATCTGTCCCCCCCCCCCCCTTCAACTTTTTCCGCGATAGCCTCGAAAACAAAATTCATAATTTCAAAACCCTTTGTCATGAAATTTCTTGGACATGCTCTTGTTATTGTTCTATGCATGTACCGAGTTTCATAATTTTTCATCGCTCGATGGCCGAGATCTTAAGGGGGCGGATTGTGCCCCCCCCCCCTCCCCACGGCTGAGAGCTGGTCAAAAAAGCCCGGCCCTTCCACCACTTTTCACACGAAGTACTTAACACTATCGTATTCTAACCTTACACTCATAAGGTTGAAGATGTTCAAAACCAAACCTGTTGAAGTTTCAGCTCGGTGGATATTACACTTTTCAAAAAAAAGTGAAAAACGAACCAAGATTTTGTTATTACCCTTTATTTCCAACGATAAGCCAATTGACTGATCGTTGGAAATCACCTACATTTCTTGATTTCTTCTAAATGACAGCAAGCCAGATGGAATAATTTCAAGGGCTGTCCGCATAAAAAAAAAATCTAAACTGAGTAACGCCCGTTCACGCTCCAACGGATCTGTCTGCGGTCCAACTGTGCAAGAGGATATTTCCTTGACTAATAAATACCTATTCAATGGAATAGACCCGTGCAAAACAATGGGTGGGCACCGTGGACAACCATTGTTACTCTGACTAATAAAACCAAGATTGGAGGCAAATCTTTCTTGTCACATTGTCACATTGTCTAATTTGTGCATACGCGATTATACGCTTTAGTTCGATGTTTTTCTACTACTGTTTGGGTTCAAACATTAAACTGATTTCCTTCCCCCCCCCCCACCCCTCTTGTTCATTCCCAACCGACAACCATCAAAAATTGCGCATTTCTATAAAATAATTCAGTTTCCCCCCAACCGCACCCAAACCACACCCCAAAAGGAATGATTTTTTTCCTGGTGGTCTGCAACAGCGCCCTCTATATCACGATCGCGCGTAAGTTCGAATCTGCAAGTTCTACCGATTACAGACCGCATCGACACAAGTACACACAAATTATCGCTCAAGAATTCTCCGAGATCTGAGGTCGAATCGATATCACGATGTCTTCAACGTATTCCTGACACTTCATACACCAACTGTGGATATCTTAAGTTTTGTTTTAGTTTGTGAACATTGGTATTTGTGACTGCTTTTCGTCGAGTGTTTTGACAACGTTCGAAGCGTCCGTTCTTGTTTGCTTTACAATGCGAGTTCATGCGTGCACAGTGTATGGACGTGCATTCAACTGCAGTGCAGATTGAAGCTGAACGCAAGATGACATCTCGATCCAGCAACAGCGGAATGGGCGAGAGTATAGAGGTAAAATGTGTAGGATAACTAATAAGAAAAGTAGTATTCTGATGTCACTTGTCACTACAACTTCAGGTTGTTTAGTGATTATTGAATACTGTTCCTTCATTTGTCATGTTTGTCCTTGCTCTACATGCTCTATCATTTGTCTATGAGTATGATCATATTGATGATTTGTTCCAGAATCAACACTCAGATCAACTAAATCTGTTCAACTAAGTTCAAGTTTATTGTTGTAACTTGTAATCTTTAACAAGGATAGTCCATTTCAGTTTAAGAAAACTGCTTTCCTAGGTTTGGCTTTGCAAAATTATTGCGAATCTATATCACATTTATGGCAATCGTGTTGTATACTAAGGGCCCCTGTTTAGTTTGGATCAAATTAGAGTCAAGGGTGTTTTTTTATCATTCAAAAATGACCTTTTCAACCTAAACTAAAGCATACTTTGCTCATTTCTAATCACACTTTTTGGTAATTTTGAACAACTTGGGGTAGAAAACTAGAAATTAAGATTTGTGTAGGCCTACACGGTTTACGGTTAGTGGCATGTGATTCAGCGCGGTATTGCGTGTCACGGTACATCGGTAAGGCGATTGCATGGCAGGACCTGTAGACTTAACCCTGAATCCTCCAAAATCCTTCTTGCAAATTGGAGGAATTTGCAGGATTGAGGTTACATGGCAAAAGTGGGTTGCTGATTTCGGAGTACGCACTGTGTCAAGGTCTTGGGCCGGACCTTGTGTTGTTTATGCTCAGCCGTGCATAAATTTAGCCTTTGATTAGGCCTATACTTAACATCCTCCGCACTGCTCCAGGATGTCACTGCCTCTGCCTCAGCCTATTGACAGTCATAGCCGGAGGATTTTGCAGGATTCAGGCAGTGGTCACCCCTCCATGGACCATATTCAAGAAATAGCGGAGGAATTTGCAGGATTGAGGCTATATGCTATTTTTTTCATGAGGCCAATTGGAGGATTTTTTCAGGATTGAGGCTACATCCTTGCAAAAAGGCCTAGGGAGTTAGGGTTAAAATAAAGTCGGTACAGGCTTCGCACGTGGTCACGTCATGGTGCATATGCGCAATCACTGAATGAATGTCGCATTGGCATGTTTACAGAGTCATTTAAACAAGTTTATGCCAAGTTATCTCTTTCCTTTTTTTATCAAAAACCTGTAGTTTCCATTGGAATACAAACTTGTGTTTCTGATATTACGCTTTAAAAAGAAAAAATTGTGGTGAAAAATAGTGATCAATTTGGCTTGCAAATGAGTACGGTACGGTAGATCGCGGCAAAGCCAAATCGAATCATGTGATGTTTCCTTCTATTGGTGATTGGTGTAAGACGTTCACTTAAGTTTACCATACATGTGTATTTAACACCGATAAAATCGTGTTCCATATTTTTGTCTCCATAATACGCAGGATTACCAGGTCTTGAACCTCCTTGGCAAAGGGGGCTTTGCCTGCGTCTACAGAGCTAGGGCCATCAACACTGGTCAAGAAGTAGCCATCAAAATGGTAAGGCCAAAATATAAAAAGACAAAGTTCAAAGGCCGTCCATTTTGGAATAATGAATTAGGCCTATTCGATTATTTGAAACTGTGTTCAACCGAATATTCAAATATTTGAAGCTCGCCGTTCAAGTTAACTGCGTGCCACACCAATCAACAGTTGCACGCAGAGCGCGCTGGTTAAAATTTGCGTGCGGTGTGGGTGATCGATATTATGAGCCACTCGAGTGTTTTGCAGAAGTATTCTATAACTGTCGAGGGCATAACTCCCCCCCCCCCCCCAATAAAATATTTAGGTTCCGTGTGATTTTCTTGGTTGGGCGGGGTATAGAAAACACAAGTATTTTCATTCTTGGCCTAGTAGGCCTTTTACAGCGTGAGTCAGAATGATCTGTACCCAAATTAAAGAAAATATTTAAAATATGTAGCAATTATCAAAACAAGTGCAAATGAGATATGTTATAGGCTGGTATTTTGGACATAAGGAAAGTTTCCATATAAGAAGTTCACTAATTTTCCTCTGTATTGACTAACAAGCCCCCAGATAGCAATTTCATGTCATCAAAATCAATTTGAGCAGTGAGAAAATACAAGCATTTTCTTAGAAAACACTTAGAATTTTTCAGTCCAATCTCATAGGGTTTGTACACAGGGTGTTGAGTGAACTTCGTATATGGAAATCTTTCCGGACATATTTGGTGAAAGTTTCATGTATATCCATTGTACCATTTATACCGCTAGTAAAGAACGCACGCTAAAAAACACTGTGACCACGGTTCCAAATTTATTGAAATCGCGTGCTGATGGACTGCATTTTATACAATGCAGTCACATCAGTACGCGGTGTCAATAAATTTGTTGAACCATGGTCAAGAGTGTTTTTTAACGTGTGTTATTTGCTAGCGGTTTTCTTCAAAAAGGTACAGTACACTGGATGTATACACATGAAACTTTCCCCAAATATGTCCAAAATACCAGCCTTAAACATATCTCATTTGCACTTGTTTTGATAATTCGCTACATATTTTTAATATTTCCTTTAAAGGGGAATGTACAACATTTGCTTTTGCTGCAATTTTCAGAAATAAATTGATTTGGAGGATAAGTATGTTATAGCAAATATTGTTTATGACTTGCTTCACGTTTTGGGCTTGTAGATGATGGAAAAAACAAGAAAACCAATTAAGTTCTTGTAGTCTGGTTCCACGACCCCACTTAAGGTGAAACATAGCAATTTAAGACTTTGGGGAATTGTAAGGTCAAAGAATCGATCTAGCAGGCTTGTACCCCTTCACAGGTGTGTAATCAATTGCAAAACAAATGCAGAATAACTACATTTTGAGAAAAATAGGAGCAATTTTTCACCCCAAAAAACAAGTTTTCTCCAACGCTTTTCCGGCCAACCAGCATTGGAAATTAATACCATTTTTCTTGAAAACGTCAGCACACCAGGAGCCACAATGTTACAGGATGCTTTAGACTGTCATTCCCTAGCAATCCAGTAAGGTATTTCGTGATAATTTGATCATTTCATTTTGTGATGTTTGCAAATGTTGTATCTTCTCTTTTATTTGGGTCCAAATCATTCTGACTCACGCTGTATGGCAACAGATTTTGAGTACATTCTTTCTGTTATGTTCCTTTTTTTTTATTGGTTGAGTAGATTGACAAGAAGATGATGCAGGCAGCAGGGATGGCGGGCAGGGTCAGGAACGAAGTGGAGATACAGTGCCAACTCAAACATCCATCCATCTTGGAGGTAAGGCATTCTAAGCCCTGTTCTAGACGCCGTGCTACTGCCGTGCCAAAATTACTTGAAATGATGCGGCAATAGCTCATCTTGAGCACAGCAGTTGCTCTAAACGCCGAACTAAAAGGAAACATGCAATATAATTATGAAGAGGATTTTATAACTTAAATACTTTTAAAACAGCTTTTTTGCCTTGTTACTATGACTTTCCACCTCCTTTGTAGCAGTAAAAGGGAGAAATTTCAACATTTTAGTTTTTATGCTAATGAACATTTCCATGTTTATGAGCAAAAGCGTGATGTCATTCAAGGCAGAACAGCAGTGTCTCCGTAGCTTTGTGTGCAAATATTTCAAACTTTTCTTCATTTTCTTGGAGTAAGTTTCACTTTTTACTTGTTAATCATATTAAACAGCTTGTTTGGACAATAGTAGTGGCCACTGTTTCTTCAAAACTTATTTTGTGGGTAATTTTCAAAGACTTATTTTTGTACTGTTCATATGCACTTTTGACAAGGATTGCCTTGTTTGACAAAAGTAAAATAGTGCCCTCTTGCATGTATTAATGAAAGGATTTGCTTATTATTGAAAAACTACCACTTTCTTGTTACTTCCAATGACAAGAAGTATAAAGATGGTTGCAAAACATAGTAGTGTGCATGAAAACAAGATGAGCTGAATTTCCACTGCATGCTTCCTTTAATAGTCGAACCTTACTGCGTCAACAGGAATGGGCCAGGTTAAAGCAGTACATGCAGTTCAATGAACTTTCAGCACTATCAATATATTTCGCGCCTATTTCACTCCCCAGTTTCAAACAAAAAGACGTCCTCTTAATTCAAAGGTTGAAATTAATTTATTGGTTACTCATTTGCTGGCCGATTTTTACATACGATATCTCATTGGAAAGCTCATAAACTAATGTTATGCTGGAAAATTATCAATTAAATTTGAAAATCTATTTTTCGGGGTGCCACACCGAAATAGCAAGTCTACACCAACTTTAAAGATATAGTCCATCATTTGTAATTTGTGTATTTTGTCGTTTGAAGCAACAAAAGTGCTCAAAATCTAAAGAAGGGTGCACCAACTAACCTGATGAAGTTTCATCTCAGCTTCAGCTGTATTTTTCGAGAAAAACAACATTCTAAGATCTCGATTTCAAATCAAAAGTTGCTGAATCATGTTTTGAATTGGGCCTGAATTTAGCGTCCGAGACTCGTTCTCACTGAGCCTATTGCAGCTACGCGATGTCGCGCACTGATCCGATGAATTATAGCAACCGCACGCGCGTTTACGTCGTGCCGATGCTTGCGCGTGCTTCGCCGAATAACAAAACGAACTACAAATTTGAATTTCCTACGGTGCTTCTTAAGAAGCACCGTTGGAAAGGCCTTCTGTTGTTGATTTCTTCAAAATGACAGCTTGCCAGAAAGAATAATTTCACAGGGAGTTTAGTTCCCTTACTATCTCTCAACCAAGTATGTTTTTCAACAGTAATTACGCCAGTAACTTTTTGGATAGCTGCAAATGATGGACTCTGGCTTTAAAATGCTGGAGCTAGCCAAATCTATTGCGGTGGGATTCTTCTTGGCATGGTGGTAGTCTTCTTGCCTCCAAGTATGGAGGGTCAACCGTACAAAATTTGATTGTTTGTGTTTTTGATTTCCCACAGTTGTACAGTTACTTTGAGGACAACAACTACGTGTACCTAGTGCTGGAGATGTGCCATAATGGAGAGATGAACCGATACCTCAAGACGCACAACAAGGTGCTAACGGAGGAAGAAGGTAGCCCAAAACTAGGTTGTACATGCGAACTTTGAAAACAATTGTATAAAAACAAGCTCGATCGGGTCTCAGAAGCTGTGGGCCAACAAATTCGTGTTCATCCATGAGTCACGTGATTGTACCATGTAATTTCTGGAACGAGTAGTGTTTTGAGTTTTAAAAAAAAATCAGGTTTTTGACCCCAGTGACCCCATGATAACCTTTGACCCCAGTTTGGTCATGTGACATGTTGGGGCTGGGCTACTGACACTTTTGACAAAGTTTGGTTGAAATCGGTCAAAATATGTAGGAGCAATCAACAATATCAACGTTTAATTGTTACTAACTAACTAACTAACTAACGGAGAGACATGATGATTTGTTGAGCTGGTATCCCGCAGGTAAAAATCACATGACACGCTTGTACATGGAGATAAGAGCTTTCACTATACCACATACATATTCATGATCGCGAGCCGAATTCTCATTGGTTCATTCACCATCACGTGCCAGATGCTATTTTTGCTGTTTGCCAAGCGCCCTGGCCAGTATTCGCACATATGGTGAATACGCATGCGTAGTAGACTGTCGCACGGGTTACCCATGCGTCAGTCTACTACGCATGCTCTTTACGAAGCAATCGTGGAACTGTCGCACGGGTGCACAGAACATCACCCTAGCTAGCTGCAGGCTGCACACGAGCTTCATGTCAAACTGGAGAATATTGTGGACAATAAAGATGCCCCCTATACTAAAAAAAAAAGTAATCTACAATGCGGTATCTCTTTGGAGTCACTGTTTTGCAAAAGAACTGAACTTTTCTGAGGTTGAGCAATATTCTTCTGGTGAGTGGGTCAAGTTTCTCTGCAGATTTTATGCCCACAAGGTGCACACTGCAACGGGAAAATTCAGCAACTGAAATACTTTATGAGGTATAGTAAAACAAATATAACATGGTTAATTTCGGGTGGACAGTCGATATTAGCTCCCCCCAGTATTGAAAGTTGGCAAACTAGTTCCTTCGGCTTCGCCTCAGGAACAAGTTTGTCAACTCGACTGTCCACCCTCAAACCGTGTTATATTTGTATATTAAAGAATTTTAACCCAATGTTAACTCTCTCAAACTATTGAGGGGGTACTTGCGCACGGAGCCCATAAAATTGGTGAAGGGCAAGACCCAATATTCAACTTGAGCATGCCTTCCTTGTTGTTTTGTTTACCAGCACGCCATTGCCTGAAGGAGATAGTGATCGGGATGCTGTACCTGCACTCCCACGGGATACTGCATCGCGACCTGACCCTGGCTAACGTACTGCTCACTAAGGACATGCACTGTGTAAGTAGAAACACTGGTTCCTTGTCCCTCCATCACCAACTCTTTGAATGGAATTGACCTATCGCGGTAGAATCACGTTAGAATCGCGTCAACGCAGCTTGTGAAATATTGTCCAATTACATGATATACAAATGGACGCGGAACGCGCAAAATCTGAGACGAATCAGACTTAGTGTACAAAAACTCCATAGGGTTGTCTAAGGGGCGTGGCTAACTCGCAAACGGCGATTGGTCAATTAAAATACATTGGGAAAAAATCCTCCGGTGTATGCTAATTAGAAATGAGAAATTAGCACACTGATATTCCCACAATGCAACAAGCCTTAGGGCCATTCAGGATAGTCAGTGTTAAAAAAAATTCGATCTTTTTTTGTGGGTGGGTGGGTGGGTTAAATGAAATAACTGAAAATCGAAATTCAGTTTTCAATTAAAGTCATAGAAAAAAAACTACAAAAAATACTACATACAGAATAAATAATTACATGAAATTGTCACAGTTAAAAGTCAACAAGATATACTTCATCCCTATGTTTTTTTGTGTGTGAAATGGAGCAAGCTAAATATTTTACAAATATTTTTCAAATTGGGTAACTTTCTTTTTGACTCACCCTGTATCTGGTGTAAATTTACGCACGGCTGAGCATTAACAACACAAGGTCCGGCCCAAAACCTTGACACAGTGCGTCCTTCAAAATCAGCCACACATTTTTGCATTAATTTATAGCCTCAATCCTGCAAAATCTTTCATTTTGCAAAGAGGACTTTGAAGGATTTTGGAAGGTTAGGGTTAGAGTTCAATTGATATGACTTTTTTTCTCTTCCACAGAAAATTGCAGATTTTGGGCTGGCGGCAAAGCTGAACATGCCCAACGAGAAGCACTACACAATGTGTGGGACGCCCAACTACATCTCACCGTACGTAGACAGTTTTTTTTACCCTAGCTAATAGGGCTGAGTCAATTCGAATAATTGAATATTCGAATATTCGACCTTCCAATCGATCGAATATTCGAATATTCGGTTATTTGGCCATTCCAAATTCCCTCAAAAGCAAAAATATGCCATACATGTACATGTAGTCAACGTACGTGCGCACGTCAGCATGCCATGCATGATTTCTTCACAGGTAAGTCAGGTATTTGACAACAATCAGTTGTTCTTCAGTCGTCAGTAATTTAAAGATTAACAATAACCAGAGAAGCTAGAGTGAAGAATTCCCTGTTTGCATGGGGGACGTATTAAGCCGTGAACCCCAAACACGGCGGGTGGCGTCAGCTATTGTGACTCTCCGACCCTTAACTCGCAAACAGGAACCGAGCATATCTATTACTGGAAGCTTCTTGAAGTCTACAAAACGGTGTACTTCCTAGTCACAGTATTGAGGATAAAAAAATCACTTTTAATTTTATAATAATAACTCGCACTTTTGTCACCAAGAATTGAGGAAATGATTTTATATCATTTTAAATAAACTTATTCTCAACAACCAAAAACTCCAAGAAAAAAACCTATGATATTTAATGTCTTTATTCAATGAAATATGGGTCTTTGAATTGTAAATGCATATTTAAGTTTATGCAAATACATGTAATGGGCCTGGGCGCGGCATACACACGCCCCAGCTTGACACGTGCAAAGCAGTATTTCCTTGTTTGCCCACAGGGGATGTATTATAAGCTGTGTACCCAAAACACAAAGGTGAAATTTCAGCCCCCCCCAAAAAATCGCCAGCCGAGCTCCGGCGGGCGCATTGTTGGCGGGCTAATTAGGGCACAGGTGCACTGACCCGGTTCCTTTGTCTGGCTAAGTGCGTGCTCTGGAGATAACTTTCTAACAAATAGGCCACTAAAAGGTTTGGATATTCCAACTTGCAACATTTTGATACATTTTGTCTAGCTGTGGTTTTCTATGCTGGGAATCAGGGGTACGGTGCGGAGAGTTGACCGCAAAGTCTGTCTGGCGAAATAAATGAGAGCCCTTTTGAGTTTGAAATCCTCTCTGTTGTCTGCCCTTTTTCTTGCGTTTTGCTCGACTTGGAGGACATAAGCCAGAGGTTCCTGCTATTATTACTGAAAGTATAATTGCTGAACTAGTTTTTGAACTGTTTATGTATGTTTTATTTGTGCAAATATTGGGTGCAATTAGCAGACTAACCCAGCGAACAAAGCTGACGGACAGCGAACGAAAATGTGTTCGATAAAAGGGTGCTCTGATCAGTTGAGAGAACTAGATTATAACTATAACTATAACTTACAACATGTATAATGCGCTTTCCACCATGTTTCAAAGCGCACATGTACATGTATATAATTACGGAGGCATTGAGGCGAACATCTAACAGCCATAATAAATTTACCCCTAAAAGTAAACAAGAAATTCTTTTAGAAAAATCCCAGAGTCCGTAACGTAAATGAAACAAGGTTTTCAAAACGTTTTAATGTAATGTTGGGGTTCATGACAAGTTTTCTACAACACCGCCACGTGCTGTGGGCAGCATACTGCGTGCAAGGCGATTCCCTATAACCACGTGCATTCGACACGATTGAACAGGCGATGGAAAACTTTGGGGGGAATTGGCTTCGCTGTATCAGTGTAATGTACCGCTTCTTGTGCGACCCTGTGCGAGCAGTACGTCCTCAAAATAAGTACATGAAAACGGAAAATACAAAGGCCCACACACAAAAAAGAAATCAAGTTCTTTGCATGAGATTGCAGAGGTCTTCTACATCGATGTTGGCATGCCATTTTCGCGATGTCAATAGCCGATCCAGTAAGCCCCTCCCAATGCGCACGTGGGCAAATTAACACGTGCTCCTCTCCAATGCCACGCTGCATTTTCCTATGCTGCACACATGTACATGTAACACCAACGCGCGGGGAAACTTGCCAGGATGGCATCGGGGAAAACAGCGGCGGTTTTCTTTTGAAAGTAGGGATTGTAAGTAGGACAACAACAAACAGAAATAGGGACAACGGAAACGTTACTACTCATGCTAGAAGTTTGATATGAAAAGGTGTCAGGAAGTGTTTTGTGAAGACATGAAAGACAAAATGTCTTGTTTATCTTGTCGGAAGCATCAGCGATTGGTGTTGCAGTCCGGCGTTAAAAAAATGGGTTGGCTTTACTGCAAGCACTCCCAAAGCAGAAGTAATATATGTATGGCATTATTGCTTGGCATTTTTCTTTGTAGTCATCGTCACCACAATGCAACCACCAAAATCGCGGTGTCCCAAAGACGCCCTAAAGCTTGTGCTCAATGTTTTCCCGACAATCAAGTGTATATGGGCTCCGTGCGCCAACAAAAGAGGGCGCCCTTTTACCTAGCAACGACGTCCCATGGGCAAGACACATACATTTCGCTGGTTGACGTGCGCATCATACCTTGTGTGTGAGGCACGTACACCAAGGGTTTCTACTATATACACACAGTGGTCGCGCTTCGCAGAAAAATATTGCAGTCAGGCAAGATGGCGTCGTTCGGTCACCCCCAACTGTACTTTCTTTGCCGGTGAGGGGGTACTTGTGAACGGAGCGGATACATGAAACTTGCTATCTTTTAAATCCACCAGATTATGCTGGAATAAGAAAAGTAGAGCTAAATCATGATACGTTATTGCTACTGTACAGTGTTGTAGTACTCATACTCAAGTACATTACTTTTTGAGAATACTTGTACTTGCATTCGTACTCGAATATCAAAATACTCGGACTTGAATTCCCAGCAAAGCACTTGGACTCTACTATTCGATATTGTACTCCATCACCAAAGCACTTAGTTGTACGCAGTTATTTGACTCGGGGAAAAATGAAACATTTTTTGGAATGAAAAAAATCTCACTATTGTTATATGAAGTGTAGCAGAATTGGCTTTCAAGAAGTCTTGCTCAAAAGTAGTCCATTCATAAGCCAGTTCAGTATTCCAAAAATAGTCTGGTGCACAGCAAGATTCGAAGATTTTCTTTTCTGGGATAACCGCTGCAGATAACTGCACACAAGGCTATGGGGGACGTGGTTACCAAATCTGCATTCTGTGCAATTTTTGGTGCAATTGAAAAGAGATGAACTTTTGTTCGCACAAAAGTTTTGACACACAAGACACCTGAAAACACTTCGCTGTCCAAAGACTTTGTGCAAAATGTTAAACTTCAGATTACGATGATCTCTTCAATTTTGCTGGTACCCCGCTATGCTTTTGTACGCAAACGATTAAATGTTTATCCCGAAAGACAAAATCGGCAAATCTTGATGTGCACATGCGCAGTTGGAATACCGAACTGGCTTATTCCATATTGCTAAATAGGTGGCTTCAGTGTTCACCCATTACTCAAGATTTTAATTGTTTTTATTTGAGTACTTCATAAAGTACGGTACTTGGAGAGTCATGTAGCTAGACTCGGGTACCTGTTCTCGTTCTCAAGGGTCAAAGTACTTGAATGCGTGTGGTACTTAAAGGAAATATACATCATTTGCTTTTGCTGTAATTTTCAGAAATGGATGGAATTGGGGGGTTGGAAATATATAGCAAATATAGTTACACTGACTTTATTGAGGTTTTGGGTTCAAAAATGCTATAAAAACCAAGAAAAACAATCATTTTCCTGTAGTCTGGTTCCCTGACTCCATATAAGAAGAAACAGAGCAGTTTACATACATTGGGGAATTGTAAGGTCAGGGAACCAGTCTAGCTGGCTCGTACCCGTTCATAGGTTTGTAATCGATTGCAAACAAGTGCGATGGTCAATCGGGGCCAGTATTTGAAAAAAGCCAGTTTTTTCCAACGCTGATCGGCCGATCAGCGTTGGAAATTGATACAAAAATACCACTTTTCTTGAAAATGACAGTATACCAGGTGCCATGATTTTACAGGATGCTTTACACTGTCATTCACTAACAGTCCAGCAAGGTATTTCAAAATGATTTGGTAGTTTTATTTTTTGATGTTTGCAAATGTTGTATTTTCCCTTTAATATTCCTTGAAAGGTTAAGTATTGTACACATAATGTGCCTTCGGTTTACGGCACAGTTGTGAAATTGTTTGGAATTTGGGAAATTTCCTCTCATTAATATTGCCTGTGGTGTTAGAATTTTGTGTGCTAAATTATCAAATGTTTTGATTCTTCTATGCGCAGTGAGATAGCGACCCGCAGTGCTCATGGTCTCAAGTCAGATGTGTGGTCGCTTGGGTGTATGCTCTTCACGTTCTTGACTGGCCGGCCGCCATTTGATGTATGTATGAAGCATTCAATTTCCACTAGTAGAGGGTGCGTTCGAGCGTGTTACTCTTGCTACTCCCGAGTGCAGAAAAATGTTGCGTGCGCATTACTCTCGGTGCAAGAGTATACTCCCGTTATGACGGAGAGTATACTCTTGCTAACCCGCGGGTCGTACTCCTGCCGTTCGTGCGCTCAGGAGAATGCTCATGTTAACACGAGTAGCACGCTCGAACGCACCCAGAGAAGTTAAAGCTATAGTCCATCATTTGTAATTTGTGCATTTTGTTCGTTTGAAGCAACAAAAGGGTTCAAAATCTATTGAAGGATACTGAACAACTAACCTGATGAAGTTTCAGCTAAGCTTCAGCTGTACATATCGAGAAAAACAGCATTCTAAGATCTCAATTTCAAATCAAAAGTTACTGAATCATGTTTTGAATTGTTTTGAATTGCAGCCATACGCGACGTAGCGCACTGATCCGACGAATTATAACAACCACGCGCGCGTGTGCGTCGTTCCAATACTTGTGCGCGCTGCGCTGAATAACAAAACGAACTACTAATTTAAATTTTCCTACAGTGCTTCTTAAGAATCACCGTTGGAAATGCCTTCTTTCGTTGATTACTTCAAAATGACAGCTTCCCAGAAGGAATAATTTCACAGGGAGTTTAGTCCCCTTACTATCTTTCGACCAAGTATGTTTTTCAACAATAATTACGCCAGTTACTTTTCGGATGGCTGCAAATGATGGACTATAGCTTTAAGCTACAAGTTTTTGAAAGAACATGCAGGCCTAGGACCTATGTTGCGTCATTGATACACGTGTTAGCACCGTCCCAACTACACTGAATATTTGAATATTTGCTTATCAACTAAATGTTCGAATAGTTTTTTGTCAGTTTGAAAATGCGAAAACAAAAAAACTATGCATATACACGCACGACTGTTATGTTATCGTAAAGTTCGGCCCTTAATTATTGTCAGGTGCCACTGTTATGTCGATAGTAACTTTTTTGTCGACGGCGGTTCATTGTTCCCACCCTTTGGGGTAGTGGGTACACGTAGTTGTTAAGTTGTTACTTTCTCAACGACTGCCCGCTATTTATTTTGTCAGTCATTGTTGATTTATCATGTCAATCATGCCGGTCTGCAGACATAATCGGCAGGCGTCAGCCTTTGTGAAATACCTAAAACATTTAAATGTTTAAAACGGTTCGAAAAATATTTGCTAATCGTTTAGAAAGGTGAACGCAAAGTCACCGCCTTAATGTTGTTCCCTTCTACAGACGGAAGCAGTGAAGAGCACACTGAACAAAGTGGTCCTGGCAGACTACATCATGCCTGAGTAAGTTATTGGAATTTCTATTCTCCGCAATGTTACTCATTAAAGCTATAGTCCATCATTTGCAGCTATCCGAAAAGTAACTGGCGTAATTATTGTTGAAAAACATACTTGGTTGAAAGATAGTAAGGGGACTAAACTCCCTGTGAAATTATTCTTTCTGGCAAGCTGTCATTTTGAAGTAATCAATGAAAGAAGGCCTTTCCAACGGTGCGTCTTAAGATGCACCGTAGGAAAATTTAAATAAGTAGTTCGTTTTGTTATTCAGCGAAGCGCGCGCAAGCGTTGGCACGACGCACACGCGCGCGCAGTTGCTATAATTCGTCGGATCGGTGCGCGACATCGCATAGCTGCAATGGGCTCAGTGAGAACGTGTCTCGGACGCTGAATTCAGGCCCAATTCAAAACATTATTCAGCAACTTTTGATTTGAAATTGAGATCCTAGAATGCTGTTTTTCTCGGAATATACAGCTGAAGCTGAGCTGAAACTTCATCAGGTTAGCTGTTCAGTATCCTTCATTAGATTTTGAACACTTTTATTGCTTCAAACGAACAATATGCACAAATTACAAATGATGGACTATAGCTTTAACCCACATTCGATTTTAGAACAAGTTGCGTAACGTGGGTCCAATTTGCGGGGCAGGGGGGCACTCAGTCGGTTTTGAAATTCTGGAGAAAGGGGGTGGCCACAAGGAGGCGCACATGTCACCTCGATCAGAGGGCCAGTCTGCATGCCCCCATGGTGCCCCCTCCCCTAGTTGGACCTCTGTTAAAAAAAAATTAAATAATTACTATAATTGACATAATATTTTACTTTAAAAAAAAAATTCAAAATGCATTGCTTATACATATATACATGTGTACATGACAAAAGTATCAAACCTGTAGGTTTCTGATATGTGCTCAGAAAATCTTGCAGTTTAACATTTTCGGTTGCATTTCGCTTGTTCAAAATTTGCATCGTTTAAAACAAAAAAAATCCCAAAATGTAGATCAAGAATTTTTCCAAAGTTTGTGTTACAAACAATTTCCCCTCACATTTTGTCTCACCAGGAGTATATCTGTTGAAGCCAAGGATCTGATCCTGAACCTCCTCAGAAAAAACCCAGACGACAGGCTGAGTCTATCAGGTATGAAAACAAAAATAGGCAAATCAATCAATACATGAAAAAAGTGTACAAACTTTTGCTGTATTTCAATTCCCAATAGTTCGCTTTGGTATATACTATAATTTTCATTTTGCTGATGACTTATGCTTTGTTTTGTCTTGGAATATACATTCAAAGTTTCTTTGAATAACATATGCTCCAATAAAAACTGTCACTACTTTAATGTTGTTACCAAAATGTTTGTTTCAAAAATGGTATGCAAACTCAACTTCGCTTTTTTCTTCTCAAAAATCACCCTTCTCATGTTTTGTTTTGCGAATGTCGCTTTCTTTTGCTTGGTCCGTGAGTGTATATGTGGAGATGAAAATTTACAGCAAAAGTTAGTTTCAAAAGTCAACTTAGCTGTGATTGTTCATTGTCGCTCGCTTGAGTGTCACATTCAGGCATGCAACTTTTCCTCGGATCAGCTGATTTCCTCTTTTTTTACTTCCCATGTGTGCCATTGAAAATAGAAAAACAATGTACAAAGTCTGGGAAAAATTTGAATTTCCTCTTTTTTTTGTGATATCCCAGTTGCATGCCTGCACATTGATATTCTTTTCCCCCCCCTCCAAACTCAGGTGTTCTGGATCACCCCTTCATGACAAAGAGTCCTCTCTCCAACCATGAAGTAGGACAAGACCAGCAGACTGCCAAACAAGTGGGTTTTATCTTTGCCAGAATTTTTTTTACAATTGGCTTCTAAAAATGGCTGAACAAGTGCGAATGCATAATGAGCTCTGGCCATCTTGCATGAGGGCAATTCCATTTTTGATGTACTTTTGAGTTTCCTTGGGCCGTAATAACCTTACTGAAAAGGTTTAAGAACTGTTAACCCCATGGTAGATAGAGTAGACCTAGACCTACCTAAGCACCAAAGATGACATCCAGAAAAATGTGTTATGTATGATAAATAAGACGCACAAAATCGGTTACTCACGTTACGAAAATGTAACGTGAGTAACCGTGGAATTGCCCATGAAAGTCTTGCATGAAATCTATCAAGCAGACTATCAAAATGATCCCTGCCAGAGCTTAAAAATGCGACGCCAATAAATGCGACGCCGATGGCACATATGGAACACCATACTTAAGATGTATACCTAGATTTATAGCGATTTGTGATAAATGTCACGTGACTATAACATTACTGCACACATTTTGCCTCCATTTACAAACTTTTCATAAACATCTTTCCGAATTGTTACAAACAATTTTTGTTAAGCATGTAATTTATTTTGTTTCTTTTTTTGAAAATGAAAATTTTGTAGTTATATTTTGTGGGAAACTTACGGGGCTTAATTTCGTCAATTTTCGGGGACAGACATACCGACCGACCGACCACCAAGTGACACGTAGAAGCTCCTCCAGAGTTTAAAAATCAAATTCCATGGCACAATGTCGTGTTGCTGATATTTCTTATTCTTTCGAAACTAGTCAGATCATGTTAAATTCCTTTAGATTAGACAACTTAAATTCCTTTTATTTCTCATTTGTAATTTCATCATTCAGAGGCACATAGAGTCGTCAATGGACAGCGGCCACGCCACCATGGCAACCCTCTCCACGGCAACGACCTTTCCCAGCCGCCTCTCCTCGCGTAGCCGGCCAATCAAAGCCCTGCCCCTCCCGAATCTCACCCCGTTGGTCTCGCAGGAAGAGGAGGGGGTGGGCGGGGCCAAGGTGTTCGGCAAGGGCTCCGGTTTTGAAGGCGGAAGAGGGCACAACGAAGCAAGGTGGACAGGGAACCAGTATGACCGGCACCCACCATCACCACCAGTTCGAGACAGGGCAAGGTAGGTTTGATTTGACTTGTTGGAGGTCACTTATTAATGTTCACTTGTGCAAATAGACATGCACTATTGCCCTCGTTGACAGTCAGTAGATATGCACTAGTGCCCTCTTTGCCGGTCAATATGTGTATAGTACAACCGTACCATATGAATGGTAAATGTAATGGCTGACTGCAAATATATTTATTTTCACTCATTAAACATGTATCTTAGTTCCCAAATAGACATGCAAATAGATATGCACTAGTGCCTTCATTGACAGTAGACATGCTCTAGTGCCCCCTTTGACGGTCAATATGTGTATTTTTACAACCGCACCATATGAATGGTAAATGTAATGACAGAACTGCAAATATTATTGTGATTTTTATCACTCATTGTATCTTACTTCCCAAATAGACATGCAAATAGAGACGCACTATTGCCCTCGTTGACAGTCAGTAGACATGCTCTAGTGCCCCCTTTGACGGTCAATATTTGTATATTACAACCTCACCATATGAATGGTAAATGTAATGACAGAACTGCAAATATTATTGTGATTTTTTTCACTCATTACATCTTACTTCCCAAATAGACATGCAAATAGAGACGCACTATTGCCCTCGTTGACAGTCAGTAGACATGCTCTAGTGCCCCCTTTGACGGTCAATATGTGTATATTACAACCTCACCATATGAATGGTAAATGTAATGACAGAACTGCAAATATTATTGTGATTTTTTTCACTCATTATATCTTACTTCCCAAATAGACATGCAAATAGAGACGCACTATTGCCCTTGTTGACAGTCAGTAGACATGCACTAGTGCCTGCTTTGACAGTCAATATGTGTATTATTACAACCTCACCATACGAATGGCAAATATAATGTCAGAACTGCAAATATTATTGTGATTTTTACCACTAATTGTATTTTATTTCCCATCTAGCTTCAAGACAATTTCTGCATGCGACGACAAATCGGGGTCCGTTTTATCCACGTCGTCCAAACAAAATTCCTGGCTGGACAACTTGGGTATGAATCAGATATATTTATTTTTCAGAAATAGGAGAAAAACCAAGATTACCTAATCTGCTGTCATCAAGTGCAATTTCTTTGATGAAATGTATAGAGTACATTTCCACTTTTTGCACATTAATCTGGATTGTTTTGCTTGGCCTGTAGTTTTAAATTTTAGTTACAAATACTGTTTGTACAAACCCATAGTGTTTAGGTGCTAAAACTGGACACGTTAGCAACGATGTTTGAGTGTCTTCCATCTTTCTTCTTTCACCGTTGAGGGAAACTTTCACAGAGAGTCCAGGTTGGCTAAATATTTTTGTTGTTGGGGGGGTGGTCAAGGAGTTTAGCTTAAGTCTGACCCAGCTTAATAAACATTAGTTCTCATTTCCACAATTTTAACATGGTGTTGTTGTTTTGGGGTTTTTTTTTTGCATCAGGTGGTCAGAGTTCAGAAGGAAACAGACATCGGTCATTGCAGGACACCAGCAATCACTGTACCCAGTCTACGGACACCAGTGATAAATCCACAAGCTTCTTGGCCGGTTTGCACCGTTCCCAGCACGGCAAGCGGCTGGACTCGACAGAAGGGAGAAATTGGTCCACAGCTCGCGAAGACAACGTCAGGCATGGATTCGGTGCACACAACACAAATGACAATCACTGGAATGGCACATCGGACTCTAGTAGAGAATTCAGGAGCAACTGGAACAGCGTGGACAAATCTGACAGATTTCGTGGGACGAAAACTAGCGATTTCCCCATCGGAGGTTCCACTCACGTCGGCATGCGCAGCAAAGAGCACTCCGCCTCGGAAGAGCAACTGTTTCAGAAGAAGTCTTCCCAAGATTCAAGACAATCTAAAGACAGATATGGAAACCACGAGAAGGGGTCGGGCATTTTGCAAACCGAACCAAGCGAGTTCAGGACAGAAGGTCTTGACCATAGAGCTGCCCAACAGATCTCGGACAAGAGGTGGGATTCTTACCAATCGCATCACGGCACCGGAGGAAAGACTCACCAAACCAACAGTTCCACTGACCTATCGGGACACTCGTCGCAGGACGCCGGTCGGTCCCATCATGCAAAGCACCGTAGGAAAGAGGACATCGATAACGCCAACTTGCAGAAGAGCCGACCCTCGTCGACAGCGGTGTCGTCCGGAGACGGTCGCAGGAGGGAGGGGCACGCCAGCGAGACGAAACAGAGGCACACCCAGAAACATGAGAAGAGGGAACGGAGCGGTGCCGATAATGTCGGCAAGAGTCTGGTTGAGTTGACGGCACCTCTGAACGCACGCAGGCTGAGACCCATCAGGCAACGAACAAGAAACGCCATGGTAAGTTGAGAAAGCCAATGGATTAGCCGAGGGTAAAGTAAAACACAAAAAACGTCTGGACAAAAACAGAGCTAGCACACTCAAACTTTGATCACTTTGAACTGTTGGAATGAACTTTGAGCGCAAACTTTGTTTGGACAAATTTGGCCTATGGTGGGTATGTGTTCGTTGCAATTAGTTCAGACTTACAGTGGAAAATTTGTTGAGACAAAGAGGCTGACAGGACAAATTAACTGTCCCCTGTTGCTTGTGACTGGACTTTTGATTGGACTTTTGATTTATCTGTGACTGGACTTGTGATTGGACTTGTGACTGGACTTGTGATGGACTTGTGATGGAATTGACTATGACGCCGGTTTTTCAGGTGAGTATTCTCGAGAGCGGCGAGGTTTGCTTGGAGTTTCTGAAGACCAAGGACGGCAGGGACCGGGTGGTTGAAGTCTGCAGGATCTCAGAAGATGGAATGAAGGTAGGACACGCCTTCCAATATCTCATTATGATAATAATTGCTTTTACAAAGAAAGCCAAGTTTCTGCTTGATACACACAAAAAGTTTCTTAAAAAAAAACAACTTAACTGTAATCAAAATTACAGTCAATTATTGGTTACCACCACAGCACTGGTTGCCAATATTCACATAATGTCATAATGTACAACAGGGAGCAGAAACAATGAGAGCTGTAACAGTGACACAGTTGTATCCTGCAGCAGTTGGTGACCACAGACTCTTGGGCAATTTGGCCTTGAGATTTTTGACCGGGGCGGCAGGATTGTCATTTTAACAAGTGTTGCATGTTGTTGCGTTCAGCAGGGTTTCTAGCCAAAATACCCTTGGTTGGTGTACAGATAATGAATGTTTATGAGTGCAATGGTGAGAATATTTTCATGAGTTGAAAGATTGAATGTTCTATTTAACGAGGCGAAGCCAAGTTGAATGGAATATTCCATCTTTCAACGAATGAAAATATTCTCACCATTGCATGAATGCAAAACATTCATTATTTGTTTTATATAACATCCAAGTAGATCTTTGTCATTCGATTGGAGGATAAAACTTTAAGAACAAACAAAACTCGGCTGTTAGAGGCTAACAAAGGTTTAAAAGTCAAATCATTGACAATAATGAAAATGAACATTGTAAGTTCTTAAAACAATGCAAAAAGATCATCAAGGCAACTGCATCAACTTCGGAGGCAAGTTTTGTACTGCTATAACACATATCATATGGTCTAAATAGTGCAATGATCATATAGCGCCGGGCCGCTGCGCGTCGTATATGTAGCATGCACACAGCGTGCTATAGATCAAAATGGATGGGATGAAAATGCACGGTGAATGGAACCAAAAATACACGATTATGACATAGGCCGTGCAGTGGTTCGATTAATGAATGCCGCGTGACCTACAATCCTCCAATCAAATGACAAGGATTTACTTGGGTGTTGTATAATTAGGGTTAATCATTCTAAGATAGTGTCTCATACTTTGTTTACATCGGAGCTTGGTGGCTCACAACCACACCAGGCTTATATAAGAAAGCACACTTGTAAATAACAAGTGACATGTTTATGTTTTGACCTATATCACTCGGGCTCAAAATACATTACCAATGGTCCTTCATCAAAACTTTCTCTTTCTTTGTGTAACTCATTTTCAGATCACCACCTACCACCCAAACGGCGGCAAGGGCTTCCCCGTGACGGACGCCCCACCCTCCCCACCCCAGGACCACACCACCCTCTACACCTACCACGACCTACCGTCAAAGTACTGGAAGAAGTACCAGTACGCGGCCAAGTTCGTCCAGCTGGTGCGGTCCAAGACTCCCAAAGTGACGCTGTACACCAAAGAGGCCAAGTGCATGCTGATGGAGAACGCGCCGGGGGCTGATTTTGAGGCTTGCTTCTACGAAGGTGGGTCAGTGTACACGGGCCTAGTCAAGAGAACTAACTACACTCACTAAATTACTGCTGAGCTAATGCACAGTAATATAAGTTATCCGCGAGCGCGAGTGGAACACGGAATAATGTAGTGCGTCTGTGTCCCACATACCACGAGGCCGGCTGTGTCCCACATACCACGAGGCCGAAGTATATGGAACACAGACGCACTCAGCGCGAGCGTGATAACGAATTTATCTTCAAGCAAACTTGACGCGCAGTACAGTTTGAACGAGCACGCTTTACACGGACGTTCAGCAGTTCAGCGTATGCAGCTGGAATGTCGCTCGCAATACGCGGAAATACAGCGGAATACGCGGAGTGCGGCATGGACCGAGGCCGTGCTACATGGTTATGTGTAACACGGCTTGTTGCCATGGATCCAGCAATCAGGATCGAGGATTCAAGTTTACTTGAAGAAAAAAAATGTAGCCTGCTTGGCGCATCCATATTTGTGCACAAACCTATGGAAAGTTTGAAATCTTGCCCGGCTGTTTGCATATCTACGTTTTGTAAATAAATCGGATACACCCAAAACTGAACTGCAAAATCTGTTAACTCTTTCAGTGCCCGCGAAATTTGAAAAGTTTAACCCTAAAGCGCCCAACTTCGAGCGTTTTTGTTAATTGTTCAAAATTCTGTAAAAAAAAAAGTAAATAAGTTTTACTCACTAAATTTGTTGTTGTTACTCTCTGGTATATCCTTGATATATTTGAAAGTCAAAAGTAGTCACAAACATAGTGATACACCCTGAAATACTGGCCTGAACACAGGGAGATTCCGCACTTTTTGCAGAAAATACGAGATTTAGTGCTGCGCCCTCTCTCAAGAACTCGAATGAAAAAATAAATACAGGTCGTACATGCATGAAAATGGTACCATTAGAAAGAGCAAGAGCGCCCCCTTTTGATAACATATTTACTCTACCTCGTACATGTACGAGGTTTGGCAATTTTAAGTACGAACATTTACGAACATTACCTCGTACATGTACGAGGTTGGCGCTATTGGACTAACAAATATACCTCGTACATGTACGAGTTTGGCACTGAAAGAGTTAATGGGGATTTCAGTTCCATTGCGGGGAAACGATTTCTCTTTTCCCAAAAATTGACAGCATATACCAGGTACAATATATTAACCCTAAAGGGGCCGGGTTATTTTGACCATCTCTCAGCCGGGGGTGGGGCGGATTCCGCCCCCCCCCCCCCCTAAGATCTCGGCCATCGAGTGACGAAAGATTTTGAAACTCAGCACATGCATAGAGCAACTCTTCCTAAACATGCCCAAGAAATTTCATGACTATAGGTCAAAGGGTTTTGGAATTATGGCTAATTAATTATTCATATGTATGAATGGCAATTCTGCTCGGTGTACACGACGTATATGCGAAAATTCAGTTTTCACGGCGCGTAGCGCCGGAAAATTTTTCGCTACGGGCCAACCCGTGGTCCGATTTTTATGTTTTTGGTATCAAAAGATGCGCAAAGCTCGAGGCTAAAAAGTCATAACAGCTCGGGTCGCGAAAATTTTGTTTTTAGAAGCTATCGCGGAAAATGTTGGGGGGGGGGCGGATTCTGCCCCCCCCCCGGCCCCTTTAGGGTTAAAGGGATGCACGATCCTATTATTTACTTAGAATCGAGTAGGATATTTCATGATATTTTGACAGTTTCATTTTGGAAAGTTCGCAAATGGTGTCCATTATAATACCATAATAAAACCGGAGTCTTATATAGCACACGTATCTACCAACAATTAGGTACTCAAGGCGCTGGAAATTGTGTCTATTATTCAAGACAGGTATATGAAGTTTATGAGAAATATGAGACCCATTATGTAGCACCTTTATAAGGGTTTACAAGGTGCTGCGGCGCATATTGCAGCCACTGCCAGAAACACCGGGGCAAACCCTTCTCTTAGCGATAAGTGTTACTGGGTTCTTTAATGTGCATTACACAACACACGGGACCTACGGCTTCACGTCCCATCCGAAGGACAAAGCAATAATGGTAAAGTGCCTTGCTCAAGAGCACAAGCACCATGTTCCCACGGTCAGGATTCGAACCCATGTTCCACGGCACTCGATTCAAACACCGTAACCATTGGACCACAGCACCCCACCTTGATGTGACTCAAATACTATCTGGCCCATCAATTCGGGCGATTCACAATGCATTGCGCCACCAAGAGTTTGCCATGGAGAGTTAATTTTTCAAGTTTACAGTCGACAAAACATGACCCATTTGAACGAGTGTCAGTAGAAAACTTAATTTGTTATAGATTGGGGCATAGCGTTCTGCCGCCTTACAAAAAAATCCATATTGATAAAAAGGGAAAAAAAGGGGGAAAAAGGGCAAGCATAATATTCGAATCATACTTTTACAAACTTTTTCTGGCCGGAAAAACTAACAATTTCAAATGTCCCGCGCTGCGAATTTGTCGACCATCTCCCACAATGCACTGGGAAAAATGACCTCTCTGTGGCAAACTCTTGGTGGCGCACTGCATTGTGAATCGCCCGAATTACATCGAAACAACGTGTAGTTTACACCTATTGAAATTCAGCCAAAATTCATCCAACTGTTTTCTTACGACCCAGGTACCAAGTTGCATCTCTTGGGACAGACCCTCCAAATTACCGAGTCCTGCGGCAAAGCCACCTCAGTCGACGTGTCCAGTGGATGCCAGGCAATCCCCGCTGACGCCCAGGCTAAGGTGGATCACATGCATGCCGTGCACCGGCAGTGCCTGGAGCTAGAGGCGGCCATTGCTGGGATGGAGTCAGTCAAAGGCCATGGGCCGTACTTCCCGATCATCATATGCAGGTGAGGTTTTGCGTCGAGTCATGGCTATACGATTTTTTGACACAATGGACTCAGTGCACCAACAGTTATAACCAACGGTTATCCCGCGAGATCGAGTGAAATACGGAATAAAGTCCATGTCTTTTGTTCAAATTTTATATTAAACATCACTTGTTACAATTGTCTATCAACAGAAAGCCAACTTCCTCGGATGCCACCTTAACGGCAAATAAGACCATCCAGAATTCAAAGTCTGGCACCCCCCACCCTGACGCCACCCCTGTGGCACCCGTCACCTCACCCAGTGTGGCACCCCCCGTGTCAGCGTCTGTTTGCTCCTACGATGGCACCGTCTTCAGCATGAAGAGTGAGCCGCCGAGGGCCAGCTCGTCAAAACCAAATCAGGGTAGGCCTCAATTTTGTGTATTAAAAGGTAGAGTTTGAATCATTTGTGCATTGTGTCGTTTGAAGCAACAAAAGTGCTCAAAATCTAAAGACGGGTGCTTAAAGCTATAGTCCATCATTTGCAGCCATCCGAAAAGTAACTGGCGTAATTATTGTTGAAAAACAAACTTGGTTGAAAGATGGTAAGGGAACTAAACTCCCTGTGAAATTATTCTTTCTGGGAAGCTGTCATTTTGAAGTAATCAACGAAAGAAGGCATTTCCAACGGTGATTCTTAAGAAGCACCGTAGGAAAATTTAAATTAGTAGTTCGTTTTGTTATTCAGCGCAGCGCGCACAAGTATTGGAACGACGCACACGCGCGCGCGGTTGTTGTAATTTGTCGGATCAGTGCGCGACGTCGCGTATAGCTGCAATTCAAAACAATTCAAAACATGATTCAGTAACTTTTGATTTGAAATTGAGATCTTAGAATGCTGTTTTTCTCGGAATGTTCAGCTGAAGCTTAGCTGAAACTTCATCAGGTTAGTTGCTCAGTATCCTTCATTGGATTTTGAACACTTTTGTTGCTTCAAATGAACAAAATGCACTAATTACAAATGATGGACTATAGCTTTAACAACTAACCCGATGAATTTTTTAGCTCTGTGAATGCTGTATGTTTCAAGGAAACACGGTATTCTGGGTCTTGATCTCAGTTCAAAAGTTCCCATGTCATTCTTTGAATTGCGCCCTCAAGATTTGCCAATTTTTCTTTCGGGATAAAAATGTCATCGTATGCCTGCAAAAGCACAGCAGCTAGGGTACCAGCAAAATTGAAGAGATCATCATGTTCTGACGTATAATATTTTGCCAAAAGCCTTTGGACAGCCAACTATTTTTAGTTGTCTTGTGTGTCAAAACTTTTGTGCAAACGAAAGTTCCATCTCTTTTCAATTTGCACGAAAGAGTCAGAATGCAGATTTGGTTACCACGTCTCCCATAGCCTTGTGTGCATTTATCTGCCGCGGTTATCTCCAAAAAAAATTGTCTGTGCTCCAGACTATTTTGGAATACCGAACTTGCTCTGATCATTCCCAAATTCAAACTTGAAATAATATTTGTTCTTCTTTTAGATTCCAAGTGCGGTACCAAACGGGAAAGGCATAGCAGTCACCCGAGCCGGCAGAACGTTCTCAAGAGCACCTTTGTCCCCAACGTGGGCTGGGCCTCGCAGATGTCCAACGGCGAGGTCTGGGTGCAGTACAACGACGGCACGCAGATCGTCGTCGGGGCCTCGGTGACCTCTGTGAAGTTCATTGACACGAGAGGGGAGGTCTTGCGGTACGGTCCCACCGACAAACTGCCGGACGGTGTCAAAACGAAACTGGCGCAGCTTTCGACGATCGTGGAGATGTTCGTCAACAAATAGACATGGGCCGCTTTTTTGTGAAACAGCGACCTCTAATTCTCCAGCTTTGGCGTTCCACCAAAGCGAACGTGTTTCCGTTCGTAAGCTTTGCCAGACCAGTGATATATGAACTTTACGAACTGAATACTACTGTAGAAAACTTCAGAAAATTGATCAATCACGCTCACTGAGTGCGTTTGATTACTTCCCCCAGCTTACTCGCGCCTGGCTCCTCGCGTGATGACAGACATGCGCAGTGGAGCTAACTAAACGAATGGTTTCGGGTAAAGTTTCGTGCAAGCGCTGGAAAGTTGAACTTTGACATGACACACCTGCATCCGAATCAACTGTCTAGAGCTAGGTCTAGGTCCACGCCCATTGAAAATAGGCCGGGAGGCTGACAATAGAGCCGTAGCTCTGGAAGCCCGTTTCTGACACGGCCTGAAGCGCCCGCCGGATGTCACGCTGGCAGCCATGTTTATTGCATGGCCTTGGGATACTTATACCCAAGTAACCGGCTTGGAGAGTCGGTTACTTGGGCCAGGCTCGAGTAAGCGCGAGAAGTCACGTGAGAGGTAAATTGAACGCTGTCTCGCTTGCAAGAGTAAGCGCGGGGGAAGTAATCGAACGCACTCGACGTGTGCGTCGGCCATTTTGGAAAACATTGAGAACAACATTCACTTGTATTTTTGGGTAGAAAGAATTCGATCAACACAAATTTTGGAGGAAAATTTCTTTTTTTCTCACGACATGATTTTTCAAGAACTTTGCAACTAGTTCGGGATCTCAAAATGCTGTTTGTATATCTTGTGCATGAACTGAAATCCACTGCTTAATTCATGACAATAATGGTATTTACAGAATTTATATAAATTGTTGCATTTTGCATCGTGTGCATTGGATTTAGTTCTTTTTCTTTTTTTTAAGAATTGGGAGATTTTATCTGTAAATTACAATTGTTTATATTTCAATAGTGTGTGTAATAAAATGTGAATACTGTACAATCAAACTTTGAATCATTGTACATGCCAATTGTAGAAAGAAATAAACAAATTATTAGTAAATCCCCGGATTTAAATAACTTAAAATGAAAGAGGGATTAAAATTTGAATCCTTTCCAAATCTGTGTCTGTGTGTGTGAGAATTTGACTTTTCTACAAAAATTAATGTAGGTTTTTGCAGTGGTGTGTTTGAACTTTTTGAAATCATGGATGGATCCGATCTCGGTATATAAGAATGGTTCTCAAACTTATTTATGATGTCGAAACCTTTCTCAATCCTTTGACAAAAAATCCACAAAAAGTTTGTACATGCCCATTGCTTACTACTAGGACATACATACTGGAATTTGTATCCTTGAGTCATTTCTTTGTTCTCGTGTACTAAAGTTTTCGAGTTAAAAAGTGTAAATGGTCCTATTTTAACCAGAACTAATTTCCTGGGCTGAAATTCGGACTTAATATCCCTCACATAAAATACTTCAATTTGCGATGATCAACACACCTTGGAAATTCCTAGTTTTTGAGTAAAATCCATATATCTATTTTGTGATATCCTTGTGGAGACGTATTCACCTATAGAAATTGCTCTGTGGAGACGTATACAATCTTTTGTTCCCTTTTATGCCCATGTCTCCACAGGCAGCCGTGTAACAGATAATTCTTACAAAAAAACGTCTTTTTTTTAAATATAAATTTAGGTCAATCCCCCAGGTGGTGGATTTTTCAAGATTGCGGATGGGTTCCATTTTCTCGACTCTTTGGCTGATATTTTTGTGTCCAATTTCTACCAGATTTTTAAACTTAATTGCTATACATAGCTACACTTTTGTTGGGAAAACAAATAAAAATTAAAAATATATTGCAAATGTATGAATTAAAAAGGGGGGGGGGGAAGAGGTGGATTGGAAACTGGTTTATTGTTTTACTTGGCCTTTATATACTCTGATATAATCATTAGAAAAAATTCCCATAGAAACAAGGGTGTCAATTTTCTAGGAATGTAACAAGCTATCATATCCATCCTTAATATAACAATTTATATTTCATTCGATTCCAAATTCATTCAGTTTCAAAAATCCTCTAGTCGTGCAAAAAAAAGAAAAGAAACAAAGTTATCAAACAAAATTGAAAATTATACTAAAATGCAAAAAAGATGGTCGATTGCCGGCTGTGCGAGTAATTGTCAAGTAGACAGTTATCGAAAGTAATCGGTAAGAGAACACACAACCACCGGACCACCCGATTATTAAGGAAGGTGCAAGATGTATTTATCTGACATTATTGCACAGGATTTTTAATCACAGCTTCATTAAAAATTGCTCGTTTTAAAAAACATATGTGACTTTTTGATCATATGTGTACAATTTTACAATGATCGAAACATTTCTTACACAATAATTTAATGAACATTGACAAATCATCTTTCGCTAACGTACAGATTTGAAAAATTCTGGTTTTGTTACTGTTCAAAGAGCAGCACAATTTTACCATGATGCGAACTTTGACCTCCAAATCCACCAATCAACAACGAGGTCAACCTCGTCCCTAGGGTGTCGAGCAGTACGCGCCCACCACTACCTGCTCTCTGGAAATGCGGTTGGAAATAAAGTAAGCACTGGGGACGAGGTTGCAACGAGGTGTCTTTGCGAGAACTGCTTTCTGATTGGCCGACGTCCGGGTAACACAAAATGACTGGGAACATTCAAAAGCGTGTGTGTGAAATACTGGCTTACTCAATCACCGTACTCAATTGGGAATGTTTCTCAGTCCCAGATTCATGTCTTATCGTCATTTTTGCAATGAATGTCCTTCACTGATGAGATGATCGATGTATGAAGAAAAAAGTGGCGTCATGTCACAACATTTATTTTTTTTTGGCTAAAAATTTAGGTCAAGAAAAAAAATTCTCGTCCAGGTTTTTTGATAAAAAAATGAAGACACCCCTCCCCCCCCCCCCCCCCCCCCCCCAGGTGGTGGATTTTTCAAGATGGCGGATGGATTCCATTTTCTCGACTCTTTGGCTGATATTTTTGTGCCCAAAGGAGCTGTCCCCCTTTCTACCCGATTTTTGAACTTAATTGCTATACAATACAGCTACACTTTTGTTGGGAAAACAAATAAAAATTAAAAATAAATTGCAAATGTATGAATTAAAAAAGGGGGAAGAGGTGGATTGGAAACTGGTTTATTGTTTTACTTGGCCTTTATACTGTGATATTATCATTAGAAACAGTTCCCATAGAAACAAGCATATCAATTTTATAGGAATGTAACAAGCTATCATATCCATCCTAAATATAACAATTTATATTTCATTCGATTCTAAATTCATTCAGTTTCAAAAATCCTCTAGTCGTGCAGGCAAAAAAAAGAAACAAAGTTATCAAACAAAATTGAAAATTATCCTAAAATGCAAAAAGATGGTCGAATGCCGGCTGTGCGAGAGTATTGTCAAATTGACGGTAATCGATAAGTAATCGGTAATGAGAGAACACACAACCACCGGACCACCCGATTACTATGTAGAGAACAAGATGCATTTATATGACATTATTGCACAGGATTTTCAATCACAGCTTCAAAGAAAAATTGCTCGTTTTAAAAACATATGTGACTTTTTGACCATATGTGGACAATTTTACAATGATCGAAACATTTCTTACACAATAATTTAATAAACATTGACAAATCATCTTTTGCTAACGTACAGATATGAATAATTTTGGTTTTGTTACTGTTCAAAGAGAAGCAGCACAATTTTACCCACGATGCGAACTTTGACCTCCAAATCCACCAATCAACAACGAGGTGTCTTTGCGAGAACTGCTTTCTGATTGGCCGACGTCCGGTAACACAAAATGACTGGGAACATTCAAAATCGTGTGTGTGAAATGCTGGCGTACACAATCACCGCCTTGAAGTTGAAGCCGACAAAACCTTGTTAAATTTGGCGATTTATGATAATGTCAACATCCCATGATTTCCTGAGATTAATTCCGCTCAGCTAAACGGTAGTGTATAAATCTCATATTAAACGTGAAACGTAAACTCACTTTCGTTTTGTTTTTTTCGACGAGGAATAACGCTGACCCGTACCGTCAACGCTGAACCTATTTCGTGAAAAATTGTCAAGAGAGAACTTAACTCACGCCACTCTCGGAAAATTAACACTTTGCCGTTGTGTAATGTCAGGTTGTCGGTTGTCACCTGGAGTTTTGCTATAGAGGTGGGTGGGAAAGAATGTTGCAACCTGACGCCTTTTTTTCAGAAAAAATGTTGCAACCTGACGCCACTTCCCCGATTGTCATGATTGTCACTGATTGTCATGATTGTGTACAAGCTGGAGTTACCCAGCCCTAAATTTTATCATTGGGTTGTCATTTAGGACAACCCAATGATAAAATTTAGGGCTGGGTAACTCCAGCTAATTGTGTACAAAGTCTATGGCTGTATGGAGAGTCAAGAAAAATTTTTAAGTATAAAATTGGAAATATTTCTCAGTCCAACTCCAACATTTCCAAGATTCATGTCTTATCATTCAGGCCTATGAAGAAAAAAGTGGCGTCGGCATGGTCGGGTTGCTACATTTTTTCCCCTGATAAACGTTTCCAATTTTGTTAGAAAATACTTTAAAAAAATTTCTTGATTTTGTAGTTTTGTACACAACCGCTGAAGTGGCATCAGGTTGCAACATTCTTTCTGGCATGTCCGGTGGGATGTGGGAGGAAACATAGAATTATTTAAAAAGTTGTGTTTTCAATGCGAAACCTACGATGAGTTTGACGATTTTGGCTGCCATCTTGTTTAAATCTCGGCTTCACGTGAACAAGATAGCGGCCAACACTAAACCAAAATGATGCCTGAAAGTGCATTAGGTCTGATTCCCATCTCCTGAATGCGAAGTCACCAGACGACAACAAGGCTGCCACCACTTGCCGTCTGGTGTCGCGCTTACCTCATTGTGGTGACTTCGTATTCAGGAGATGGATAACTGTAAGCACGGATCCTCTACACAAGGATAAACAACTTCCAAATTTCTGGTTAGAGGTGTGATAACGGCCTATGCGCATATACAATGTGCATGCGCAAAACTAGAGTCGTGTCGGCACGCGACTGCAGCATGTGCAGTCGAATATCTGTCAAGTCTCCCGTGATTTAGTTTCATGTGGGGGGCGTGCGTCGAGTCTTGCGCACGCGTGCGCATTGTATGTTCTATATATGCGCACAGGCCGTTATCACGCCTCTAGACAAGACACAGTGGGGTGCTGTGGTCCAGTGGTTACGGTGTTCGACTCGTGTGCCGTGGTACATGGGTTCGAATCCTGACCGTGGGAACATGGTGCTTGTGCTCTTGAGCAAGGCACTTTACCATTATTGCTTCGTCCTTCGGATGGGACGTAAAGCCGTAGGTCCCGTGTGTTGTGTAATGCGCGTTAAAGAACCCAGTAACACTTATCGCTAAGAGAAGGGGTTTGCCCCGGTGTTTCTGGCAGTGGCTGCAATATGCGCCGCAGCATCTTGTAAACCATTATAAGGTGCTACATAATGGGTCTCATATTTCTCATAAACTTTATGTACCTTTCTTTAATAATAGACATATCTCCAGTGCCTTGAGTACCTAATGGTTGGTAGATACGTGCGCTATATAAGACTCCGATATTATTATTATTATTATTATTATTATTATTATTAGACAAACCGTTCCACACAATTTGTACACAAGCTCAGATGAGTCGTTTATCCTTTTGTAGAGGATCCGTGCTGTAAGTTGCTTGATTAACGGGAAGATAATATACTGGAAATTAGGTAGATTGCCCCTTTTTATTGGTATTGCAATGTTTTTACAACTTTACATGTGTACATTCCAAATCTACAGATCTGAAGAAAGACAAAAAATGCCGGAAGAAGACATCCCCGTCCGCGTGGCTCTGCGCTGCCGTCCCTTGGTCCCCAAAGAAAAGGCCGAGGGTTGCCAGACATGCCTTAACTTCATCCCCAACGAGCCGCAGGTGGTTTTAGGGAAGAACAAGGCCTTCACCTATGACTTCACGTACGGGCCGAACACGATGCAAGAGATGGTGTACCAGAGTGCCGTGTCCCCCCTTGTACAGGGAATCTTCAAAGGTGAGCTTATCGAAGTTCATCGTAAACTGCGGTCAAGCAGGATACAAATTTAAACAATTAATTGTAATGCTTATAGCGCTTTCCGTTTTATCATCAATGTGAAAGCGCTTTTAATTATTCCCCCGTTTATCAGACCACAAGACCACAGGGAAGCAGATATCAGTGCACATTCGGTCCTCTTACCTCACAGGTACCCATTCATACTCCTGGGTGGAGAGAGGTAGTTGTAGTAAAGTGTCTTGCCCAAGGGCACAAACACCATGTTCCTGGCAGTGATTGAACCCACGTACCATCGTTCATGAGTCAAGCACCATAACCACTGGACCAAGGCATTGTACATAGAAGCAAGCAATGCTCCATTTCTCAAAGAACTTGACTTTCTGAGCATTACCCATTGCAAGTTGCAACAAGTACTGTGAGCCAATTCTCCTCGTCCCAGAGGACCAACGTACGGTCCTCTTTCTACATGTACCTAACTGACTGAACGACTGTCACTTGTGAAGTAGACTTTCTTAAGCCACACTGTGGCTAAATCAATTCCAGTCTTGGCAATATTGGCAGCGCTGCCCAGGAAATTCCGAGCATACATTGTACATGTACCTCACGCGCTTGCGTTAGCTTGAAAACAGCGCGCGTGAGGTATGCCCGGAATTTCCTGGGTAGGGCTGCCAATATTGCCAATACTCGATTTGATTGATTGTCGATAGCGAACTCACTTGTCATGGACTGGCTGTGTAAGGTGAATAAAAACCAAATCTCAAGTACCAAGACTGAACCGTGGCCCAAAAACTTGTGTGACTCTGATGACTAGAACCTTTCGATCAAATTACATGTAATTGGTCTGGGAACAGGTTTACTAGGATCTCCTAGTAGGTTCTGAACATCTGTTACATTCAGCTCATCATAAGATCCTTGGCAGTGGCCTAAAACTCATTAGAAGTAACCATGTGTTGTATGAGGGTGCACAGAATCTATAGTTAACCAGTTTGTATCGGAGGACGTGATAACACGCAGTGGCTATTTTTGTGCACAGGCACGGCTGACGGATTAAGCCATCAAGATTGCCTCGACTCGCCTCTGGGTGACGTCTAAACATGCTCATCCCTCGTGCCTTTTGTACACACACATAAAGTCTGTGGAGGTGGACCATGTGTTGATCTTGAATATATTGTACAATCTACGCTCCAGTGCACACCCCGGAGTATTGAAACATTATCGTACAAATACTGTTGAAATGACTCTTGCGAATCAGTATTTATGGCGTTTGGCTGTATATCATAAGTTGGCTGAAAAATTTTGCCCTTTGGGAAAATCGAAATTTTCGGCAAAAATGATCCCGGCGCGAAGTGGTTAAAAGGAAATTGTTACATTCCTCATACTTGTACTTCCTCTTTCTCAGGTTACAATGCTACCGTCCTGGCCTACGGCCAGACCGGGTCGGGCAAGACCTACTCCATGGGCAGCGGGTACAATCTGACCGACGAGGAGACCATGGGTATCATTCCCCGCGTCATCACCGATCTCTTCATGGGCATCGATGACAGGCCCGACACGGAGTTCCTTCTCAAGTGCACTTACTTAGAGGTGAGAGCTATTTCATCGCTTAAAATTGTACCGGCACTGTCTGTGCTCTTCAATATTTTGTCGCCTCATGAAATTCGTTCTTTGAATATTTTATTTTAGCAAAAGCAAACTTTTTTGTGGGGGAGTGGGGTGGTTGCAGTCGTCTGAAAAAGAGGCTCATATTTTGGATTGCTGTTGCCCGAAATCAGATCTGCCCTGTGAGTAGACTGGTTCTTGATCCTCCCTCACATTATCAATATTAATATTTTTCTGCTTTTGTGGGAATTTGGTTAACCACTCGTGACGTGAGTAATTTCTTTGCGAGTACTCGAGTAGAAAAATCCACTACTTGCCCGGGCCTAGTCTCGGCTGTACCTTCCCTGGTCCGGCAAAATCTTCCCTAACCTGATGGAATTTGAAGGATTTTTGAAGATTAGGGTTAACCCTAAACAGCTGAAATCAGCGGAACCAAGTCGTCATCCGACTTTATTCTACCTCTCCGTACAGATACACAAAGAAGACATCCACGATCTTCTAAACACCTCCTTGAAGAAGGAGCATCTTGCCGTGAGAGAAGATCCCGAAGGCGGAATCAAGGTGGGCATTTTTTTCAGTGAACAAATAACTGTGTTTGTCTTCATAGTGGGTTTTGCTACATGGTAGTTGAGCAGCATGTCTGAGTATGGGTCAGAATCATGCACATGCAGTTGGTATTAGAGAGATCAGAGCGTTATGCGTCCATCAATTGTTCCCCCCCCCCCCATCCCCAACCGGGCTGCCCCAACCAAGACGTAGGGATTGTCACTTTTGAAGTGACAAAATCCCTACCCCTCCGGCAAAATTTAAGTGATAATCCCGACATACATATGCAGGGCGCACTAGTGATAGCCTTTCCATGTAGTACGCCAATGGTAAAAATGTTTATGAGTGACCAAGTTGCCCACCCTGGGGCATGAAAAACTTGGCCAAGAAAAGAAACGAAAAGATTGCACACGTTGATTGCAGTGAGTGCACAGTGTAGCAGCAGAGATTACATCACAAATCCATCACAAGTCAATCACTAGTCAGTCGCAAGTTAATCTTGAGTCAATCACAAGACCTTTACAAGTCAATCACTATAGTCTGTTGCAAGCACAAGTCAATCACAAGACCGTCACAAGTCAATCATTAGTCTGTTGCAAATTAGTCACGAGTCAATCACAAGACCATCACAAGTCCATCACAAGCCAATCATTAGTCTGTTGCAAATTAATCACGAGTCAATCACAAGACCATCACAAGTCAATCACTGTAGTCCGTTACAGGTTACTCACAATTCAATCACAAGACCGTCTCAAATCAATCACAAGTCCATTGCAAGTTAATCACGGGTCAATCACCAGACCATCACAAGTCCATCACAAGCCAATCATTAGTCCGTCGCAAGTTAATCACGAGTAAATCACAAGACCGTCACAAGTCAATCAATGTAGTCCGTCGCAAGTTAGTCACAATTCAATCACAAGACCGTCACAAATCAATCACAAGTCAATCACAAGTCAATCAAAAGTCAATCAGTAGTCCATTGCAAGGTAATCACGGGTCAATCACAAGACCATCACAAGAACGTCACAAGTCAATCACAAGTCAATCATTAGTCTGTCGCAAGTTAATTACGAGTCAATCACAAGACCGCCGCAAGTCAATCACTGTAGTCCATTGCAAGTTAATCACAATTCAATGCCAAGACCGTCACAAGTCAATCAGTAGTCCATCGCAAGTTAATCATGAGTCAATCACAAGACCGTCACAACACTCACCAGCCAATCACAAGTCCATCTTAAGTAAATCACAAGCTGTTTAGTCACAGCCTAATTCAAATGAACTGTGACCACAGCCGAAGTCATATTAAAGTCTCAAAGCACTTCACAATTATTACCCCTGTTCGTCAGATATCAGAACACTTTTCAGCAGCAGCTCGAGATCAATCGGGTCTCAACCCTCACAGGTACCCATTTATGCTCTTTCGTGGAGAGAGGCAATTAAAGTAAAGTGTCTTGCCCAAGAACACAAGCACCATGTTCCAAGTCAGGGTCCGAACACACGTACCATCACACTGACCATTCTCCACATGTTTATGCTGTAAGTGATTGACTTGTTATCAACTCTACCGTGTTATAACGTCTTGGACTTGTACTCCACTAGGTCTCGGGTCTTCAAGAGGTTATCGTCAGGAATGCCTCCGAGCTAGAGCAGTGCCTTGAGCAAGGCTCTGGGGGGCGGACCACTGGTTCCACGGCTATGAACGCCCAATCCAGCCGCTCCCATGCCATCTTTACTATCGCCTTGGAGATGCGGAAGAAGGACGACAGGTTAGATCAGCTGGAACTTCATACTAATTCGGGGAACAAACTTAGAAGCCATTTTTTGAGGTGGAACCAAGTTCGCGCTTGGGAAGTACGCACCCACTTTAAGCTTGTTGGGCCAATGGGGTTACCAAAACGCAAGCGTGTCTCGTCTTTAAGAACATGTGCGGCATGCGTGCAAACTTGGTTCCACCTCAAAAAATGGCTTCTCATTTTGTTCGCCAAATTAGTGTATTCTAGTTTCAAAATACACAGCCAGACATCTGCGGATTTTTCAACCGTGTATTTTATTTGTCCGAATAAAGGTGACAAGATCAGTCAAATTGCCTAACCACAAATGAAAGTTTAGCCCGTTTGGCACAATTTTTTCACCTTTGATGAAATGAAATGGTGTTCCCTATTAAATGTATGACTGATTCTCAGTTGAAATTCCTACCCATTTTGAGCCCTGGGAATTTTATCTCAGTTATTGGACATTGTACAACGCCTGAATAAATAACCATCATCTGATTGGTGGGTCGTTGATCACATGTCATTGAATTATTCGTCCCAATGCACGACACGGCCGCATGGCAAAAACAGAAGTTCCGTTCCACAGTAAATGGAAGTTCCATTGCACAGTCACACTATTGGTGGCTCTGACCAATCAGATGACGAGGATTTATTTCAGGTGTTGTATAAAACAAACAATGAAAGTTTCACATTCGTGCAATGGAGAGAATAATTTCATTCGGTGACAGATGGAATGGAATGTTCCATTCCACGAGGCGACATTCCATCTGTCTATTCATAAGATTAGTCTCACCATTGCACTCGTAAACTTTCATTATATGTGTGCTAAAGCTAACAGTGTTTTCTGGGCCAGTCAATGAATTTGACATTGTGCGTAACAGCTTATACAACCAACCTTTATTAATTAAATAGAAAATGAAAACTTAATAAAATAAAAAACTTAAAGTTGATAATGACAATAATGCCAGAAAATTTCTCCCATCAAAGTTTTATCAAATTTCACAGATGCAATGAAACTGTGAAAGAAATAAAATGTATCCCATTGTTGTTGTTTTTTGTTTTCCTTTGAAGTGATAACTACTGCCATGCCAAGTTTCACTTGGTGGACTTAGCGGGATCAGAACGAGCCAAGAAGACGCAAGCCCAAGGGGAGAGGTTGAAGGAAGGTACGAAATGACACTAATCGTTTTACCGCCCAAACTACCAAGCTTGGTCCCAGGCGAGGCCCCCAAAAAAGAAAGGTTTTGACTGTTCCAAACTGGAGGGATGTGCTAACTGTTCTTAATCCTTGCGTGCCCTCCAGTCCCAATGCTGCTCGCGATTCTGCTTGACATTAAAACAAGCTAACAAGAAGCTAAGCTACTTTTTATTTTAGATTATTTAATTTGAGTACTTCTTTCTAAAGGCCCTGTCACACTGTCTGCGATCTTATATGCACTCTCAATGCGTCCTTGAAAAATAGCTGGGGCGCAAAAACAACTACTAGATCGCAGCGACAACTACATAGGTCGCCAGATGGGCGTCAGAGGGTCTTAATGGTCTCCGATGAGCGCCAAGGTCTTTGAACATGCTCAAAACAATCGCAACACCTCTGCGCTCTGGCCAGGGCGCCGTAATGACGCAACTTAGGCGCTGTGCGAGCGTGAATCGTGCGACATTGAAGTGGCATTGAGGCAGGCGCAAGGCAGTCGATGTAGTTTCCATGAGAAAGTAACTCGACTGCGATGAACTTGTGCGTTGATTCGCTCCTGTGCCACCAGGTTTTTTTCTGCGGGCCCTCCCATTTTCCTCCCTCCGAAGAAAATCAACACTTTTGATCTCAGACTGTGCTCCGTGGTCATACATGGGTCATATGGTTGGCTGCCATTGGAATTCAGTATTAACTAATCCAATTTTCTGCCCATTCAGGAATTAACATCAATCGAGGTCTACTGGCCTTGGGAAACGTCATTAGCGCACTAGGGGACGAAAACGGCCGCAAGGGTCACATACCTTACAGGGACTCCAAGCTGACTAGACTGCTGCAAGGTGAGTTCATTACCCTTATGTTTTTTTGGGGGGGGGGGGGTTCCCAAATTTTCTTTTTCACCCCTGACCATTTCTTCCCTGAAATCTCCCCCCTTCAGATGCGCTCGGTGGCAACAGCCAGACCCTCATGTTAGCTTGTGTCAGCCCGGCTGACTCCAACATGGAGGAGACACTGAACACGCTGCGATACGCGGACCGCGCCCGACAGATCAAGAACAAGCCCATCGTCAACCGGGATCCCCAGTCTGCAGAGCTGACAAGACTCAAGCAACAGGTCAGTGAATGGAGAAGCAAACCCAAGCATTTTCTTTCTGTTTCATTTCTTCTTCTTTTCTTTCTTAATGTTCTGTCATTTTCTGACTTGTCCAACTAAAGCAAGGCAGAGCTGTCGATTTCTGATGGGTCCTTACTAGTCAGATACAAGTGTGTGGGCACATAGTCAGTCAACAGTTAGTCACATGTCAGGCACAAGTCAGTCACAAAATGAGTACAAGTCGGGTAACAAGTCATTCACATGTCAGTCACAAGTTGGTCACCAGTCAGGCACAAGTCCGGCAAAAGTCGGTCACAATTCAGGCACAGGGCGGACACATGTCAGTCACAAGCCGGTCACAAGTCAGTCACAAGACAGGTACAAGTCGGTCACAAGTCGGTCATAAGTCAGGCACATGTCAATCACAAGTCGGTCACAAGTCAGGCACAAATCAGTCACAAGTCGGTTATAAGTCAGTCACAAGACAGGCACAGGTCTGGCACATGTCAATAACAAGTCGGTCACGAATCCGTCACAAGTCAGGCACAAGTCGGTTATAGGTCAGTCACAAGTCAGGCACAAGTCGGTTATAGGTCAGGCACATGTCAGGCACAAGTCAGTCACAAGTCGGTCACAAGTCGGTCACAATTCAGGCACAGGGCGGACACATGTCAGTCACAAGCCGGTCACAAGTCAGTCACAAGACAGGTACAAGTCGGTCACAAGTCGGTCATAAGTCAGGCACATGTCAATCACAAGTCGGTCACAAATCAGGCACAAATCAGTCACAAGTCGGTTATAAGTCAGTCACAAGACAGGCACAGGTCTGGCACATGTCAATAACAAGTCGGTCACGAATCCGTCACAAGTCAGGCACAAGTCGGTTATAGGTCAGTCACAAGTCAGGCACAAGTCGGTTATAGGTCAGTCACAAGTCAGGCACAAGTCAGTTACAAGTCAGGCACATGTCCGACACACGTCAGTCACAAGTCAAGCACAAGTCAGTCACAAGTCAGGCGCAAGTCAACTTGAGAAACCACAGTCCATTGAATCATGAATATGCATGTACATGTACATGTATTATGAATATGCATTCGATTCATGATTATGCATTGTACATCCAACAGGTGCAACAGTTGCAAGTGCAGCTGCTACAGGGCAAGTCCATCCACGGAGGTCCATTGCCTGATGGGTACGTATTCCAAGCAGCTAGGGAGTCCCAAAATACCGGGGCTTGGGTTCGAGTCTCGCTCAATGGTAACATGCGGATGGTACTGTCAGTCCTTAATTCTCTTTCTCTGACTGGGCATGGGTTCGAATCCCCTCCTGGTCATCATAGCATTAGCTTTCACAGGGTTCTTACAGTCAAGGAAAATCCTGGCAGATCCTGGAATTCAAAGCTATCATGGGAAAAGTCATGGAATTTTGTTATTTTACAAGGACTCATGGAAAGTTTATAAACAAGAAAAAAGTCATGGGATCCTGCACAACCTTGTGTGTGACGATGTGTAACATTTGGCTATGGCAGTCTTCCAGTTTGCTTTCCAGTGTAGTATACTTCTTCTTTATGCATGTGTGCTTCATACTTTTCTGCATGTTCAGTGCACCATTGTGGTGCCTTTGTGTTACTCACTGGTCTCGTGTCAAACAGGAAAGCTGAATGGCAGTGGTAATGGTATGGGTGCCCCTTGCTTCCGATGACATATTGTCCTGGAACAGTCATGCAATTTCATTTCAAGATTTCAGTCCCTCTCCTTATTGTTTGGGTTTTTGTTGAGGAACTTACTTGAGCTTTGATTTTCAGTTACCTTAAATTGAGAGAACCAAATTTATTATTTTCAGAGAAGTTTTACTTTTGAGCGCTCATTTTAAAAAATTGATTGATGATTGTATTACAGTTCAATGGAGGGTGCCGCCGACCTAAAAACTCTGTTGGACAGGAACAAGACCCTTGAGGTAAGCTTGGCCAATAGCCGATCCGTTTAAGTCCCGCCCCTTAATAATACGACCAATCACAACGGGGATTATAATCTGTATTCAGGAACATGCCGTGTGGGATGTGAGAGTCACACGTCTTACTGCCCATGTGAACGTGCACTGCATACACCCCGAGGACAGACAGACAAAGAGAGGACAACGGATTCTTTGTTGTCCTTGAGCGTTCATCTTTTGTTGAAAACGGTCCTCGTTTATGCGTTTGTGTGCTTAGTCTATGGGAGAGTGTTATATCACAGGGACAAAGGGAATCACAATGCCTTGTCCTCGAGAGTTATGTAGTGCACAACTGTGTACGCAGTGACCAAGCCTTAATGGATCGGTCCGTTATGCAAGAACTCTTCTCCTTACTTTATGTAGTGGTCAAAAAGTAATAATATGAGCATTTTACTAGTTCCTATTTATTGTCCTTCCATTAAATTAACTAAGAGCATCAAAACCTATGGCAGTTACCCATTCCTGGCGGTCGAGAGCCTGTAACGTGGGTGGTTTTAAACCGCCGATAAAACACCGCTGCATTCTGCGCCACATTACGCAGTACACGCCGTGCGCGTGCCACTTTCCAAATAAGGAGATTTTTAGCAACGCTCGCAGCGGAGGTTTGTTTCACAAAACCTGAAGTGAAATTGTTGAACAAAATCGTTGGAAATTTGTGAATGACCGACTTGTTTTGAAATTTTGACAGAAAGGTTTTTATGAATGGGAATTATTATGCACTTGGCTGGTATAAAGCAAGTACGTTTAAGACCAGCCAGGGGTCTGGTCACAGATAATCTGTGTCCATGTACTTATTTAAAACCTGCCAAGCACATATCCATTCCCTTATTTAAACAACTTTTTTTTTCTCACTGAAAATTATGAACTGCTGATCTTAACAATAAAAATTTTGGGAGTTGCATATTTCTTGTTCTTTTTTTTATAAAAATTCTATAATTGTGTATTTTTGGAATACTACACATGGAGTTGTTTCCAAAACCGATATTGTCTTTGGATGTTCAAAGTTTTTGATGTCAAAAAACATTTATAGCAAAAAAAATGTTTGGAATTTCAACCACAAATACTGAATACAAAGTCCTCAAAAAATTACGGTTGAATTTGCAAGTGTGCCTAGCTTGCACCAGGCCTTACACACATTTTCGAGAAAGCCCCTTGAGATGAAGGTTCAAACTAGCTACAATCGTACCTTTTGGTTATGTTGACAAAACATGCTTTCATATCTCATCATTATTGCAGACAGCCAACCAGAAACTGACCATAGAACTGCAGTCGGCCATTGATCAGACGACACAAATGTGCGAGAAGGCCATTCTGGTATGTAACTCAACTCTGGACTCTTTCCAAGATAGATAATGTACTGTGAGCGGTGTGCGCATTACAATTTGGGCGATTCACAATGCAGTGCGCCACCAAGAGTTTGCCATGGAGAGTCCATTCTTCAAGTTTACGGTCGACAAAACACAGCCATTTGAATGAGTGTCAGTAGACAATTTCAGCTAATTTGTTATAGATTGGGGCATAGCGTTCTGCCGCCTTAAAAAATAAACACCATATTGACAAAAAGAAAAGAAAAGGGCAAACATAATACTCAAATCAAATGCTTACAAAACTACTGACCGGAAAAACTAACAATTTCAAATGTCCTGCTCTGCGAATTTGTCGACCATCTCCCAAAATGCACTGGGAAAAATGAACTCTCCGTGGCAAACTCTTGGTGGCGCACTGCATTGCGAAACACCCAAATTGGTAGGGCTGTGCGTCGGAACCGCTTACCCGAGTACCTGACCACTGATGTCAGGAACCGGTTCCAGATTATGGGATCGGGGACCCGTTACCAACTTTACCAATTACCTAGTTACTTCTCAGACAATGAAAAAGAAAGGTTTTGAATGTCATTTGTGGGAATTTTCCTAAATGAAAACCAGGCTACGTTGAAAATCAAAACAGATTTCACGTTTCTGTGCATTTTTAACGTGCAACAGATGACGCTCGCGAAAGTTGCATTTTACACCGTAAAGCTATAAAGCAGTGTTGGAGCAAAGGCTTTGACCCTCAAGGCCAAGGCTTTGACCCTCAAGGCCAAGGCCAAGGCTTTGACCCCCAAGCCTCGAGGCCAAGGCCAAGGCTTTGACCCCCAAGCCTCGAGGCCAAGGCCAAGGCCCTGTTTTATGTTATGACCACTGATATAGAACTAATTATAGTCACATGAGTGACACATTATCACGCAAGGGCGGATCCAGAACACAATTTGGGGGGAGGGGGCAAAGAAATTTTGGTCCCCCTCCCAAAAAAAAAGGGGGGTCAAAAAATTACGGCTTGGGCTTTGGGGCCCGCTTAAGGGCCCTGAAAATTGTTGGATTCGAGATGCTCTGTGGTGCGATTTGAGGCAATTTCTGACCATTTTAACCGATGTTTTTTGAGGAAAAGATGGTGGTGTACTCATTGCCTGCCTTTATTACGACGGTTTCGGGGGGTTTTTGGGAGGGGGGGGGGATGGCCCCTTTTGGCCCCCTGGATCCGCCCTTATCATCACGAATTGCTCGTTACGAAGAACAACATTTCTTTAATTGCAATCAACATGCTCGCATAGGCCTACACCGTTTTATGACTGCACTGTATCTATTAAAGTATAAGTTCAGGTCTTCAATATGGTTTAACTAAACAAAATAATGATTTACTTCTATATTGACACACAATTCTCCCAAGTGTAACAAAAGGGGGATCCAAGAAACTGATTTGGGAAATTTTTATTTGCTGGCCCAACATGGTCAGAAATATCAGCATTATCTAAAACAGATACATGCAAATCTTTAGCACTTATCAGGGAGACATATACAACCAATCAGATCTATTCCATAGTTATATGCAATTAAAGTGATCATCTCATTAGCCCCACAAGTGTATGGAATATTTTTGCAGCAAATCTACTACAATGGTAACAAAATGTGATGCTATAAAAGTGGAAGTGTGCCCAACACACAAATCTACAGGGTGCTTCCCTCCTCCATCGTACATGTAATACGATTAAAATGGTAACAGCACAATTTCGAACAGATTTATCTAGAAAATGCACAAATCTATGGGCCTTGAAGAGCCTTGACTCAAAATTGCAAGGCCCTGAACCCTCAAGGCCAAGGCTTTTGCCCTCAAGCCTCGAGGCCAAGGCCCTAAAATCCAGCCTTAAGGCAGCCTTAAGGCCAAGGCCCAGCATCAAGGCACTACATCACTGCTATAAAGCCCTTCAGACAATTTCTGGGATTTGATTTTTAGGGTTGGGTTTCTTTTACGGATACCCGGGTACCCGTGTTTTACTTCAATAGTGTTTTACTTCAACCGGATACCCGGTTCCCGTACGCGTATCTTTATCTCCCAGGAGGGTTAGGGGCAAAGTCATGAATAATTCAGTTTTTCCTTTGCATGATTGCAAGACATAGGTTCTCATTCTCTTTTTCCCTTAAATTAAAATTATTTCAAAGATAAATTGGTAGAAGAGAAATAGCTGATGAAAATGAGCAGCGACGACGTGGATTCGAACCAGAGATCTTTGTATCCATAGCTCATCTCGCTATCCACTAGGCTACTGTGTGGTAGCTCGACGAAAACCGTTCTTTAAAATGCTTTAATGTAACTGGTTGAGTAAATAACAACAATGCTATTGATGTCATTGTTTCTGTTCTCATGAATAAACATAATTTTCCCAGCGAAACTACTGAATTATTCATGAATTAGCCCTAACCATCCTAGGAATTAAAATTACGCTTCCTGTACTACCGATAAATGCACACCACTTACTATCAGCGTCAATGTGGTTGCAAACAATGAATTGTTTGTCCTGTTACTACTTCTTAACCCTAATCCCCAAGGATATGTTTGCTAGAACCCTGCCAAACATAGCAACATGCAACACTTGTCTAAGTGACAAGCCTGCCAAATGTAGCAAGATCCATCAGGGGAAGAGTCTCAAGGCCACACTGCCTCAGAGTCCGTGGTCACCACACACAGCAGGATACAACTGTGGCATTGTTCAATGGGACTTAGCTCTCATTGGTTCAGAGCTGGCCATTCATGCACTGGTGTTGGTAGCTGAATGCATCAAAGTGCACCAGTTCTTTTCCACCTGATGCACTGTGTTGCGTCTGGCAGGGTTAGGGTTAAAGACTCAAAACTAGCTTTGGCACATCCTCAGGGGTAAATTGGCCACGTTCGTGGCACTGTTTTAATCGTCGTTTTCCATGTGATCGGACAGGCGGAGATGACCCGTGACAAGCTCAAACAGAAGTTGGAACAGCTGAAGGAGGAGACGGACATTAGCCTGGGGGCGCTGGACATCACCGTCGCGGCCGCTGCCGACAACGAGAAAGTCACCGAACAACTGGAGATTGTCCGTCAACTGCAGAAAAAGATTGTAGACCTGGAGACGGAGGACAAACTGACAAATGCCGAGTCGCTGTACGGGAACGACACGGAGAAGGAAAACGTCAAGAAAGTAAGTGGGAATATCTATTTCATGGAGTCCATCTTAACCAGTTCAGTTTTCTGAAAGTCAGATCGGATGACTGAAAAACCCACAACGACAGAGGCCGAAAAATATATCTGTCAGTGAGCCAGAGACCGAGGCCGGAAATATGACTCAGCAGCCCAGGGTGATGGCTTCGACACGCCTGGCAATGCGGTCCAGTGAATGTAAAACCGTGCCTCGGTCCGTTTTTGTCAAGATAAACCCGACCTCAACTGGTTACGGTAGGGTAGATCTTTTGTCATTTGTGCATGTTTTTCGTTTGGAAGAACAAAAGTGCTCAAAATTTAAAGAAGGGTGCTTAACAACTAACCTGATGAAGTTTTAGCTCAGTGAATGCTGTATATTCTGAGAAAAACAATATTCTAGGATCTCGGTTTCGTTTAAAATTTGCCGAGTAATGTTTCGAATTGCGCCCGAAATCAGCATCCGGGACACGTTCTCAATCAGCCAATTGCAGCTACGCGATGTCACGCACTGAATGGTAAGTTTGCAGTGGCACCATGTGAAATTAATCTCTTTTGTGAGTATGTGGTGGTTCTGAGAAGAACTGGTTTTAACTCAACATTTCGGTCAGCATACTCTAGAGTCATGGGTTTTTTCTGGATTGAGGGGGCACAGTATTGACCGAATCATTTGTGTCTACATATCACTCATTGTATGACCCCGATTTACTCCGTTGTGGGCGATCACATTAGAAAATACACTTTTGCCTCTGAAATTGGCATTCATGTTCCGTCATTGTTACTATTAAATCCGTATAACATCTTTATTGGGTCATTTGTTAATTACTTGGATCACATCTTTTTCAGGTGCGGCCGCGTGATTGACTACTGCATTTCAATAGTCGGGACTAAACACGGCATAACGACTAGTCGACTGTTTAGAAATTGATAGTCGCACTACCAATGCTTTTTATTGGCGACTAGTCACACTAGTCTTGAACGTGCATTCTCAGTGTGCACTGAGTTGGCAATGAGCTTGATTAACCCTCCTGCTATTTAAACAGTCACCAACAGTCAAAATTTCCATCCACTTCCCAAGTTATACTATTAACACAGGCTAGTCACCAGCAGTCAGATCATAAGTCAAGCAAGCAATGTGACTAGTCAAACTCAGTCAACAGACCATGAACAGACAAGGCAGGCAAGTTGTGGGCACAGCTGGCTTGTCAATTACCCACAGTCAAAGCAAAGCTGTAACAAGTTACATGGGCAGTCACGGCCGGTCAATCCTGCTTTATGTGGGCTGGGAATTCTTAACTGTTGAAAACAGTCTCTTGATTGATTTTGACTGAAAGGACAACTTGGCACGGAATGTTTGTTTGCATCTCTAGGAGGGTTAATGGTCCTGTAGCAGAATGCAAGTATCAGAGTTATATTTGAGTCGTGACAAGTCCCTCAGTCTCATATCAAGTCACGAGCTGTTCAAGTGAATGATGACAGAGGCATTTGTGAACTGCTATGGCATAATGAGGAATAACCCCCATCCTTGACTTTTTGAGTTTTATATACCATGTAAAAGAACATCTTGTTAGCTTTGTAATGATACCAAATTTATTTCTGTAGCTCATTTACTTCCAAACATATGCGGCGGGAAAGTCGGTAGTGCTTTGCCGAACTTCCACCTCATTTCAAGAAAAATAGCTTTGAAAAAAATGTGTGTGTTGTGCGTTGTGCATCGCAAGCTTTATGTGCAATGTGTACGTACATGCGCGCGTGGGACAATTTTGTAAACAGTTTCTGAGCGCACGCGCTGTAGCACAAGCTCTCAGATTGGATCGGTGCTGCAATACGTCACGTATCTAACAAATAACACTTAACAGCGCATGCTCTATTGCCTATTCATACAATGTGGTCCAACTAGATGGTGTTATTTTCATTACGTACTGAAGCCCCGCGAACTAGACGCAGTCATTGGCAACGCAACATCGCGTTTTGTGCACCATTTTCCACAGCTGATCATGAGTTGCTAGATCAATACAGACTGATGTCAATGCTAGAAATAAACAGAGCAGGCAATACACTTTCAAATGGTAACTCACAAAGGTATACACAATAATCGATTCTCTTTCAATTTCACTGTGAACTTGGGTAATTTTTAGTCGTTCAGAAGTAAATAACGGACAATTTTGGAAAAACCTACACATTAACACACTTAAGATATCATTTTTTGGTACCTTTGGAGATTAATTTTTTCACCACAAAAATATACTGTGAATCTTAAATACCTTGCCTACTCAAAAATTTGAAAATTTCAAATGTTGACATGATTTTCCACACATGCCTATGATTTTTGGCAAGGTATGCACATCTTGAATTGGAAAATGTGTGATAGCTTTGCAGTGTGAGCGGTGGCAGTTTTTTTGGGTGTTATCACTTTAAAAAATTTTGTTAAATGGCTGCTAATATGCTTGTTACCGGATTAAACTTCAGATACCGATAACTCAAAACAAAGTTTTGGGGGACATTCCTCATTTAGCCTCAGCAGGTCACATTTTTTTTTACACAGTTCCTCTTTGTCACTTGGTGCTTTGACAGTTTGACTTGCCTTAGACTTGACAAACAACTCTGAAGAGTACCCCATCAAAATCTTGTTTTTGAATTCTCAAAGGAGAATGGCGGCAAAGACTCCCCGAATGTCTCGTCCCCGTCCCTAGACTTCGCCGGCCACACCCTACGCCAGGCGCAGCTGGGCCGTGAGCTACAGGAGCTGACCAACGCCCTGGCCATGAAGCAGGAGCTGGCCCAAACCATGGGGCAGAACGACGAGAAAATGCAGGTTATGAAGATACAATACCAGGTGGGCGTATAATAATTATCTTCAAGTAAACTTGAATCCTCGATCCTTATTGGTCGATCCATGGCAACAAGCCGTGCTACATATAACCATGTAGCACGGCCACGGTCCATACCGCACTCTGCGTTTTGCGGTATTCCAAGATGCGCGCGCCATTCCGTACAAACCACGCACGTGTAATAGGATAAGCACTTTGTGTACAGCGTGCAATTCATCTTTACTGCGCATCAAGTTTCCTTGAAGATAAATTCGTTATCACGCTCGCGCTCGCGCTCGTGGAACACGGAAAATGTAGTGCGTCTGTGTCCCACATACCACGAGGCCAAAAATACAATAATAATTACCTTGGATTGGACATTTGGGAGACATCCCCATAGACTTGTGCACACAATTTTTCAAACTTAAATGTGCCCTAACCCAATATTCCCTTGTCCTTTTTCCACGAATTTCGGTATGTTTACTAATTAGACCACGAGCAACAAATATAACCTAATTGCGACAGTAAAATGTTGCCTCTAAAGGGGGGCTATGACATTGGGGAGACATGAAAATGTCTCCCTAATAATAATAATAACACTTTTTCCGGCACCGCTGTGTTCAGCACCACATCACGCGCACACAAATCTCCATATAAGGAGATTTTTAGTACCACTCGCCCGAGGCACATACCATAAACATAGCTGGAGGGGTGTTTCACAAAACAGGAAGTAAAAGTGTTCAACAAAATTGTTGGAAATTTATAATTTTTCGCTTGTGTGGACTTTTTGACCGAACGATGTTTATGAATTAAAATAAATATGTGCTTGGCCGTTTAAGACCGATTAGGGGCCTTGTCACCATATATATAGTGGCCCTCGGCTTGGGCTCAGGAAGATAATTTTAAGGAAAATTTAATCTCTTGACAATGAAATTTAACTATTTTATTTGTGAGTTACGTGAGGTAGAAAAATGCACTATGCTGCATTCTGTTTATTTATTTCTTTATTGTTTGGGTGAGGAAAAAATGAAATTGTAAATTAGTCAAATTGTTTTAGCATTTTATTTTTCAATGAGTGATCTTCAAAGAGATTCTTTCTGGACTCCAGGGTGGAATTCTCACTTTTATTAAGCATGCCTCTTTTTTATGCCCCGCGGCGAAGCCGAAGGGGCATACTGTTTCCGCCTTGTCCTTCCGTGGGTGGGTGGGTGGGTGGGTGGGTGGGTGGGTGGGTGGGTGTGTGGGTGTGTGTGTCCGGACAAATCTTGTCAGCGCGATAACTTGAGAAATACTTAACATATGAACTTCAAATTTGGTTTGTGGATTGTTCTTGGTAATCCTAAGAAGCCTTTCGCATTTGGGGCCAAAAGGCCAAAGGTCAAGTTCACAGTGGCTAAAACAATAGAAATCTTGTCAGCGCGATAACTTGAGAAATACTTTACATGTGAACTTCAAATTTGGTTTGTGGATTGTTTTTGGCAATCCTAAGAAGCCTTTCGCATTTGGGGCCAAAAGGCCAAAGGTCAAGTTCACAGTGGCTAAAACAATAGAAATCTTGTCAGCGCGATAACTTGAGAAATACTTTACATGTGAACTTCAAATTTGGTTTGTGGATTGTTTTTGGCAATCCTAAGAAGCCTTTTGCATTTGGGGCCAAAAGGCCAAAGGTCAAGTTCACAGTGGCTAAAACAATAGAAATCTTGTCAGCGCAATAACTTGAGAAATACTTTACATGTGAACTTCAAATTTGGTTTGTGGATTGTTCTTGGCAATCCTAAGAAGCCTATTGTATTTGGGGCCAAAAGGTCAAGTGTCAAGTTCACAGTGGCTAAAACAATAGAAGTCTTGTCAGCGCGATAACTTGAGAAATACTTAACATATGAACTTCAAATTTGGTTTGTGGATTGTTCTTGGTAATCCTAAGAAGCCTATTGAATTTGGGGCCAAAAGGTCAAGGGTCAAGTTCACAGTGGCTAAAACAATAGAAATCTTGTATTTATTCTGAGATTATAGGGATTAGGTATTAATTCATATAAAACCTACAGAAGACACTAATGCTGTCAATGAATGTTCCATGTGACCAAGGTACATGTAAGTTGATGTTAAAAGAGTGGTGTTATGTCATGGGAACAGTCACGGTTGCGGGGCATTTGTGTTTGTAAACACACCTGACTTGTTTTTCCTTTTTTTTTCAGCACAACGTGCGAGATTTGGAGAATGAAATAGCCACACTGCAGAAGGAGAGGGAGAATCTGTCCTCGGCATTACATGCAGCCAAGTCCAACACTGCCAGCAACAAGTAAGTCATCACAGTCCTAAGGCCCCCCAAAAAGTCTACGGTATCTGGTATGGAGCTTGCCCCAAATGTGGTGCGACGACGCGGCTGTTTTTTTTCTTTTTTTTTTACTTATTTTTTCTTCAAATGTCTGTTAGTGACTGCAAATGGTGCCCGACTAAATTTAGTGCAAAACGTTTGGGAGCCCAGAGAGGCCACATAAAGCTTATACTCGATCGTAACCCCATCTAAAAACACGGTAAAATTGTGCAGCAGCAGGATTCCAGTCAAACCAGTGAGTTTGGCGGTTTTGAGACATCATCTTACATTGAAAAAAAAACCTTTTAATTTTGGCGACGCGCATGGCTACGGTGATGCGCGCGGCTATGGCGATGCGCGCGCAGATCAGAAACAGAAACCTTTTTTGGGGGGGCCTAATGGTCATTGTTGTAATTTATAACCAGCCCTCTTCTGAGGGAATACTTTTGCATCCTAAAAACCAATAAATGCCTAGTAATCATGTATTTTGGTGCTTGGAAAACCTGTAAAAACGTAAATTTATTTTTCAAAACTTATTAAAAAAAACCTTGTGGGGTACTGTGAGGCCTGTAGTGGGCAATATATCTGGCATGGAAATTTCCAAATGCAAGTTTTTAATATACGAACTCAAATTATTTTGATTTGCAAAATGTCGGACATTTTTTAGAAACAGCCAGGATCCTGCCTATTTTGGTCACATGCCGTAGCACCTACCCGACCAAAGATTTTGTCGGAATAGTCCGAAACTTTTGGTCGGGGAACTGGACTATATAGTGGGGCAGATAGGGGAAATATTTGGGGGGATTGTGCCTTTGATGATACAAGCATGACATTTGGCACACAGTCAGAGTATGTCTCAAGAAATGCATCGCAGATTTGTCCTTTGAAAAAATATAGGTAGCATAACAAGCACTTTTCAAAATTTTCAAAATGGCTGCCATTGCTTGTTATTCTCCCTATATTTTTTCAAAGGACAAATCTGCGATGGCCCTATAGCCAAATATCTTTCCCATGACATACTCTGACTGTGTGCCAAATTTCATTCTTGTATCATCAAAGGCACAATCCCATCACCTATCTGCCGTACTAAAATGGACTTTTTGTGTCTTTGTCGCAGGGTGAGCGAGCAGCGTCGGTTGCGTCTCCAGGAACTCAGCACAGAGATCAGCAAACAGAAGAAGAAACTGGCGGAGCAGTCTAAGCTGCTTAAGCTGAAGGAGAGGAGTGACCACACCGTCACCAAACTCAACAAGGAGATCCACGTACGTTACCTGCTAGCTCAGAAATATAGCTTCGGTCCAAAAATGGGGCCACCGGTATCAAATGATCGAAAAGAGCAATGCTCATAGCGATTTTTGGCAAGGTACGCACATCTAGAATTGGAAAATGTGCGATAGCTTTGCAGTGTGAGCGGTGGCAGTTTTTTGGGTGTTATCACTTTAAAAAAAAACATTTTAATTGGCCTCCAATATGCTTGTTACCAGATTAATTATATGTGGTAACAAGCATGTTTTGGCCGCCATTTTTAAAAAATAAGTTATAGCACCCAAAAAGCTGCCACCGCTGCAATGCTATCACATATTTTCCAACTACAGGGGTGTATACCTTGCCAAAAATCACAATCACTATTATTCCCCTAATTTGATACCGACCAAACCCCCAGGCTGATGGCATAACAGGCCTGGGCTGATTTTACGAAATGCTAAGATAAGTCTTAGGAAGGGTTACTTTTGAAAAATGAACTTCTTTTATATATGTTTACAATGATTTTACATGCTTATTGTTATTATTTTATTAATCATTTCTGGTAATGAAACCAAGGATTCCTCAAAAGCGCCCTAGCTCAAAAGCCCGAAGAAACCTTTAGAGAGGAGACAATGGGAAGAAATGACAGTTTTGGAGTTGGGAGGAAAACTCCAGAATATTCTAGGGGAAAACCTGCGGAATTAGGTAGGGACTGAAAACCCAATCCACATATTGGCCCAGGTGGGATTCGAACCCAGGTCACAGCGGTGGAAGGCGAGGAAAGTACCACTACGCCAGCCTGACTCCCATGACAGCTGAGGGCGCTGTTGCTGTGATGTCATATTAGGTAGACACTGTTCAGTTTAGGGGGATTTCTGTTCAAATTATGAACCTCAAAGTTTGCTTATTGAACAAAAATTTGAGAAAGGGTTGTTCATTGGCTTACCGTCATGTACTCAAACAACGAATTACCAAAGGAGAGAAAATTTATGACAGCAAAATATCCAAAATTCTGGCAACTTTTGGTGCTGAAATAGCTGTAACATGGAGGTGTCGGCCTTAAATAACATTACACTTTTGCTCATGAATATGGAAATTGGCATTAGCATAAAGACCAAAGACCAAAAAGGCACAAATGGCCAAATTTAAATAACCAAGTGAACATTTGAAATTAAAGGGATTTTCAAGGATTGTATTATTAAATAACCCTTAACTCCCTAGGCACTTTTTGTCAGGATGCAATCTCAATTATGCAAAATCCTCCAACAGCCTCCATGTAAAAATAGCCTACAGCCCTCAATCCTGCAAAATCATCCATCATTTCTTGAATGTGGTCATTGGAGGAGTGACCACTGCCTCAATCCTGCAAAATCCTCCAGCAATCACTGTCAATATGTTGAGGCACAGCCAGTGACATCCTGGAGCAGTGCGGAGGATTTCAAGTATAGTCTAGGCTTAAATTCATGCACGGCTGAGCATAAACAACACAAGGTCCAGCCCAAGACTTTGACACAGTGCATCCTCCAAAATCAGCCACACATTTTTGCCATGTAGCCTAAATCCTGGAAAATCCTCCATTTTGCAAAGAGGATTTCGGAGGATTTGGGACGGTTAGGGTTAAAAAATATTTACATTACACGGGCCCTTTTAAAAATTCAAAACACACTTTTCTTTGTATTTTATTTGCGCGTAGTTGATGAAGCAAGCCAGAGTGCGCCTTGTGAAACAGATGAAGGAGGAAGGCGACAAGTTCCGTCAGTGGAAGGCCCAGAAGGACAAAGAGGTCCTGCAGCTCAAGGCTAAGGACCGCAAGAGACAGTGCGAGTTCAGCAAGATGACGCAGAAACACGAGAAACAGGAGAACGTCTTACGCAGGAAGATGGAAGAGGTAATAAGATTCGTCCATCCTGATTGGTCAATCCACGGCAACGGCTGTGTGATATTATACCTAATACGGCGGTCTGTATTTCACTCCGCGTATCGCTGCTACTCTAAGAAAAATAAAACAGACTAGTTGCCTTACAGCCATTAACAGGTATGTTTCCAATTGCAAAGAAAAAGTAGACTAGCTAAATTTGGTCAATTAGGAGTAGTGTTTGAAAAAAAAAGGTTTATTTTCCAACGATGGGTGGTTGAACTATCGTTGGAAAATGATACAAAATTTTACTTTTCTGTAAAATGACAGCATGCCAACCTCAATGAATTTACACAATGCTTTAGAGAATTATTCAGTTACATTAAAGAAGGTATTCATAATAATTTGGTATTTTCATTTTTTCATATTTGTTAATGTTGCCCATTACCTTTAAATATGTTTAAATATAAGATATTGATAATGTTTACAGAAAAACATGAATTTACATTTTCCAATTTATTGCTGTTGGTTTTTGCTGTGAACTGTTGTGATCACATCTTGTTTGTTTTAACCCACAGGCTGCAGCTGCCAATAAACGGCTGAAGGAAGCCCTGGAAAAACAGAAGGCTGGACAGAAGAAACGCTCAGAGGAGAAGACGGAGGCGAAGAACATGGTGGGAGCTGCCAAGAGGATCAAGGTCAGGGGTCAACACCATCTCATTTGCATAATACAAATCACATCAAACTTTTGTATACCACGGTATATGACATAGGAGTTCTCTTCTTTAAAGGCATATAAGATCATTTGCATTTATCCCAAAATGAAGCTAATAAATTATTATCAAAAATCTTACTAGAATTGAAGATTGTACTGGTACTAAACACCCTGTGAAATTACTCCGTCTGGCTTGCTGTCATTTAGAAGAAATCAGGAAATGTAGGCTATTTTTAAGATCGGTCAATTGACTGAATTTGGAAATATGAACGCTATACACTAATGCGGCGAACAAAATTAGAAGCTATTTTGAGGTGGAATCACGCCTGCACACTTGCTGCACGTGTTCTTAAAGCAAGGCGCACGTACAAAAGTAACCAAAGTAAGTATCCTTGTCGAAGGAGTTCGGAGTTCGAATGAGCCAGGAGTGCATACAATGTACGTACCACCGGAGTGCGACTTGAATGAGTCTGGTTCCACCTCAGAAAATGGCTATCGCAACTTAAGGCCAAAAAAAAAAGTCTCCGGTTTCTGGTGTGCGCGCGCGTCCCCGTCGGCAAAATTGAAAAAAAAATTTTTTCAATGAAAGATGATGTCTCAAAACCGCCAAACTCACTGGTTTGACTGGAATCCTGCTGCTGCACAATTTTAACGTGTTTTTAGATTGGGTTATGGTCAAGAATAACCTTTATGTGGCCTCTCTGGACTCCCATATATTTGCACTAAGTTTAGTCAGGCACCATTTGCAGTCATCAGCTGACATTTGAAGCAAAAAAAATCAGGTAAAAAAAAAAAAGCCGCGTCGCCGCACCACTTTTTGGGCAAGCTCCATACCAGAAAGCGGAGACCTTTTTTTTGGCCTAATGGCCAGCAGCTGGATTCGAACCTCTGATCCGCAAAGCGGAGGGAGGCACTCAAATCAGCCAACACCAGATATGTCCCCAGTGAACCATGATGTATTCGTTTTGTTTGTTACACCTCATACATATTTAGCTCCATTATCAAAATTCCACAAAATTCTGTCGAAAATTCCTTCCGCCTATTAAATACAACGAATACCATGTGAGGTGCTCTCAGCCAGTCAAGAGACAGAATCTGTAAATGAGGTGTAATAAAAAAAAACAAAGAAGCAATGTTTGTTGTACAACTTTTCTTGTGGCAATTTCTCGTTGGGTTCCTGTAGAGCTGGCTTGACCATGAGCTGGAGGTGATGGTCAGCGTCAACGAGGCCAAGCGACATCTAGGCTCTCTCCTGGCTGACCGCAAGATCCTGTCTCAACAATTGCATCAACTACAGCAGGAGAACGAGGACCAGCCACCACAAAAGGTAACCGTTGTAACGCTAACAATTTCAAGTTGCATGCATTTCCCATGCTCATCAACGACTTTTTTTTTTTCTTTCTGTTTAATTAACCCTCTCCTTACCACGGGCGACTTTTGTCGACAAGGAACTACCCCCTGCTGTTTACCATAGGCGACTTCAGTCAAGCAGGAAACCACACACAGAACACCCTCTACATAGATTTATTCACTGCTTTTCAGCAAGCTGGCATGTTGATATGTTTGGCCGGCCATACATCAACCATATACCAGCTGAAAGAGTGTTTTCGGATCATTCTAATGGTGTAGTTTATTCATAGTGTTACCATACAAAAAAAATGAGAAAAGTGCTTCAGAAGTATCCACGCACAATTTGAGGTATGGAGTGCCATTTGGTCATGTGGTGAAATGGCTTGCAGTTTGATAACTGGGACCAGGTCAACCAACAGGCATAACTTTCTTAGTTTTGCTCATATGGCCTTGATTTTTACATCACATGAAAGAGTAAAGTTCGAGGAGAATACTCTACACACACCACCTTTGATTTTAATCACTCCTTGGCAGTGAAAATCTGGGTTGAGACAAAGTGAGTTTTGAACTTGCTGTCCATTTTCACGCTCTAGTGATTTCCGCATGACTGAGCAAACAATTTGGTCCTGGGGAGAGCCAAGTCGATAAACAATATAGTAAGGAAAGGGTTAACAAATTTTCAACTTCTGTGTTTTCATCATCATAATCATCATCAGGCTGTGGTCATCCATTGTTGGATGAAGCCCTCCTCAAGCAGTTTCCATTCTCTTCTGTTTGTCATTCTACTCCGTGTTGCCGTGTTCATATATGTGGTGATTTCATCTCTCCATCTCCTTTGTCTACCTCTTCTTCTTCTGCCTGTCCTTGGTTGCCATTCTGTGAGTCTCTTGGTCCATCTGGTGTCTTGTCTTCTCGCTAAATGCCCTGCCCATCTCCATTTCATTTCCTTGATCTTCTCTATGATATCTCTGACCTTTGTTTTTTGTCTTATGAAGGTATGTCTGTGTTTTATTCCAACCAAATAACCTCCGTTTTTCCTTCTTGTTTTTTTTTTGGTCGTCTGCAACCCTCTGAAATTGTTTGTTTTGTTTTGTTTTGGGCACAAACACATCTGCTTTGGGAGTAGACTGGCTCCCGGTCCGTACATTATCGATGCTGATCGTGGGGCAGGAACCAGCCTACCTCACAGGAATGAAATTATTGTCATGCAGCCAATAATTCGTGATCAGACAGTAGTACAGTAGAATGCCACTACAACGAACACGATGGGGTCCATAAATAAATGTTCTTTGTAGTGGTCGTTTGTTACAGTGATTGTGCATTACAATAGAATTGACTATTTCGGGAGCCTGAGGGGATGTTCGTTATAGCCACAAATTCGTTATAGCAATGTTCATTATAGGGGCGTCTCACTGTAATTCACTAACTAAACATGGACCCTTTTTTTCATTCGATGTCTCATTCAAAAGTGAATAACTTTCATATCGCTAGAAAAATAGCAATTTAGAAAAGGAAACCATTTTTTTGGGGGGGGGGAAGGAACTCAAAAAATATCTCTGGGAACGCAACTGTAATGGCATTTTTGGGGTCGAATGATTCGACAATGCACCAATAACAATACGAAATCATAACAGTGCAAAGACCTGTGTCGCAGTATTTCACAATGAACTAACGTGGATAAAAAACAGACAGGGTTTTCGCAGACCAGCACCTGATATTGCAAGAAGCACTTTGCAAATTATGATGCGTTACAATGCTGCTGCGCTGCGTCCTGAAAACTATTTCATGAAACTTGTCGTAAGTGCGACGGGTCGTAATTACATGAGTAATGGAAGTGCCATAGAAGTGTTCTAAATTGATAGCAGGGTTTCGCTACTGAGAGGGGTACTTGTGTGTGGAGCTCACATGATGATTTTTTTTCTTCTCAGAAATTTGCCAGTCCTACCAAGGCAGTTAGCGTGCACGACCGAGACGCCGACAAGCGTATCAGAGAGTTAAAGGGAGAACTGGAGCTCAGGAACGCCCAGATCAGCGACCTGCAGCAGAAGATCGTGGATGCCGATCAAGGTACAGTTTGTATGTCCAGAAAGCAGGAGGATTTTCATGCTTTTAAATTTGAAACGTCGTTGTGCAATGCCTATTGTTGTACAATTTACGCTCTAGTGCACACCCCGGAGTATTGAAACGTATGAGGTTTCAGCAAGAAATATTGTACAAATACTGTTAAAATCACTCTTGCGAATCAGTATTTGTGACGTTTGGCTGTATATCAGAAGTTGGCTGGGAAATTTTGCCTGTTGAAAATTTTGAAATTTCCGTCAAAAATTAACCCGGCGCGAAGTGGTTAATAATAGAACTCAAAATTAAACAAAGGAAACTTGTGTTTGATAAGCACATTGCCCTTTATTTTGTTTTGCAAAGAATCAATGATATTTGTTATCTCTTAACAATATAAAGTATTAAAAGAACCACAGTGCCTGATCACATTCCAAGGAACAGGGTTCCAACAGTCATGGAAAAGTCCTGGACTCTTGGCAATGGGCTCCTAAGATGCCAAAAACAGCAAAGGAATTGGTCATGGAAAGCCCTCATTTTGTCTTTGAAAAAAATCATGGAGAAAGTCATGGAATTTCATTTCAAGATATCTGTTTGATCCCTGGTTAAAGTTTTGCTCAATATTTTACAAATTAAACAATATTCAATATTTTACAAATTAAATGTGTGTTCCCATGTATTTTTTTCCTTTCTGTTTTTCAGAGGAGAAAGGCAAGAATCGATGGAATGAGATCACCAGCATGGTAGAGGCCAAATGCGGACTCAAATGGCTGCTGGAAACGGTAGGTCCAAAGAACCTCGGTAGGCTTGGGCGATTTCCAAAATTGTTTGGAAAATCGGGTGGCACAGGTGGCTAGTGCGTAAATCGCTCGCCTCTCACTGTGGCCAGGGTTCGATTCCCGGCTCGGACCATTTGTGAGTAGAAGTGTGCATTGATTCTCTCCTGTGCCACGAGGGTATTTCTCCGGGCTCTTTTCCCTCCGGAAAAATGAAGCACTTTCAATCTCCGGCTGTGCTCTGTGGTCAGGCATGGGTTGTATGGCGGTTGCCAAAGGCGCCTTTACATGCCGTCCACGTTGCAGCCACGTCCTTCACAAGTTAGTTTCTCAGCTGCAAGTAAGGATGAGGGGAAGTTAGCATGTGGGAATAAAAAAATAGTTATGGCCTTACTTTAATGACTTGACGCTGATGATCTGCGAAGTTCAATCTGGTTGAACTTTACCAATCATCTGTTAGCAAAGAGCTATATTGAATTAATAGAGTGCTGACTCATGTGCAAAGAGATGCCTGCGTACGCTCTACTTGTGCGTTACATTTAGAGTACACCTTCAAAATTCAATCCATCTAATTTCATTGTGTTCTGCAAACACGCCCATGCATTCAGGACGGCTTTAAAGTATCTCCGCACGCAAGAATGAGGAGTTAGCGCTCTAGTAATTTAATATAGCTCTGTGTCTGTGAGGTAGTTTGCACAAGTTAGTTTTTTTTTTTTCCGATAGTAAAAGTTTCCATTTTTTGCCCGTTGTGAGTTGGGTTTTCTACTGCAATGCACTCTACATCTCAATAGATAATATTGCAGCTGGGCTATAAGGAATAAGGCCAAATAAAAAAAGAAAGAAATAGGTTCTACTTTTTGAGAGAAAAAAATGAGGAGGCTGCCCCCCCCCCCTTTTTTTCCCAAGATGGATGATTTTCAAAGATGCACGATTTTCCAAGATGCAAGATTTTCCAAGATGCAAGATTTTTTCAAGATGCAAGATTTTCCAAGATGCAAGATTTTTTCAAGATGCAAGATTTTCCAAGATGCAAGATTTTCCAAGATGCAAGATTTTTTCAAGATGCAAGATTTTCCAAGATGCAAGATTTTCCAAGATGCACAATTTTTTCAAGATGCACAATTTTCCAAGATGCAAGATTTTCCAAGATGCAAGATTTTTTCAAGATGCAAGATTTTCCAAGATGCAAGATTTTTTTCAAGATGCAAGATTTTCCAAGATGCAAGATTTTTTTAAGATACAAGATTTTTAAAGATTGACTCTTCCATTTTCTTAACTCTTCTGATACTTTGGTGTTCAGATGAGCAATAACCCTCACTCGCAGATTATGCACTTGTGTACATAGCTAAAATTTTGCTAGAAAAACTTTAAAAGACAAGCTACCTTTTATATCAATATTTTCAAATTCATAAGTCGTGTGTCTCCTTCCAGTGTGTGGCTGCCAAGGTTAGCACCAGCGAGGTGGGGAGCCAGCTGAGCGACCTGCAAGACTCTCACCAGGAAACGGTGGCAGAGGTGGACAGACTCCAGGAGGAGATCATAGAGCTGAAGGCAGACCAGGAGAAGGAGGTCACACGGATGCAGAGGACTCATGAGGACAAGGTACGTGTACATGCACGCAGTGGAGTTAGTATGCAAATATAATACGGTTTGAGGAGAACCTTGAAGCCGCTGCCAGTCATTTTTTTGGGGTCTCCCAATATGGCCGCCACTATGTTTTGCACAAACAGTTATGGAATTTAAAGCTATAGTCCATCATTTGCAGCCATCCGAAAAGTAACTGGCGTAATTATTGTTGAAAAACAAACTTGGTTGAAAGATAGTAAGGGAACTAAACTCCCTGTGAAATTATTCTTTCTGGGAAGCTGTCATTTTGAAGTAATCAACGAAAGGAGGCATTTCCAACGGTGATTCTTAAGAAGCACCGTAGGAAAATTTAAATTAGTAGTTCGTTTTGTTATTCAGCGCAGCGCGCACAAGTATTGGAACGACGCACACGCGCGCGCAGTTGTTGTAATTCGTCGGATCAGTGCGCGACGTCGCGTATAGCTGCAATTCAAAACAATTCAAAACATGATTCAGTAGTTTTTGATTTGAAATTGAGATCTTAGAATGCTGTTTTTCTCGGAATGTACAGCTGAAGCTTAGCTGAAACTTCATCAGGTTAGTTGCTCAGTATCCTTCATTATATTTTGAACTCTTTTGTTGCTTCAAACGAACAAAATGCACAAATTACAAATGATGGACTGTAGCTTTAAAAACTGTAGAACTACGCCATGGGCTCTAAGGATAGTGCTTTGTGACTGTTTGATATGAAGTTTTAAGAACCATAGTGGGATGGACTTGTACAGGGCGAGTCAAAAAAAGCGGAACCGAAACCCCCCAAAAATGTATTTCATATTTTAAAAAATATGTAGCACCAAAAATAATAAGGACTGGAAAGCCAATTTCAAAAACTACTTTTAGATGAAAAAGAAATTACTGAAATTGCTCAATTATCTTTTCTAATCCTTGCAAACCTTCATTTCGACATCTGCTCAGCTCTGTCTCATTTTGCCAGAATGCCACACATATACATGCCTATACAGCTTTGGATTATTTCAAATATATTTTTTTCTTGGCCCTTAGGTGCTGTACCTCCTGACACAGCTATCTCAGGCGAAGGACCAGAAGGGGGAAACAGCGCCCTCTAGTGGCAACGCCGATGAGGAGATGCAGAAGAGAATCAAGTTCCAGGTTAGTGAAGAAGTTTGAGACCACTCTTTAGAATTTTAAGTAATACATGTACCTATATTTCTTAAGTACATTTGCACGCTTAAATAAATTTGTTGTGTGCCAAGGAAAAGGTCGTTAGCAGCCCAGACATGCAAAAGCACTTTTGGTGATAATCGAGTTGAAAGGTTTTGTGCTCTCATTTTTAAATTAAAAATCGCATAAGGTTGAAATTTTGACTCATGAAATTTGTTGTTAATTAAAATAGTATCGTGCATTTTTATGTCGAAATATTACTCAATTTTGAAGTTATTTCAATTTTTATGTCAACGACCTTTTACAGGGAACTCCCCCTGCCTTAAATGTGAACTTCCCTTGCCTTAAACCTGCGTTTCAAACGTTATAATTTTTTCTACACACTGGGGACAGTTTACTGTGCGTTTAAAAATGAAAAACCTCCTTCCGTCCTTTACATACTACGAGTTACGTAGCCCCTTGAGACAAAATGTATATCAAAGATATGAAAGATATTTCCATGTCCTATCGCTTACCAGAAAAATCTGAATTTGACCTTTTGACCCATTTTTCGACCTTACGACCTTGTTCCAAGCACCCGACGAATTATGGACGTCTCATTTGGCCAAGAAATGCATTTTGTTAGTGTGTGCTTAAGCAGAGAGGATTGATCTGATACACTGTACCCTCTGGAGACATGCACACAATAGGAAACAAAAGATTGTATACGTCTCCACAGGGCAATTTCTATAGATAAATACGTCTCCACAAGGTTTTCACGAAATAGATATATGGATTTTACTCAAAAACTAGGAATTTCCAAGCTATGTTGATTTGTCGCAAATGGAAGAGTTTTAGAAAAGGGATATGAAGTCCAAATTTCAGCCAAGGAAATTAATTCTGTTTCAATAAGAGCATTTTGAAACTGTACTTTCAAACTGGAAAACTTTAGTACACGAGAACAAGGATACAAATTTCAGTATGTGTGTATTCGCATATTCTCTTGTTAGCAAAAAGTCTGTTAAAACGTCTGTCGGACATGCAGATTGCAAAAATCCAGATCAGTCAAACGTACACAGTGATCTTAACAAATTGTGTCATTGTTTGTTTGACTTTTTTTCAGGACGATCAGATACGAGAGCTCAGCACCCTCCACGAGCAGCTGCAAGAGACTGTCACAGAGAACGAAGAGCTGCATCAGGTAAGATGGCAGATTTCACCATGGCATCTTAGATCAGTTTAATAGGTCATCATTACAGTTTTTAATGAAATTATGATCTTCTAGGAGCACTTAGCAACTGAAGTTGTACGCTTAGACATATGTAGTTACATACACAGAGACCAGGTGCCAAGTTCACGAAACTCATCTTATCTTGCGACTCATCTTAGGACTAAAGACAAGTCCCCGCTCTAAGATTGATCTTAGCTCAGACCAGGCATGCAACTTTTCCTCGGATCCGCTGATTTCCTCGTTTTTTACTTCTCATGAATGCCATTACAAATTGAAAAATACTGCACAAATTCTTGTGTGGTTTAGAGTTTCCTTGTTTTTTCTAAATTCCCAGTTGCATGCCTGTAAGACGCGTTCTTTCACTAAACGCATCTCAAGCAGGACGCATCAAAACTACCAATTCGATGGCTGTTTCCTGTTTGTTGTTACCGCTTGACAAAACAGTCGTAATTGTTTGTAAATGGTGCTGGACACCATTTAATTCCATAATGCAAATCTTTTAATCATTTCTATCGAGAAAACATACCAAAAATAACAGTTTTCTGATGATTTTTTCATGTTGATAGCAACTGACGATAGCCAGCTACTCTGGCCGTAAACAGTCCTTGATGCCGACGTTAGTCTCCCCCGGATCGTCCCCCGAGGGCACACCATGGAAGCTCACACAGAAGAGAACGGTCAAACAGGTATTTTTACCCCTTCGTAAGAGTACCTTAATGATTTTGAGTACTTTGCACGAGTACGAGGGGCGAACACATTTCTATGGGTGCACTAATCTTGGGTTTAAAGACGTTGTTGTTGTTGTAGATAAGCGATAACCCACTGATTTGATAACCCGCAGCTGCGAGAAGGCGTTATCACGTCGAAACCGATATCACCCATGAGCCTCCAGACACAACAATTTGTTAAATCTCCCCCCGAAAAATGGGGCAAAGTAGTGCAAATGTGCTACTTCTGCTGGCAATTACGGTCCATTTTTAGTCTCACGTGCACTTCATACCACAAAAAGGCTGCCGTGAATTTGCACAAAAGTCTTGCTGCATCTTGTATACAACTGGAAGAAATTTAAGAGTTTGGTTCGGAAGTAATATAAAAGGTTTTGAATGCGCACTGCGTATATTAGGCCAAACAGGTGCGTGCGCATTGCACAACCACATTGCCAAGACATTTCTGTCGGTTCGTGGTTTGTAATAACGCCCACTCGAAGCGATGGATTATGGCGTATCTACAAGCTGTAAGATTATAGGTACGCATGTTCTCAAGGGATTTTTTGCTGTCAAACTAGGCATAAGACAAATGCAGAAGCCTTCCCAAACAGAAGAAAATTGCTTCTATAGCTACCTGTCAAAATAATTTGAAATTCAAGCAGGGAACAATTTTGCTAGAATATGAGTGCAAGTACTCTGCCATGAGAACAGGTACGATTATGAGTACAGATATTTGTACTTGTTAGTATGAGTAGAATTCGAAAAATATACTGAAGTAAGAGTACGAGTATCAGTATGGGTATTTATAAGATTTTTTGCGTCAGGGTGATGTAAATCAAATTGGGTTTTGCCCTTCACCGACATATAAACACTGTAAGTGTGTTACCTCCCGAGTGACAATTTGTTCCCAACTTTCACTCGGGAGGTAACACACTGAGTATACAGTGTTTATACGTCGGTGAAGGGCAAAACCCAATTTGATTTATCAGTATGGGATTGAGTTGGAGAATGAGTGCAAGTAATACAACAGTGGTTTTTATTACGTAATCTGTTTTAGGCTTCCTCCTAATCCAGACTTGATTTCCAGAGTTATGCCAAAACTTTTGAAACACTTTGGAGCAATATCAAAAAGATTAACTGCCTGCCGAGTGACTAATCTTGACTACTTTTTTTACAGAGGTTCCCCGTGGAACGGTATACCGTAGATGAATACTTTACTTCAGAGAGCGAGTTGGACACAACGGGGAACGACTCAGACTTCCGCATAACGCCCTTCGCCAGGCGTAAACGATCCCCCATCAGGAGGGAGAAAAGAGACAAGAGATCCTTTGACAAGGTGAGTGCCTCAGATATTCGGCAGGTCCACGCAAGTCCTCACAAATCATTGCATGTCCTCACAAGTCCTCAAAAGTCCAAACAAAACCTTGCAAGTCCTCGCAGGTCCTCACAAGTCCTCACAATCCTCACAAGTCCTCACAGGTCCTCCCAAGTCTTCACAAGTCCTCAAAAAGTCTTCACAAGTCCTTGCAAGTCCTCACAGGTCTTCACAAGTCCTCACATGTCCTCAAAAGTCTTCAAAATTCATTGAAAGTCCTTGCAAGTCTTCACAATTCCTCGCAGGACCTCACAAGTCCTTGCAAGTCTTCACAATTCCTCGCAGGACCTCACAAGTCCTTGCAAGTCTTCACAATTCCTCGCAGGTCCTCACAAGTCTTTGCAATTCCTCGCAGGTCCTCACAAGTCCTTGCAAGTCTTCGCAATTCTTCGCAGGTCCTCACAAGTCCTTGCAAGTCCTCACAGGCCCTCACAATTCCTGAAAGTCCTGACAGGTCCTCGTTTTGCTACGCACGCAGGCATCTTGCGATTCATACTTATTTATATTTATAAACAATATTTAATTTAAATTTTAAAAAAAAGAAGCAGCTGTGTTATTTCCCAGAGATTTTCATACATACTCTCAAGTACAGTGGAACGTCGCTATACCGAACACCGCTATACTGAACATTCGGCTGTACCGAATATCAGCCTTGGCTCCCGATTTCTGTGTACAATACATACCGAACATTGTTGTTGGAAATGTAAACAGAAGAGCGACAAATGGCTTTTATTAAAAACTGTGTAATTACAAGATTCAATAGTCGCACGCGTTCGAAGTCATCTTCTAGTAACTACCAGGGCGTACTTGGTGTAGTTCTGCTACGGAATTGAAAATATTAATGGACAGGTTTGGCGACTCCGCGCTTGGTTTGTAAATGCAACTACACAATAACAATGAGTAAAAGAGGGCGCCCCTAATGTGTGCAAATTGCTATACCGAACAATTTCTGTGGATCCCACGATGTACGTTATAGCGACATTTCACTGTACATGTAGTTTCCGTTATGAGTTGATGTTTGTTGTTTTTTGACGCAGGGTGGCTGCGGTTGTCGCGGGTTCTGCAAGTCTCGCCTTTGCAGCTGCGTGAAAGGCGTGCAGGGCTGCACAGAATCCTGCCGATGTGATGCTACGAAATGCATGAATAGAAACGATGGGGTGAGACAAATTGGTCAATGATTTCACTAATGTATTCAGGCCCTTTGGTATATTTGAGAAGGAGGACATTTTCTTTTGGGGGTGGTGGGGTGGGGAGGGAGTTTCAAATATGCCACTTGATTGCCGGTAAACTTAGTCTTAGTTCAACAACCGAATTTTCCTAGGAACTTTCAAAGTGTTCACCCCTACAATGTCTTTGATCATCAGTAATAATGTAAACAATGAAGAGATTCTCGCATTGTGTTCGTTTCCAATAATAACACCACTCAAAATCCAAACAATCCATCAATTGCCTAATCGTTGGAAATCCCCTACATTTCTTGACGACTTTTAAATGACCAGCAAGCCAGCCAGAGTGATTTTACAGGGAGTTTTAGTACCAGTGTGATCTTTACTCCAAATGAGGTTTTCTTGATAATAAGTTGGTTGGTTACTTTAGGGATAAATGCAAATCATCGTATCATGCCTTTAATGAATCAGACACGCTTTCATTTATTTTGCAACAGAAAAACCCTGACGACACCATGAGCACCACGGCCAGCAGCAGTGTCCTCATGAACACGACCGTCGTCATCTCAGACGGCGAGCGGGACTCCCAGAACACGACAGCCGTCTTGAACCCAAAGCCGCGTCCGAAACCGTCCCGCAAGGCCCTCTGGGAGCTCAACGCCAACACCTCCAGCTCCAGCAGCGACGAGTTTGTGCTGAAGCCCGCCCTCAAGCGCACCAAGCCCGTTGCGGCCGACGTAAACCCGTACCTCCCGATCGCGAGAAAGAAGAGCGTGTCTATCGACGCGGGGGAGAATGGCGGGGGTCTGAAGAGGAAACGGAAACTGCTCAGCACGTCCAACACTGGATCGTTCTTCAAGCCGCTGACCGACAGCTGACTTTTCGGATCGCTGCTTTACATCGCCGACGGCAACAGCATGACTGAGCCACCGTTCAGTCTGGAATATAATTTCCCTTGGTTGCAATAATGGTTGAAAATTGGAGTGTGTTTATACGAAGTGCGATTTACACTGAAAAGCTTTGGGGGGCCTTTGTATCTACATCGGTCATTTGCTTTTTGTACATTTTTTTTTCATTTGCAGCAACAAAATCATTCAATATGTTGCCAGTTAGGTTCTGCTTTTTTTGGCAGCAGAACTCTGTCGTCTAATTATTGGGGGGGGGGGGCACGGTTATCCGGGGAAATTTTTACATTTTTTGGCTTATCTAGCTTGGAGACATATTTACTGAAAACGCAATGATTTTTTTATTCTGGCGTGCTGAACGCAGGTGTTAATGAAAAGTTGTTTTCAACGGCTCAGCTGGCCATAATGTAATGCAGCCCATGCCTATAGTCACAGCATTCAAGCAATTATAATTATGTAAATGATTTTTAAAGTTCCTCAACGAAATTGACTTTAGCTTGGTTTGAACCCGCAAGATTTTGGGCTCAGAGAGAACAAGGTTAAGGGACCAGGGAAAAATGATTGGTAGTTTGTACCAGATAAAATGTATCAATAAAATATTGCAACATAGCCATTTGGAATACTGGTGCCAACAATTCAAAAAGATGAAAGTTTGTTACGATCACCGTGCAAGAAATAAATCAAATCACTCGAGTGCGACCTTTTGATTACTGTGATCTTTCCTGCCAGACTTGTACGGGAGGTAAGTTCTCATTTCTGAGGTGCCGGCCGGTCCTACATGCGTGCAGACCTGTAAATCAACTCCCACAGAACTCGGTGATAACTACGCCTACTTCCAAAAATCATACTCACAACTCTCCAAGGTGTTTGAGACACCCATCAAATTAAAGCTCATGTCATCATCTTTCATTTTCTGTTCAATTTTGGGTGGCAATCCCATGACTTTTGGAGAAAATTCCATCCAAAGATGATCACCCCTAAAAGTAGTCCTGTGGTCCATCACCAGTTGGAAAAATGATGCCTGCACTCGTTTGCAAAATAGAGCAATTTTAGGGCCCAATTTCGTCCGAACTTCACAGAAATACGAGCTCGCACTCTTGTGCATGGCTTCCACCCATCTTTTTTACAAATCTTAAAGTTCATGATCCACAAAATGCTCTAATACCAAAGAAATTGAGGGCATACAAATTGTGACTTGGCATGCATAGGCAATTCTGGGCCTATTTACAGGTCTGCACCCGCATGGGCACCCTACATATTTGGGATGGGCAAGGCAGTGTATATGAGTTTTAGTATGCAAGGCAGTGTATATATAGTTCCATGCAATGCAGTGTATATGAGGTAATTTACATGCAACGGGGTGTACATATACATGAAGTAAACAGTCACTACTGAGTCTGTGGTCGTTTTAGACCAATGAAATCACAGTATGCAAGACATGCCTTAACAACTGTATTTGTAACTGTATAACTATTTGATGAGAGTATCGTTCTCTCAGCAATATGTAATTCTTCAGAACTAAGTCTTTTTTTTTGCTTTCTTGCTCAATTTCCATTTGGCAGAGTTGTAACGAGTCACTGATTTTTGTGACTCTAGTCGAGTCGAGTCATTTTGAAGAAGTGACTCGAGTTGAGCCAAGAAGTTGGAGTCGAGTTGAACATAAGTTTTGCACCGTAAGTCATTGCACATATTTTCCGCGCAGTTTTGCCTTTATTTTTTGGACTCGAGTCTCATTAGCCTCCGGTCAAGTCGAGTCTTCTGATGAGGGACTCGAGTCGATTCAAGTCATTTGCTCCCAGTGAATCAAGTCGAGTTAAATGGTCGAGTTAAATAGGGACTTGAGTCAAGTCGAGTCACAAAAAATTGTGACTCGAGTGGAGTCATTGACTCGACTCATTACAACTCTGCCGTTTGGTTTTCTGTTCAACCGTTATTTGTACAGGCTTATTTGTAATTTTTAACAAGTGATCGATCTTTCAAAGGGACCGGTTTGGCTGTAACTATGCAAGCCCATAAAGAACACTTCTCGGAGAGTAACTTTATACTCTTTGCATCATTTGGATAAATTCATTTTGTACCTTTTTTGTGTAACTATAGTGTGTGTGTGATGTACAGAATAATGTGCAAATTGAAGGAAAACATTAGAAATACTGCCTTTAATTATGAAAAGGGCCACCCTTGGTGACAGGCCTGGGCCAAATATCTGTGTTTCAGCCATTTGAAACGTGAATTGAATTCTGTCTGTAGGTTTTTTGCTTTATAATTTTACATGAGAAACAGCACTTGACGATTTCTGACAATTATTGAAAACCTTTTGCAAACCTAGCTGGCTATTGAGTTTAAACATGTACATAATAAAAATGCAGTAGTTTGCATTGAAAATTGTGTCTGTTGAATTTCTTGTATTCTGGTCTGTTGGTCTTGACAAGTTCGTTTTGGAAATTGGTCTGTGTATATTTGTTTCAGTTGTTTTCTTGGTTTTTTGGGTTGGTGTTGTTGCGAGAAGGGTTTCTCCCATGTGTCAAAATTTAAAGTATATTACGTACACTTATTGGGGTTTGAAAGAAAAACTGTGAATTAATAATTAAGTTAGTGATCTGAACATTCAAATCATGGTTACCTCCCGGGGGAGGGGTGGAGTTGGGGGGATGTTTAGTAGGGGCAGTACCTCCTGAACAAAATAAATTGAAAGTACCCTATACATATGGTATCCCATATCCCAATGCTGCCGATGATGATGTTTTATTTGCAAGGGTGGATCGAAATGGTGGAGGGGGAAGTTAACACTCCCTGGCCCCTTTCGAATGACCAATGTCATGAATGTGAATTATAGTTACATAAACAATCCCAAATGTCCATAAATTTCATGTTTAACTTCATATGAATAATATGGACTTTAACACCCCAGCCAACATTTGGAAAATCCTGTATCAAATTATAAGTCATCAAAAACAACACGTTCACCCAATGGAGTTCCCTTCTATGACGTCATACGGTATCGTCTGCTTGTAAGAAAATGGTAAGAAAACAAAGTAGTCCTAGCCAATGCATGACACGGCGGGGTTGTGATTTTTGGGCATAATGCAATGAAACGAGCAGCCAATGAAACGGCGGGTTATATTTGTTTACCAAGTAAAAAAACGACTAGCCAATGAAACAGCGGGGTTGTGATTTTGGCCAAAACGCTATAAAAACGAGCAGCCAATGTAACGGTGCGTTATTTCTTTATCAATTTGGAAAGAAATTAGTAGCCAATGAAACGCGGGTTATGATTTTTTTCCGGGTCAAAGGTCGATATCAACTACCTGTGTTTTGTTTTTAATGTTCCACACGTGTCTACACGTGTACACATGGCATGCGTACACGTCCGTACCGTAAACGCACGCAAAACTTGGCAGGCTATAGGCCTAGAACTCGGGCTAAGCTTCGCCCTGGAACTTCGTTGAGTTTTGCGGTAAGTATTGCTTTCTTTTTAGATGGTAATGAAATTTGCTAGGATGTTAGAGGTTGACATAATTATATTGTGTAAAACTTGTAGATAGGCCTACACCGTAGATGCATTTTTCTTTCTGTCAGTTGTTTACACGGCCGTCAATAATATTAATGAATTTCCGACATTGTCCCACATGCAGGTTTGTCATATTCAGCGGGTATTAAAGTTTAGTAATAGTTGATTCGCTATAGCCCTAATTTTAAAATTGACATAACATGCATTTTAATACTTAATATAAACTGCACGGTGCATTGTAATTATGCTGTGTTACTAAGTTATGCGGTAGACTGAACGGTGACGACAGCGTGTTAAAAAGTGGGAAATGTACATGTAAGTAGTATAGTGTGTCGGGTCTTCATCGGACAAGACAAAAGAATTTTATGCATAATGCACAAAGACAATGGACTCATTTGCATATCAATGAAACTAATTAGCATATCGATGGATGATGTTAGCATAATAAAAGAGCGCATGGGCGTATGTAAGTTTTACCGGACAAGGGGTGGGTCTAAAAAATGTATTGGACAAAGGGGGCAGCCCACCCCGCTAGATGGAATAGCGGACAGAGGAAGACCTGAACCGGAATAGCGGACAAAGGGAGACTTGAGCCGGATTATCGGACAAAGATGAATGTCAAACGTTTGAAATGACCAAGACTATCATTTGTATTCATTCAAAGCAGTGTGCAAACAGTGAATAATAAAAACAAAATGCAGGCCACACCAACAGAGCGCCAATTAAGCCGACTAGCTGGAAATCTTGTGAAAAAATGTTTTTACTCTGGTAAAAATGGAGAATGCGAGCGACCTTGGGAGAAGTTAATGATGAATCTCGGTCTATCAAGAGCCGCTATGTATAGACATTTAGAGGAAAACAAATTTTGTGAATGGGGGCAATGTTTTAACGCACTTATAGAGTGGAAACGACGCGAATATAAAAATGTCACGATTGAAAGATTATTAAATGCCTGTCGATTTTGCGGTCTTGATCATAACGCTTACAATTTTTTTGCTGCAGTAAACCATTACCCTTCCAAAAGAAAGAAAGAAAGAAAGAAAACACTGATTAATCAGACACAGAATTCAATCTCTTTTTTGAAAATATGTGGCCCTGAAAAGGGCCGGGTTTTTTTTTTTTTAATTCAGTATAACTGAATATACTCCTTTACCGTCTGTGGTAGTTCTAGGGCTGCCACAGACGGGTGTACAACTTCGCTTCAACGAAACTTCAAGTAGTCCGACATGGACATGTTGACGGCCAAAATACCCCGAACAGCATTGCATCCTCCGCTAACCTCTCCATCGTTGTGAGATGCATCATTAAGTATTGACAGTGTTGTCGCAACCAAGGCATCCGCACCGGTAAAGCCCTCGCATAGTGCATTGCGGTTGACACGGAGATGCAACGTCTATGATCGATTCGTCCTTCTCTCTTGAGTTTATACGCTGTCTGGTTGAGCTGGTACCGATGCTTTTCAAGGAGTTCTACAGGTTTTATATGACGGACTTTTTCAATCCAGCACCATCGGAGTTCATCAAGAAGATGATCAGCGTTCCCCAAGGTGAATTCTTCAATGATAGATAAGACATGATCAAACTCCATAATGACGATTGATGATGAGCCAATCGGCGATGATGACCTCCAGACTGTTGGGGGGGGGGGGGTATTTATGGGGGTGCGGTGGATCCAGAGGTGTGAAAAACATAGTGTTCATGGGTACAGCCCGCCAAAAACAGATAAAAGCACCGCCTACCATACTGTCTGTTTGCGAAGCTGAATCCCCACTGTCCATGCGTGATCTTTTCTTGTTGTTGACTGGTGCAGAGATTCCACTGGTCCCAGGTTGTTCTCCAATACTGACACGCGATTGGACGTTATCACAACTTTGGGTTGCAGATAACATTTGGGCTAAAATATTGTCTATAATTTGTTGATTGTTTTGAGGTAATTCGGAAACGCCTTCTTCGCTGCGTTCTCGTTGCGTCCAACTCCCTAGTCGCTCGTCCCAGTAGATGGAGTTGTCTTCCTGTGAATATTGAAGATCTACCAGGTCCCATGCCGACAGTTCTTCGAAAAGTTCGTCAGCAGCATCGTTGAGGATTGGCGGTAAAGCTGCTACGCACTCATCGCTGCGTCCTCGTTGCGTCCAACTCCCGAGTCGCTCGTCCCAGTAGATGGAGTTGTCTTCCTGTGAATATTGAAGATCTACCTGGTCCCATGCCGACAGTTCTTCGAAAAGGTCGTCAGCAGCATCGTTGAGGATTGGCGGTAAAGCTGCTACGCCTTCCTCGCTGCGTTCTCGTTGCGTCCAACTCCCTAGTCGCTCGTCCCAGTAGATGGCGTTGTCTGCTGTACCGTCTTGGCCCCCTACCTCTTCGTTACCCACCTCTACTAGATGAACGCAGGGTTGTTCCCTATCCAAGAGAAGCTCGGCGAATTCATCATCATCCTCGGCTTCGGTGTTTCCTTGCATATCGAAAGTTTGTGCGATTTGCAGATTGCGTAAACGTTGTTGAATTGCAAATCTTTCCGCGTCAGATAACACGAAATAGTCGAGATAGCCGTTGCATTCCTCCATAGAGAGCGCGTTAATTTCTTCTACGTTGAAAAACATTTTGTAGCAGTATATTGATAGTTTCTCTAATGAACTGTACACTGCAGAGATAAGACTGGAAATGAAAGACGGGGTAACTAAGATGTTCTCCTGAGGTAATGGTTGCTACCGACGCGAATAGAATCAACGGTAATTGGTTACCAGTTTCACGAGACAAAGGAGGCCGGGGCCAGAAAGTTTTATCGGACAAAAGGGGGGAGGGGGGACCTACCCCCCTAGATGGAATAATGGATAGGGGATGGGTCTAAAAATTGTATTGGACAAAGGGGGGACCTACCCCCCTAGATGGAATAATGGATAGGGGGTACCTAGAAAGTCTTTTAGGACAAAAGAGGGGTTAGTTAAAGAGGGTTAGAAGACTTTTGGGACAAAAGGTGCCTAAACTTCTGAAATGCACGGCTTAACCATGTACAAGATGAATAGGACTGACTAGCACCAAAGTGCTATACAGAAAACTCGGGGCTAAATTGAGATTCTTCATATCGTCCTCTATGTCCTAAGGGCTTGTGTGTGAGTGTGTTTTTGTTTTTTTTGCTTTTGTTTTCAGGGTTTTTTTTAAATAATGTCGTGATCCGAGTAATTTCAAAAGAATTACCCAAACCAAATGACACCTTTCGGTTTTGTATATAGGTGAGGAAGTTTCCTGGAGGCCCGCATTCAATGCATTTTTACTCATTTTTGCTCTCCCAAATTCTGAGTGGGTGTTGGGATGGGGGGCACAGGCCTCGAAAGGGGGTGGGGATGTTAAACACGCCAGCGGTAAGACTTGTCCACCAATAGTCCTAATGATACGTCTTCATGTTAACATTTCCTGTGTTGAATTCAGCAGGAGAAGTTCTCCTTTTGGAGGCCGAGGGAATAATTTAAAAGGGCTTAAACAAAGTGTTTTGTTCAACTCTTCATTTTTGGAGGGCTTATGATAAGAAATTTGTTATTTCTGGAAAAACACGGTAAAATGTTTTGGAATTTCACACAAAATACAAATGTAGGTATAGGAACATTTGGGGAATTTCTGGGAAGACCGCTGCAGGAATTTTTTTTGTCCAAGAAATTGTTGCTAAAAATACCAATACAATCTCATGAAAACCCCCACAAAATATAATGAAAGTTATGAACTAATTTTTCTGTTAAAAAAAAAAGAATTGTAAGTCAGTTTCCCTTTGTGGTTCATATTTAAAGAAGCAAAAATGAAACATGTTGAAACTTCTATTTTTTGTTGCAATTGATTTATTCCATTCATAAAATTCAAAGCTTTGGATCAAACACTGTGCTGTATAATGTACAAATTGACCAAAATATACACGAAGATCACAAAAGAAATAGGTTAAGGAGGAATACATTATTCAAGTGCACACACATGAGCAATTGCAAAGCAGGCAAATCGAGTTGGTCTTGCGAACCAGCCGCATTTCTTTCTTGATACAAAAACACTAATTATCACAAAATTAATAGGTCTATTTAAAATTAAATTCACGGCACATTGCAGATTATTAACACTTATTCTACGTTATGATCTAGTTTGTTGTCATATTCCAATAAAAAAGGTTATTTCTAGCATTAGAAAACATAAACGACAGAGTCGGACAATTTTGCCTATGGTGTTCTGTCTGTCGGCTGGAATGGAACCTAACTACACCCTGACTACCGGATAACCAAAACAAAATAACATTGTACTCTCATTTCACTTTTAACAATACTGTCTTATAATTATTAAAACGAAAGCAAAAATATAGCTAACACTGTCGGCGGACACTGAGAATATGCATTAATATCATAACGGTTATGCTATAACTGAAATAATGATGTAATCAGATTTTGGGGACAGCTTTTTGGGCAGTTAACAATTCTAGCCGATACAGATTAAGAATATAAATATTTGGGCTGGAATTTTTTTCCTGATGATTAAAACCAAAATTCATTGCTATCCCAAGCTAGGTATGCTCCTTGTGAAAGACTCTACATTAATTGACTCTGAGCAAAAGCTGCTATAAATTAATTATTAATCAGTTAATTAACCATAAACATAATCTGCTAGAAACAATACTAAATATTGCAACAGGTCGACGCCTACATGGGCCCGTTCCAGTTAGAGATCCATGCCTGATTGGGCGGTCTCGCCGAAGACCGAGCCGACTTTGGTCGAGATCCTGACGTTGAGGGCGGCCTCGGTTGTCTACTTTTGGCCATGGAGTCCAGCATTTTCATTAGGACATCACGTTCTGATATTAAAAAAGGGAAGAGGAAATATATACCATAAGGTTGCCATAATGAGTATACCTTATATATATACCCCGGGAGATTGGCCAATTTTCTCGAAAGTGCAAGTTAAAACGTCAGATAAAAAGGCCGCTCATCGTCTCTTAATGCTTGCGCATGCGTACTTTATTCTAAGAATACAAATTCGTCACAAGAACTGCCGAACAAAACCCCGAATCGGTGTGCGCTTGGTCGTGAATGACCTTTAACACAATCCTCAAATAAGAAAGTCAAAATGTACTGTTCTAAAAAGTTCTTTAGGGATTGATTTCGACACGATTCCAATTTCTCATGCAGATTTCCATTCCGTAATTCTCAATCCTCGCAGGAAAAAAGGTAAGTTTGACTGATTTCTAAAATCAAATCTAAACACCTTTTTATTAAATGCACATTCAGTGAGCACCATGTCACGTGTGCAGACTGACGTTCTATAAGTAACGCTTATATACAATGGCCGATACATGTATTAAGAATAGTGACCCAGATCTATCCTGAAAACCCACATAGAATTTTGGCTTGAGACAGGTGATTTATGAACTAATTTTGCTATTGACGATGCACTTTTGAGTCGTTTCAAATTTCCAGCGACTGCAATAGTGGATCGATCGCGTTTAGTCGCTCCTATAATAATATTCTATATAATATTATATAATAATATTCTATTCTTCGGAATAATTTAGCTTGGTGCGATTGGCACGGTAGCAAGGGCGGATCCAGAACACAATTTTTGGGGGGATGGGCAAAAAAAGTTTTGGTCTCCCAAAAGTAGGTCCAAAAAAATTATTTTTGGATTCTAGATGCTCTGTGGTAATTTCTGAACACTTTAACCAATTTCTTTTGAGGAAAAGATGGTGGTGTACGCACTGCCTGCCTTTATTGCGACATCACTTAAAACCAAAACAAAAATTGGGTTCGTTTTTATTTGGGGGGGGGGGCAGTGCATGAATCGTCTTTAAAAAATCCTTGGTACGTATAGTTCACGGATTCAAGAAACTTAATTTTAAGACGACAACCAAAAAAAATGACTCCATACCTTTTTCAGATGCCATTTGTAGATACTCGTCCAGTTTTCCGGCTTCCATTGCCTTCGACACCTCCACCATGCCGGGACGGAACGGCTTGTTGAAGAAGCGATCGTACGTCGTATGGCGCCTCAGATGCTTCTGGTGGGTCGAAGACAGTGGAACTGCAAAAATACATCGAAACAACATTGACAATGTGAGTATCCTCTCCAATGTAATTTAGTAAAACGTTTTTGCAAAAGTTACCTTTTTTTTAATCAATGGCCAGATCGAACTGAACATACTTTTTTTACCATAACTTGATGAAGAATGATAAATGTAATGAAAAAATTGTCCGTTTTTTTGTGTGTAACTGGAAAAAGAAACGGTACATTATTGTGTATGTCTATTTTAAGCATGCTTCACGTCTTTCATTCAAACCGTTTAAAACTTAGAGATTTATTAACAGTCATTTCGCTCTGTTCTGTTGTATTCGAACGCATGAAAGTAATGTTTAAAAAGTTATCAAATCATCATACAATCTCTGACACGAACTTATTCTTCGTAATCTGAGGACAAACAAAATCGTTTCTTGGAACATTTTTACAAACACGTTTGGGGGCTGGTCAACTTAAAAAAAAAAAATCACCAACGACTTGAAACTTGGCATTTCTACATTGAATACACATATAAATATATATTTCTCTTAAAACCAAAGTTAGTATATCATTTGCTCATAGCGTATTTTACTTTTTATTACATTTTGTGATGACATATTATATAGGTCGTTTTCGAATCCCTGTTCTTGACAACACTCGGGTTAACCCGACACGAGAACAGCGGTCTCGAACGTGACGAACAGACCCGAGAGGGCGTTCGTGGATCGATTTTTTTCACTCCCCGGTTGATGGAGGGTTTGGCGAGGTGCAGCTTGAACAAAATGGCGGACTGTGCAGATTCGTAAGTTGTTTTTGTGGTTTTTTTTTGTTTTTTTGCTAATACCCTAATGATTGGAATGAAAATACCATTATAGTGCAGGTCTGCAATTTCATCCCCGCATGTCCGGTTTTGCAACAGTCGTCCTCGTTCATTTGGAATAGGCCTAAGTCCAAATTCAGACGATTGTCGGCCATTTTGCATTGCTTTATATCGATGCGACACGCACCCACGCGTTCGTAACAACCAGCTCGAGAACACGTTCTCGTGTTACACGCGTGTTGTCAAGAACAGGGATTCGAAAACGCCCTTAATTTCCCGAAGTTTTGCTATTTACCCAGTATCTTTTATTTATTGATGTATTTCTCTAAAGGAGTGTGAAATAAATGTCTTCTTGAATTCAAGTGAAATGAGAAAAGTGTTTACCAATGCCAGACGCCTTCAAATGCTTGTCCTTATTGCACCCGTATCGGCTGTTGTTTCCCCGGAGGGGATCCTGCTGCTTGGGATACTGATACGAGAAGCGCATGGAAGAGCCGAGACTGTACGGCACCTTCTCTCGCCAGTCCACGTAATTCTCAAATGCTGACTTCATGTGATAACCTGTCAAAATAATTATAGAAAAATAAAAATACTACATTGTGTATTTGAAAAACCTTAAAATGACACCACTAAAACATGAAATATATTTGATAAAGTTTATCATGACGAAAACAATTACTCATGTTCTTCGGAGCAAACTGTTGTACAGGGTGTTGCGTAAAAAAAAAGCGGAACCCAAACCCAACGAAATTTCATATTTAAAAAAGAAACATGTAGCACCAAAAGTAGTTATGACTGGTAAGCCAATTTGATAAACTACTTTTAGGTCAAAAAAGTACTTCAATTGCTCAATCCGTTTAAATTATATCACCATTGAAACGTAATGACCCTGAAATCTGTTTCGTCCAAAAATGCGATTTCAAGAATTGTCGTTACAATTGTCTTCAAACATCCCCAGCGACAAAACCTCAGTTTAAAAGTTAAAAATATTATCTGTATCTGTATGCTACTGCACAATCGCCTATGGTGGGGCTATCACGTGCAGGTAACGCTTCAACGAAGTCCTTTTGAAGGCCCGTCTTTAAAATAAAAATGGATTTTGTAAATCCTATTGTTATAATAGATTTGTGCATTGTAGCAGTATAGCCATCAAAACAGTTGTTCATAAAGATATTGTGTCCTACAGCTGTTGAAACAAAACACAAAGTGAGTAATTAGACTCATTATCGTAAGAAATGAGTCATTTTGTCCGTATAGTGACACACTTTGGCTCAAAGTGTCTCACTACACGGACAAAATGACTCAATTATTACGATACTGAGTCAAATGACTCACGTTGTGTTTTCTGTATACATGTATTCTGTGTCATTTTATTTTTTTATTTTTTGGACGAAACTGATTTTAGGGTTACTTCGTTTATAATTGTGTTACCTTGGGGAACGCCCAAGAAGTCGTTTTGGTATGTTGACTTGCACTTGTCCCGTAGTATTTCCTCCATCATCTGATCAGTGATCTCCCCCGGGTAGATCTGTTGGTCCTTGGGCACGTGCTTGGGAAACCGCCAAACCATGAAAGACTGGATTCGGAGAAAAGGGGAAAATACCGGGAAATTATTGTTTGATAATGAAACCGAGGATTCCTCAACTTGCGCCCAACGCACTCTAGCTCGAAAGCCTGAAGAAAGCTGTAGAGAGGAGACAATGAAAAGAAATACAGTTTTAGAGATGGGAGGAAAAGCCCAGAAGAATATTCTGAGGAAAACCCACGGAATCAGGGTCTGACGATAGTAAGAATATTTTGGCGAACTTATTAAAAACACCATATGCTGAATAATTACTGTATTATACCTGTTTGTTCTTAAACCATTAATGGACTATTTAGATGTAATAATATATATTTTAAGGGGTTACTAAGGCCCGAAAAAAAATCTCCGGTTTCTGGTATGCGCGCGTGTCGCCGTAGCCATGCGCGTCGGCAAAATGAAAAAGTTGTTTTTTTTTCAATGAAAGATGATGTCTCAAAACCGCCAAACTCACTGGTTTGAGTGGAATCCTGCTGCTGCACAATAATATTTTAACGTGTTTTTAGATTGGGTTATGGTCGAAAATAAGCTTTATGTGGCCTCTCTGGACTCCCATATATTTGCACTAAGTTTAGTCGGGCACCATTTGCAGTCATCAGCCGACATTTGAAGCAAAAAAAAATCAGGTAAAAAAAAAAAAAAAAGCCGCGTCGCCGCACCACTTTTTGGGCAAGCTCCATACCAGAAACCGGAGGTTTTTTTTTTGGCCTAATATGATTTTTTTGTGACAACTATAAAATTGATTTTTAATTGATGAATTGCACATTGAACCACAATCGGCCTATTGGACGTGAGAGTTTGATTGATAATAAATAATAAATAATACATGATTTATTATCATGCATTCGGGGTTCGAACAGACATGGCTTCCTATCAAGATAAAAAAAATTCTGAAACAGGAGCCAAAAAAAACAGTACACGAATAATCTTGGAATGAAAAATGCCAAATAAGAGTAAAAAATGTAACTTTAAAAACCAACAGCCAAAACGGTTAGTTTTAAAACTCTTTATTTTGAAGTAATTTCTAAGAATAGGCTTTTTACATATATTAAAAAAAGTCCTGAAGGATCTAACTGGAGAATAATTATTCAATACTTAAATGATTAAAATGGAATAAAACGTTATACTGATGACATTCGACAGAGCAACATTCAAGGACTTGTTTCTTATTCCAAATATCACCCAACTAAAATTTGAAATGTACTGTTTGTCTATTTGTAAAAAAAGACAAAGAAAAGAAAAAAATTGCATCGATGATCTAATTTTCTGACAGAAACAATAAAAATGTGAACTTTTGGAAGAAATATTTTATTCAAAAAAAAATAAAAATATATCGCTGCGAGCAGGGTTCGAACCTGCGCGGGAAGATCCCATTGGATTTCAAGTCCAACGCCTTAACCACTCGGCCATCACAGCACGCACTCCACGAGAGATTCTATTGTATATAAGCCATGAATCATCACGCACCGTGTGTTGCGCAATGGAGAAGCATATCCGACGACTGTTTTATGTTTACAGATTTGTATACATCGCTGTACTGCACTATTGTGTTTGTGTTTACGTGAACGGTGAACGATGAGAACCTACGACTGTTGCATGTATATTTTACCATTTTTGCTCATACTGATTTCACACCAGCCGAATAAACAAATACACAGGCAAAAAGGCGCAAATCATCTGCTAGTGATACCATGTGTCGTTTTAAGCATATGTTGTGTTTACTTTGTGTTTAATAATAAAATAAATCTATTTAAACCTGCGATTTCAGGAACGTAATGTACCGTTACTGATGTGTGGCCCCAAATGCTGTAATGACTTAATAAGCGGGCCCCGAACCCCACACCTTTAGCTGAGAATAGCTTATTCAATTACTCCAACCTCGAAAATGATGTTTGAATTATAATCTTTTGCTAAAGAAAATATTGAGTAAAGTAGGCAGAAATTGCCTCAGACCGCACCACAGAGCATCTACAATCAAGTTTTTTTCGGGGCTCTTCAGCGGGCCCCGAACCCAACGCCTTTAGCTGAGAATATAATAGGCCTAGCTTATTCAATGACTTCTCCTCGAAAATGATGTTTAAATAGTATTATTATCTCTCGCTCAGAAAACATTGGTTAAAGTTAATTGCCGCAGATCGCAGCACAGAGCATCTACAGAATCAAATTTTTTGGGGGCCCCGAATCAAAGCCTAGCTCAGAATAATTCATTGACTCACATGGAACACGATGTTCAAATTAGTATTTTCTTTTGCTAAGAAAATATTTGTGGTTGAAGTGGTCAGAAACAGATCACACCACAGAGCATCTAGAATCCAATTTTTTTTCGGGGCCCTTAAGCGGGCCCCGAATCCCACGCCGTATTTATTTAATATTTATTTATTTATTTATTTCAAAATCTTTATACACAGGATACAAAATATCAGCTCAAAGGCTGTTTTACATTATGGTCCTGTGATAAGAAATAAAAACATTAAAAAAATAGTAAGAAAAAAACCCAACAACTGTAAGGGCTTCGCGCTCGCATTAGTTCTGATCAAGGTATGTCCCCCCCCCCCCCCACTTTTGAGAAGCGATTGACGCCCCTGATCAAAACACTTGTCAAGCTGTGATGTTTTTGTCTTTTTGTGTGATATGCATTGAAATTCAATATTCTAACTAAGTTGGCAAGGTCGACTGGAAAAAATAAAATGAGACAGAAATGCATCTTTTAACGGCTGAATTGTGTTTGTGATTATACGGCTGTTTACGTACCTCGAATGGGTGTGGATTATTGCGCCTGTCCCCCGATGACGTGCCTGATCGTATAAGGTCGGGCCTGCAGTACCCTTTATTGTAGAACTCTTTGTTGTAAGTTGGCGTTCCTATGGGCCCATCCAGCTCGTACGAAGCCTTGTATAGACCATCTGTAGAACTTGGTCTGAAATTGTACGTTTTCGGTTGATAGTTTTGTTTTCAAATAAAAATCCTCAAATTATGATTTTGATCTGCTCCGGCAAGCTATTTCCTGTAATTACATTATTAAAAAATCCCGTAAGATATTTTCAAGGAAACTTTTGTTAAGGATTTTCTTTTTACCTTGCTTGCGGTGCAGATGGCGCAATGACCCCTGGGAAATCTCTCCGGTATGACGTCATAGTTCGCTTGACCTGACGAGCGCCGCTACGACCTTGCAGATGAGCAAAAGATAAAATTTGTTTCACAATGATACACAGCCTGTGTTAATATTCATACCTAACAAGCTGCATCACTGGGCTGTTACACATATCCAATGATGATGTTCTATAAAACAACTTTAATTGCCATAAAATTCTGTATAATCTGATAAAAAAAAGATACAGATAGATACAGTTTGAATACAGTCATACAAAACGTGTCTGCCCAAGAAAACACCGAAACCTCGAACTTTGCCGATCGTCTGCTAGATAGTTTGCGTCTGTCTGGGTTGTCGGCGACATTTTGCGGATGAAAATGTTTCCAATGTCTGCGTTGCAGTTTGGGTCTTGTGTGCGTTGCTCTGCGTTTCTCACATCCAGAGGGAAACTGGGCTTTAGCTGTCAAACGCAGTTTAAACGCATGGGCCTATATAGGATTTTGCTTTTCATGCATTTTTAAAATTCGTTTCCAATGATAACACCACTCAAAATGCAAACACAATTGCTCAAAACCTATAACCTGTTTAAGTAGTCAGGTTATAAGGCCAAAAAAAAAAGTCTCCGGTTTCTGGTATGCGCGCGCGTCGCCGTAGCCATGCGCGTCGGCAAAATGAAAAAGTTTTTTTTTCAATAAAAGATGATGTCTCAAAACCGCCAAACTCACTGGTTTGACTGGAATTCTGCTGCAGCACAGTTTAAACGTGTTTTTAGATGGGGGTATGATCTAGAATAAGCTTTATGTGGACTCTCTGGACTCCCGTACATTTTGCACTAAGTTTAGTCGGGCACCATTTGCAGTCATCAGCCGACATTTGAAGCAAAAAAGTCAGGTAAAAAAAAAAAAAAAGCCGCGTCGCCGCACCACTTTTGGGGCAAGCTCCATACCAGAAACCGGAGACTTTTTTTTTTGGCCTAATGGATATTACACGCTTTCGAGAAACAGTAAAAAAAAAAAAAAAACATGCACACGGAGCCTTTTTTTTATACGAACATGATTTCTTCTGTATCACTCTTTATTCCAAATATCATTGAATAATTGACTGATCATTGGAAATCACCTAATAATGATTGGAAAGCCAATTTCATAAGCTACTTTTAAATGAAAAATTACTGAAATTGCTCAATCCGTTCAAAGTATATCACCATTTAAACGCAATGACCCTAAAACCTTTTTCGTCAAAAAAAATGCAATATACTGTGTATTCTAACTATTTGGAACAACAAAGAAAATGACACAGAATACTTGTTTCAACAACTGTCAACAACTGTAGTACACAGTTATGTATTAACAACCTAGTTAGGCAAACAATATGATTTATAAAATCCACTTTTTTGAAAAGACGGGCCTCCAAAAGGACTTTGTTGAATATTTTTAACTTTTAAACTGAGGTTTTAACGCTGGTGATGTTTGAAGACAATTGTGACGACGATTCACGATTCTTGAAATATTTGGACGAAAGAGGTTTTAGGGTCATTGTGTTTAAATGGTGATATTCTTTGAACGGATTAAGCAATTTCAGTGTTTTTTCATTTAAAAGTAGCTTTTGAAATTGACTTTCCAGTAGTTATTATTTTTGGTGCTACATATTTTTTTAAATATGAAATATACGTTTGGGGTTTGGGTTCTGCTTTTTTGACTCACCCTGTAAATAATCATTTCACGGGGTGTTTAGTATCAGTATACGATCTTTAATCCAAGTAAGCTTTTGGTAATAGTTCGGTAGGATTGTTTGGGATATATACTTATGCTCCTCGTATGCCTTTAAAAAAATGTAAACTTGGCAGGAAAAAAGTACACCTCAACCTTTACCATTTTGTTACACTTTGATCTGAGCACATTGACAACACTTAATAAGAACCCTCGCTTTCGCTAAAATCCCATCATTTATTAAACCTAATTGAACTGATTCGAATTTAGGGTTGTCCGAACAACCAACATTTATTTCAATTGAGGAATGAATAAATAGCTTTCAGAAGCAGGACCTAAATAGATCATGTCGTGTAATTCGGATTGATAATGGCTTTTCTGGGTCGGTATACGGCACTTGAGGCCTGCTGCCGAACTATTTTATCAGCGCGATGGCAACCGTTTAAAACGTGCAAAGTCCCCGTCAGTTGAGTTGGGGATTTAATGCGGCGTGATGAGATAAAACACGATCGACTAGTCGGGATGAAGTATATTCTGATAAATTATCTTATCTCGGTGATAAATTGACCCAAAGTATGCCAGGGGGTCCTTTTCTCCCGATAGCTTTGTTTAGTTGTTCTGTTTGAAATCACCATGTGGATACGATCTATAAATATTATAGTCATTCATTTTAATTTGGAAGGCGACATTACGTCCTAGGAGGAGAAAAATAATTTTTGTCCGTTCAGTAATTGGTGAGAAGTACATGTATACTAAAATGGGATGCGTGTAGTAAAAAAAAAATATTTAAAAAATGAGGGTTCAATTCTACCCTGTTATCGTTTACACCAAAAATGGCCGTAATCGCAAATGGCCCAATTTCTTATTTTGTTTGTTTTTTTATGGGAAGGGGAATTTCTCGATAAAAGTGCACGACGAGTCCATTAATTGAAAACTGTTTTACTCATGTATTAAACACGTGCGCCCGAAACACGTGCGCCCGGTAGGTAAGGCTTCGCATTATGAAATAATAAAAGTTCCTTCCGATGTTGTTAAACATTCGTTCATTAAAAATGTTTACTGATGTGCATGTAATTAACATTGTATATAAGAAATGTATACATGATATGATACGTTTGAATAACAAGCAATAACGATATTTGTAATCTTAAACTATACTATAGGCCTATAAATAATGATACCACACTCTAAAATCTCATGGGTCAGATTGATCCGTAATCTGAATCCAAATTTGCTCAGCCCTTTTCCGGGTTAAAGAATAACCCCTTTTGGGTTAAAAAATAAATAAATAAACACATTCTTTGTCATTTTGACCCCAAAAAGTGTCATTTGTGACCTGAAAAAGGACTGGGCAAATTTTGATTCAGATTCCGGGTCAATTTGACCCAGGAGTTTTAGAGTGCAATGATCTCATCACCAAATTGATTTGAACTGATTGGATCAACCATCAATTCAGCTGTATTCATATGAATAGTCATAAAATCGCTTTCAATGAATTGAACCGGGCGACAGCAAGTCACCATCTATGTTTCTATACTTCTTTGTAATTATAATGACACTTAAGAATTCTTCTTCTTCTTCTTCTTCCAGTAAGTACATCCCTCCATAGTGGAGTATTGTCGTACTTGGGTGCAAAAGTGCTCTGTCACGGGAACAAATTACACAACTACACCGATGTTCTTACCTAAAGATGCCATAGCCGTCTTGGGCCTCTGTAGCTTGGCCCCTTTAGGCCGTGTTGGCTTCTTGGCTGCCGCCTGCTGGGTCAGCTCCTCCCCGATGGTCAGGGAGGCCAGAAGATCCAAGCACCGCCGCTTGTCCTCCGCGTTGGCCTTGCCGTAGAACTGCAGCAGGTCCCTGCCGAAACCTTTCGTCAAAGAATCGCCTCCAAACTATTCATAAAAAAAACAATAACAATCATCATTTAAAAAAATAAAAATTACACAGGGGCTGATGTTTTGATCCCATCAGTCCCATCAGTACCGTACGTTTATGTTCCAATTACAGTGAAATCTCGATAAGTCAAACTCTGATAACTTAAAACAACTGTTAAGTCAAACAAAGAATCCATTCCCTTCAGTAGTATAACAATGATATGCAATAGCCCTGCTTAACTCTGCTTCAGTCAAATTATGAACCTGTTCCCTTGAGGTTTGACTTATCGAGATTTACTGTATGTATAAACTATTATACATTGTAGTCCGCAATTTGCAGCATTTTTTTTAAATTTTCCCATAGGAATATAAAGTGAGAGAAATAAAGTTTGGGTTTAAAAGGCAACTTTTCAAGAGAGGATTTTCAGTCAAAAGGATAACAATTGTCAGACAGAAGGACTCACTCAAAAGTTCCACTGACATTTTGATTTTAAATGATAGATGAGAACCATTCAAATTAAGTCGGGAATAAATTTGAGAAATACCGTAACAAATTTTGGTGTAAAGAATAACTCTTAACGTGAGGTCCAGTCAAAACGAAAAAAAAAATATTTTAAGGAAAAAAATTAAAAACTTTGAAAGTCTAGTCACATGTTGATCGGTTGAAGTGGGAGAACCATTCAAGTTAAATCAGTTACGAAGAATCATTCTTAAATGAATGGTTGGTGATCATGGTGATTGCTGATAACTCACATTTATACCGTTTACACAGAACACAAAACTTACGCACGATCCTTAATAACCGGGAGGGATCGACGCATTTATTTATTTTTCAGTTGATTTTTTTTTCGATCGTTCGATTGATAACCACTGTTCAGTCCGTAACGATTGTTATACTATAGGCCATACATGCAATAATATCAATTCGTTACTAGTTCATCTTGGGAATCGAATCATTGCTATGAAAAAAAGTGAGTCACTGTTATGAAAAATGACAAGACCCGGTGTTTCCAAAACTAAACTGAAGATCAAGTAAGGACATTTAACGTCAGCTGACTATAGACTCGCAGCCAACAATAGGGCTAGCAAGCCTTTCTGTATACATGTACACAGAGCTAGATAGAGCACTGTGAACATACACGCCGGTTAACGTGAAGTCTATCGCCGGTGCTGTGATCGTCGAGTAAAAATCAAAACACTGATTGACCTAAGAAACTTTTCTCATACAATTTTCAGTAAAATAACCGCCAGCAACTCTTACCTCGGTAAGGTACTGCTCGCTCCTCGAGTCCGGCCTGGGATCTGCCTCCCCGGTCCCCCATCCCTCCCGGACTTGTCTCGCTATCTCCGTGGCCGCCATTGTTACGTTTCACCTGTTACCCTGCCGCCAGTGTTAATGTTGCGCGCGCCTCATTACGTCAACAAATGGGCCACCCCGTAGACCCGGCCCGCGTGTGTACCCAGGCCATTGATCAAAGGTTCACCGGCTGAGTGCGTAGTTGCTACGGGACGCCGCGCTCAGTTGCCAAGTGACTTTTTTCTGTCTCTCAATAGAGGGCGCTATTCAACGACCGCTGGACCGCAAATCCAACAGAGGGGGCTATCAAATTTAGTGCGCGATTGAACTACGGTGGGTTTGTTGCAAGCAGGACGCGTATTTTAACCAATCGCATCACGCACCCTATCATGAATATTTATCATGCTGTGTGGATTGAAGACAGTGTTTTCCCTTCAATTAAACTTATCCCAACCAACATAGCCCATATAAATTAAATTAGGTTTTGCCCTTCACCGACGTATAAACACTGTATACTCAGTGTGTTACCTGATCCCGAGTGAAAGTTGGAAAAAAAAATCACTCGGGTGGGACTCGAACCTCCTGCTTTCTAGTGCAGATGTCTTACCACTCGACCACCAAGCTAACGGGATCGGTTGGCTGGTTCGAATCTGATGTACATAGCAGCGGCTACCGCATTAACTATTCATAAGATGGAATTTTGCGTCGGGGTGATGTAAATCAAATTAGGTTTTGCCCTTCATCGACGTATAATTCCATCTTTTGAATAGTTAATGTGGTACCCGCTGCTATGTACATCAGATTCGAACCAGCCAACCGATCCCGTTAGCTCGGTGGTAAGACATCTGCACTAGAAAGCAGGAGGTCGTGGTTCGAGTCCCACCCGTTTGATTTTTTCCCCAACTTTCACTCGGGAGGTAACACACTGAGTATACAGTGTTTATACGTCGGTGAAGGGCAAAACCTAATTTGATTTACATCACCCCGACGCAAAATTCCATCTCTGATGAATAGCCCATACAGGCTAGGCATATACAAACATGTGTATGATATTTTCTTTTCATGCATATACATGTAGTTCGTTTCCCTAACACCACTCAAAATATAATCAAAAGAAGACTGTTCAAAAACCTATAAAGTTTCAGCTCAGTGGACATTACATTTTTTAAAATAGGCCTAAAAAATAACTTCAGATCATGAAACACGATTTCGTCCACAGTACTCTTTATTTCCAAAATTCAGTCAATTGACTGATCGTTGGAATCACCTAGGCCTACACTTCTTGATGTTTTCTTAATGACATGCAGCAAGCCAGGTAGAATAATTACACAGGGTGTTTAGTACCAGCAAGGGCGGATCCAGGGGGGGCCAAAGGGGGCCATGCCCCCCCCCCCCAAACGAAACCAATTTTTTTTTTTATGTGACGTCGCAATAAAGGCAGGCAATGAGCCTGACACCACCATCTTTTCCTCAAAAAAACATTGGTAAAAGTGGTCAGAAATTGCCTCAGATCGCACCACAGAGCATCTAGAATCCAAAAAATTTTCGGGGCCCTTAAGCGGGCCCCAAACCCCACGCCGTAATTTTTTGACCCACTTTTTTGGGGGACCAAATTTTTTTTTGGCCCCCCAAAAAATTGTCTTCTGGATCCGCCCTTGAGTACCAGTACGATCTCTAATCCATGCAAGCTTTTTGACCATAATTTCCGTTGGTTACTTTTGTGATAAATGCAAATGATCCTGTAGTTACGCCTTTAAAAAGGTAAAAGGATGGGATATAGACTGAAGACTTGAAAATAGGCGGGCAATATGGGACGGAAATGTTTTCCACCTAAAACACCTGTCTTCCCGGTAATAGCATACCAACAAGCCACGAGTTTTACTCCTTAGATAACCGGTTTGAATTGTGTGCACATGGGAATATAGTCACCCGGGTTGATCGTTTTCCTGTGTCCTTTTCAACCTTCCGTATTTTTATCCGGTAACCATTACATAAAACACGCGTGGCCATGACCATGGCGCGTATTATGGCCTATAAACCTCGTCTTGTTTTAAAGGTAATATTTTGCAAACATCGAAAAACCAAAATTACCAAATTATTATGAAATACCTTACTTGACTGTTTGTGAATGACAGTCTCAAGCATCCTGTGAAATCTTAGCACCTGGTGTGCTGTCATTTTCAAGAAAATTTGATATTTTTTTGTATCATTTTCCAACGATGGTCGGCCGACCAGCGTTGGAAACAAAACTGACTTTTTTTCAATACTGCCCCCAGTTTACCAAATTTAGTTAGTCCGCATTTTGTTTGCAAACGGTTAGTCGGTTACACATCCATGAAATTTAAAGGGTGCAAGCCAGCTAGTATGTACAAGTACAAATGAGATATGTTATTATGATGGTATTTTGGACATAATTGGTGAAACTTTCTTGTACATGTATATCCTTTGTATCATTTTGAAGAAAAGCGCTAACAAAGAGCACACGCTAAAACAATCTGACCACGGTTCCATGGTTCAACAAATTAATTGAATTCGTATACTGATGTGACTGCATTTCAAACATTGCAGTCACATCAGTACGATATATGTATACGTGAAACTTTCATCAAATATGTCCAAAGTACCAGCCTATAACATATCTCATTTGCTCTTGTTTTGATAACTGCTACATATTTTTTAAATATTTCATATTTTCTTTAATTTGGGTCCAGATCATTCTGACTGCACCCTGTAGAGTATGTCGGTAACGAAATTTGCCAGAAATACAGGAGATTCATTGATGCTATTTGTCTCGACATTTTGTTATTTACAAAAACAAAATGTGACCAACAAACGATCCTCTTTGCAGATGCCACATGTGCTTGTTGGGGGTAAGTAGTCTGTAGGTAAGTATACCACAGGTGATTTTTAAAACAAAATCCAAAGATATTTTCCCCAGTTAAAGTTGTTACTTACATGGAACGATGTCTATTAAAGGGAATATCCAACATTTGCAAATATTGAAAACACCAACATTTGCAAACATTGAAAAACAAAACTACCAATTTTTTACGAATACCTTACTAGATGACAGTCTAAAGCATCCTGTAAATTATAGCACCTGTGGTGTGAAGTCATTTTCAAGAAAAGTGGTATTTTTGTATCATTTCCAACGGTGGTCAGCCGATCACCGTCGTTGGAAAAACCTAACTATTGTTCAACTACTGCTCCAAATGTACCTTTTTTCAGTCCAAATTTTGTTTCCTATTGGTTACATGTTCATGAACGGGTGCAGGCCAGCTAGACTGGTTTCCTTACCTTACAATTTTCCGACATCTATAAATTGATCCATTTCATCTTTAGTGGAGTCAGGGAACCGGACTACTTGAACATTTTTGTTTTTCTAGGTTTTCCAGCATTGTCGAACACAAAACTACAAACATGTCAGTGTAACAATATTTGATCTATTATACTAACCCCTCAAATAGTTCATTTCTGAAAATTACAGCAAAAGCCAATGATGTACATTCCCTTTAAAGAGGGATGGGTTAAAGTGGTTCATGACATGAATTTTTCTTAAAAACATATTTCGTGCAAGTTTCTAGTCCTCTTAAATGTATGAAAACTATTTGACATCCCTTTTTGGCCAGTGATATTCAAAAGTGCACTTCTGTACGAATTTAAAATGTTCCATGCTTTTCCTGACAGCAGAGGGCGCTGTTGATGTGATGTCATTTCAAGACGACACTAGCTGTTCAGTTTCAGGGTTTTCCGTTCAAATTGTGAACCCAAACATTTTGCTCATTGAAAACATTTATTAGAGAAGTTTGCTCATTGGCTTACTGCCTAGCTGTACTGACACAACAACGAATCATTTATGGCACTTTAGGCCAACTTAAAAAAAAGTCTCCGGTTTCTGGTATGGAGCTTGCCTAAAAAGTGGTGCGGCGACGCGGCTTTTTTCTCTTTTTTTTACCTGATTTTTTTGCTTTAAATGTCGGCTGATGACTGCAAATGGTGCCCGACTAAACTCAGTGCAAATATATGGGAGTCCAGAGAGGCCACATAAAGCTTATTCTCGACCATAACCCAATCTCAAAACACGTTAAAATTGTGCAGCAGCAGGATTCCAGTCAAACCAGTGAGTTTGGCGGTTTTGAGACATCATCTTTCATTGAAAAAAAACTTTTTCATTTTGCCGACGCGCATGGCTACGGCGACGCGCGCGCATACCAGAAACCGGAGACTTTTTTTGGCCTTATGACAGCAAACTATCCAGAATTCTAGCAACTGTTTTTGTGCGGAAATAGCTGTAACATTTCTTGGTTTCTGCCTGGAATGACATCACAGCTTTGCTAATGAATATCAAAATTCACCTTAGACTAAAAACAAAGAAGACACCGAAATACCCTTGAAAATGGCAAAATGGATATCGAAAATACGGTTAAACGGGACATAAAGGTGCATTTAAAATATAATTGACGTAAAGGATATTATCGAGAAATTATTTTGAACCGCTTTAATATTATTATCGCATCATTTTTAGCTGTAAAAACAAACCCAGAAAATCATTCAGAATTGTATTTATTTATTTATTTGTAAAGAACACAAAGAACAGACAGAGTATTAGTGTGTTAATTTCATTTCTGTTATTGTCCCTTTTTCTCTCTCAGTGAGTTGTACTTTACGAGACCGCTTTTGTAGGTTATAGTGCTTTTTATAATCGCCAGACGGCTGAGAGCCCACACACGTCCGCCACGGACATAATCACACAAACAACAAGACTTCAAGTTGCATGTCAGTCGGCCTGTCCCCCTGTTAATGTCATTAACGCTAGCTTCCCGAGATCCAGTCTCTCTCCACATTGCGTGCAAATTGTATGTGGGCCACGACAGATTTTGATCAGTTCAGCACATTTTGGCGGAGGAAACCGACGTTTTCGGCCCGCCCGAGTTCAGACCAAAGTGGGATAAGGTGTCCTCGGGGGGAAAATAGTTCAGTACGACTCCAAATAAAAACATTACCGCAAATTGTACCGCAAGGACTAGTGCACTAAATTGATTAATTAAAGGTATAGGATCATTCATTGGCTCTTTGTAAATTATTTTCGGTTGAAGCGACAAAACTGTTCAAAATCTTAAGAAGGGGCTCATGACAGTTTCAGG